CATTTTTTCTGAAAAAGTAGAAAAAAAAAAGTTGCAAAAACAATTTTTCCTAACTAATTCGAGCACGCTGATTCCAAAAATTCAAACCGCACTTTCGTATCTCTTCCCGTTCGGAAGTTACACTCGAAAAACGCGATATTTTTCTCAAAAGGGTCCCCCCTTATGACATTTTTTCTGAAAAAGTAGAAAAAAAAAGTTGCAAAAACAATTTTTCCTAACTAATTCGAGCACGCTGATTCCAAAAATTCAAACCGCACTTTCGTATCTCTTCCCGTTCGGAAGTTACACTCGAAAAACGCGATATTTTTGTCAAAAGGGTCCCCCCTTATGACATTTTTTCTGAAAAAGTAGAAAAAAAAAGTTGCAAAAACAATTTTTCCTAACTAATTCGAGCACGCTGATTCCAAAAATTCAAACCGCACTTTCGTATCTCTTCCCGTTCGGAAGTTACACTCGAAAAACGCGATATTTTTGTCAAAAGGGTCCCCCCTTATGACATTTTTTCTGAAAAAGTAGAAAAAAAAAGTTGCAAAAACAATTTTTCCTAACTAATTCGAGCACGCTGATTCCAAAAATTCAAACCGCACTTTCGTATCTCTTCCCGTTCGGAAGTTACACTCGAAAAACGCGATATTTTTCTCAAAAGGGTCCCCCCTTATGACATTTTTTCTGAAAAAGTAGAAAAAAAAAGTTGCAAAAACAATTTTTCCTAACTAATTCGAGCACGCTGATTCCAAAAATTCAAACCGCACTTTCGTATCTCTTCCCGTTCGGAAGTTACACTCGAAAAACGCGATATTTTTCTCAAAAGGGTCCCCCCTTATGACATTTTTTCTGAAAAAGTAGAAAAAAAAAGTTGCAAAAACAATTTTTCCTAACTAATTCGAGCACGCTGATTCCAAAAATTCAAACCGCACTTTCGTATCTCTTCCCGTTCGGAAGTTACACTCGAAAAACGCGATATTTTTCTCAAAAGGGTCCCCCCTTATGACATTTTTTCTGAAAAAGTAGAAAAAAAAAGTTGCAAAAACAATTTTTCCTAACTAATTCGAGCACGCTGATTCCAAAAATTCAAACCGCACTTTCGTATCTCTTCCCGTTCGGAAGTTACACTCGAAAAACGCGATATTTTTCTCAAAAGGGTCCCCCCTTATGACATTTTTTCTGAAAAAGTAGAAAAAAAAAGTTGCAAAAACAATTTTTCCTAACTAATTCGAGCACGCTGATTCCAAAAATTCAAACCGCACTTTCGTATCTCTTCCCGTTCGGAAGTTACACTCGAAAAACGCGATATTTTTCTCAAAAGGGTCCCCCCTTATGACATTTTTTCTGAAAAAGTAGAAAAAAAAAGTTGCAAAAACAATTTTTCCTAACTAATTCGAGCACGCTGATTCCAAAAATTCAAACCGCACTTTCGTATCTCTTCCCGTTCGGAAGTTACACTCGAAAAACGCGATATTTTTGTCAAAAGGGTCCCCCCTTATGACATTTTTTCTGAAAAAGTAGAAAAAAAAAGTTGCAAAAACAATTTTTCCTAACTAATTCGAGCACGCTGATTCCAAAAATTCAAACCGCACTTTCGTATCTCTTCCCGTTCGGAAGTTACACTCGAAAAACGCGATATTTTTGTCAAAAGGGTCCCCCCTTATGACATTTTTTCTGAAAAAGTAGAAAAAAAAAGTTGCAAAAACAATTTTTCCTAACTAATTCGAGCACGCTGATTCCAAAAATTCAAACCGCACTTTCGTATCTCTTCCCGTTCGGAAGTTACACTCGAAAAACGCGATATTTTTCTCAAAAGGGTCCCCCCTTATGACATTTTTTCTGAAAAAGTAGAAAAAAAAGTTGCAAAAACAATTTTTCCTAACTAATTCGAGCACGCTGATTCCAAAAATTCAAACCGCACTTTCGTATCTCTTCCCGTTCGGAAGTTACACTCGAAAAACGCGATATTTTTCTCAAAAGGGTCCCCCCTTATGACATTTTTTCTGAAAAAGTAGAAAAAAAAAGTTGCAAAAACAATTTTTCCTAACTAATTCGAGCACGCTGATTCCAAAAATTCAAACCGCACTTTCGTATCTCTTCCCGTTCGGAAGTTACACTCGAAAAACGCGATATTTTTGTCAAAAGGGTCCCCCCTTATGACATTTTTTCTGAAAAAGTAGAAAAAAAAAGTTGCAAAAACAATTTTTCCTAACTAATTCGAGCACGCTGATTCCAAAAATTCAAACCGCACTTTCGTATCTCTCCCCGTTCGGAAGTTACACTCGAAAAACACGATATTTTTCTCAAAAGGGTCCCCCGCCGCCGCCGCCGACGCATTGTCCACTCCCGCCTCCGGTGCCACAGCCACCCGTCCACCCAGAAGTGAGTATACCTTCTGCTGGAACTGTGGCATCCGGCTGGACTCCAGAATGGAGTAACCTGGGGTTTCCGTGTAGGAGAAGACTTTTGTTATTTTGATATTTTCTCATTTTGTAACGTTGCTTCGGGATTTGTTAACGTAAGGTATAAATGGCGCGAGCTTACCTTAAGGATTTTCTTATAAAATCTCGGGCGCCAGCTTCGATATTTAAAGTGGAGAAGCACCACGTACCTGGGTCTGCTTTTAGACAGTGGAGAAAGGATATTCCAGGGGTCAGTTAGCTTATATTACGATTAAAATGCAATGGTTTAATTTAATGCATATATTGAAATAATAATAAAACTCTATATATACAAAACAAATAATAATTTAAACGTTTAATACAATAAAGAAATGTGGAACACTCGGTATATGAAAAGAATCTAAATTAACAAACTAAAGTAATGTGAAAATGATATCATATTAAAATTACATTAACTAAATTGAATAATATTGACACTAAAAGTAAATGAATAAAAAACGGGAACAATGCATATAAAAAACTGAAGGTTACACTTTGAGCAAATATTAATACGGAAATGCAATTAAATAAACCAATGCTGTAAAAGAAATTAAATATTACGGGAAGAAAATACTACGGGCCTTCGACGGGTTTTTAGCATATCGTGGCTCACGGGACGGGCTCGCGGGGACCGGCCGTTTCGCCTGCTGGGTACTGTCTACGGCAGAGCAGATACCGAGCGGTACGGGGCGAACGTTGGCTCGGGCACGGGAAAATACTTTAGAACTGTTGGCGGGACGTCATTACTTACTATATTTCGGTTTCACGGGGTCGGGCTGTCGGGAACCAAATAGCCGGAATACAAGAGCGGGAAACAAAGAGAGCGGGACCAACAAGAGAGCGGGAACAACAAGAAAGTTTTAATTGCTCTGTTCGGCCTTTTATAACATCTCGGGTGCGCAATGGCGACATCAGGGAACCAAACGGCGCATCTCCCCACTGTTTGAATAGCGTGGAAGTGGAACCATGACGTCGCAGATCCACTTGTACGAAAATCTATATACAGGGTGTACAAACGGCGGTAAATATGGGAAAATTAAAGTAACTTCGTTAGGTACATTTTTTCTGAAAAAGTAGAAAAAAAAGTTGCAAAAACATTTTTTCCTAACTAATTCGACCACGCTGATTCCGAAAAATCAAACCGCACTTTCGTATCTCTTCCCGTTCGGAAGTTACACTCGAAAAACGCGATATTTTTCTCAAATTTGACATTTCCTTATCTTTACACCTGTTAACATAGACCCTGGTGTCGCTGCTGCTTAGACTAAAACGTAAATGTTAAAATAATTAGTAGCAATACCTAGAGTGGGATGTGTAGTCGATTCTCTTTCCAAATCATATATGCCTCTTTTTTTTGAAAATGCGAAAATTGTGGGGACTGCTTGGGCAAATAATGTTTTCCTTGTTGCAGCTCTAGAAATACATTTTGCTTCAAAATGATGCTCGCACAGTCTATAATTTTTGTGTAGTTCTTCCACACTTTTTTCAAGCAAATCATCTCTATTTGCTGCTTTTAACCACACTTCAGCCCTATAAGTGACAAATTATTAATTAGGTATGTTATTCAATAAATATAACACCTAATGGAGTCCTTGGGTATTGTAAAAAGACTTGTCCCTTTTCCTGTTTTGGACTAGCATCCACGGCAAATACACACAAATCCACCTTTTGGAGGCATAATATATTATTTTCCGCACAGAATATCCAAAATAGCCGAACACTGGTAATAAAACAACAACAAATCGCAAAACTTTTAACGAATAAAAAACAACAAAATATCCTATTATCTATAACGTGAAATATCCAACACTGGTAATAAAACAAACTGCACAATTTTCAAAACTAAACAAAACTAATAAAAACACTCAAAATATCCTATAGGTAACCGAACACAACATAAAAGTGAGGTTGACAATAATACTACTTAAAACATGGCTACCACACGCAAGCGTATTAAAAGTGTGTTAGCATTGAGTAAAGAAGAACACTTTCTCGATTTTTATGTAAGAATGTCATATTCTCGCACGCAAAATCGTTGAAGAATGAAGCTCATTCTTAAACGATTTTTGGTAACATTTAGTTTTTAAGTATTGGTACCCCCAAAATGTCAAACTGATTAATAACCTCAAATTCATTACTTTTATTGAAAATGAAGCCTTTATTATTGTTTTGTAATATAAAGTTTGCTCCAACAATGCATTTTAATGCAAAATTTTAAGTTTAATGTGTAAAAGTGCAGTTCAGGTTGTACTTGTGCAGGATAACAAATATTGTCATTTTGTGTTGCCAACTGACATTTTGCGAGAAAAATCCCCTAACTAACAACGACCACAAAACAATTAAAAAAACCTAAATAAAAGTTAAAGCAATAATACAGTGCACTGTTTTATCCGTGACACTTGTCAAAAAATTAATTACTCCCATTTTTTAACATATTAAGGCAAAAAACATTATTAAAATAATATTAAGTTCATACAATCATGGTAATTATTATTTCGCATTAAAAATCTATGTAATTTATCGCGTACTTTCATTGTGGAGACTTTTAATGAGATCCTAACCTAACTTTTTTAGTTGGTTCTTGTTTTGGGCGATTTACACATCCCATACAGATGTAGTAGTTTGCCGACGAAGTTTAAGAAGTTATTGGTACCTGGCAGGATCCAGCATATACTTTGCACCGGTAATTTGTGCACGAAAGAGTCGTACGATTACTTAAAAACATTGGCCAGTGATGTTCATGTAGTAAGGGGCGATTTTGATGATGTAAGCTGTCAAATTAGTTTTGTTTAGTGCCTAAACTCTCCTTTGTAGAATTCCAATTATCCAGAGCAGAAAGTGGTGACGGTGGGTCAGTTTCGGATAGGTTTATCTCACGGTCACCAAGTTGTACCGTGGGGTGACCCAGAGTCTTTAGCGCTCATACAACGACAATTAGACGTGGATATACTCATATCAGGACACACTCATAAATTTGAAGCGTACGAGCACGAAAATAAGTTTTATATTAATCCCGGATCAGCGACTGGATCATACAATGCACTGGATACGTAAGTTTGACAGACTTAAACTCTCACTCAAGAGTAATTAATTTTTTTTAGGTCAATAACACCATCATTTGTGTTAATGGACATACAAAATACAACTGTAGTAACGTATGTTTATCAGCTGGTCGGAGATGAAGTTAAAGTTGAAAGAATTGAATATAAGAAAAACTAATTTAAGGAAAAATACATAATTTTTAAATAATTGTAAGCATTTAAATGGTATTGAATTAAGTCCGCAAAAAGGACTGGAAAAGATCTTGATAAATTATAGTTTTTTTATTTATCATATTTTTAATTAATTATTTAAAATAAGCAAATTGTTTTGTTATAAAATTAATTTAGATGTATATATTTAATACCCTGATATTCATATAATAAATATATTATATTTAAATATAGATTTATTCGAGTTAAATGCCAAAGATATATAGGAAAACACTTTATTTGGAACAAAAAGTTTTATGTGCATTTTGATTTTAAATTTCAATATAAAACGTAAATCTGACGATATTGCATTTAACGCATGAATATATAACAAAAATTCGTAGAATTGAGGTTATGTATCTGTCACTTTCAGCAGAATTGAGGTTATGTCACTTTCAATAGAATTGAGGTTACTTATGTCATGCAATATGTTAGCTGATCAAAATGACGTTATGGGGTGTAGCATTGAAATTGTTATTTTAACAGTTATATTTTATTTAAACAAAATATTTCAACCCAGGAACAACACTGTCACGCCACATCACTTTTCCCCAACGAAAATTTTATCCAGCGACAAACGTCAAACCATCTGTCATCAGCTTTTCACATTTTTCTGTTTTTGTATAATTTTCCGTAAAAATGGACAACTCTCCGGTTGATGACGAAGTAATCGACGACGATAGTCAAGAGTTGTTCATTAATTTTGCCCCGGAGGTCCAAAAGGCGATTGAAGAGGTGAAATAAATTTTATAACCCTACTTTTTTTGTATATTGTCAATATTTTGTTGTTTTTGTAGGTTTTACCCAGTAAAGATCCTCTGGACGAGCCAGATTTCAACAGTATTGATTATATTAACTCGTTGTTCCCCACTGAACAATCTCTATCGAATATAGATGAAGTGGTACTGAAAATGGAGAATAAAATTAGTTGTATTGATACTGAAATTAGTACTGTGGTTAGAGGACAAATAGAGGCGAGTAAGGATGGTAGACAAGCCTTAGACGAGGCTCAAAAGGTAATAAAACAACTATTTGTACATATAAAAGAAATCAAAGAAAGAGCAGAAAAATCCGAAGAGATGGTACGAGAAATAACCAGAGATATAAAACAATTGGATTGCGCTAAAAGAAACTTAACTCTAGCTATAACCACATTAAATCATTTGCACATGCTTGTGGGTGGTGTGGATACTCTGAAAACGTTAACTCAGAGAAGATTCTATGGTGAAATTGCCCTTCCATTGCAAGCCATAAGTGAGGTTATGGCGCATTTCGAGAACTACTCCGATATCCCGCAAATTAAAAGTCTCAGCGATCAAGTAAAAACAATACACGTCGAGTTGGCGCATCAGATTACCCATGACTTTAAGGAGGCCTTTTCGGGCACCAACAAACAAACGATACCGAACAAACAACTGGCGCAAGCTTGTTTGGTGGTCAGCATACTTGATCCCAAGGTTAAAAGGGACTTGCTGAGGTGGTTTGTCAACTTGCAGCTGCAAGAGTACAACCACTTGTTTCAAGAGACCGAAGACACAGCTTGGTTGGATAAGATTGATAAGAGATATGCATGGATCAAGCGCCATCTGTTGGAGTTTGAAGATAGGTAAGTCCCATTTTGACATTTGAATACAGATTATATTTGAGGTTAACGCTAATAACGTCTTATTTTCTGAAAATTATATAATATTTTTTATAGTTTCTAATAGTTCTAAATTAAGATTTGTAGTTTATAACTTCCAGAATAACAATATAATGTTTAATTGGGCAGGTAAATTTATAAACCCTTTAAATTTGAATTTAGTTTTTGTAAAATAAATGCGGTTCATCTTTATTTAAGTATAAACAAATTATTTATTTAATAATGTTTATAAATAAAAAATCTTAATATTAATTATTAATTTTTTATTTAAATATTAATACCGTCTATTGCCAACAAAATTACTACTTATTAAAAAGTAAACAACCATTTATAAACAATTAAAATAATTTATTATTTACATTACCACGTGGTACTGTACAGTAAAAAATGGCCGATACGAAGCATTTTCCTTTGAAGTAGTTTTCGCTACTTTAAAGTTTTTTTTCACCTTAATTTACTTAACGGTAGTTTTGGTTAGTACCATAAACGTTCCAAATACTAAAATAATAACTTTTAAGTTATTAACTTTTTTTTAACTCATGCTCCAGTTTCGAGATTTTTACTTGCAAAGGGACTACAAAGTAAAAATAATTATAATGTAATATTTAGGTAGAAACCGAAAGTAACTGCTACAAATTAAATTTACTTGACAGTTTTTTTTACTTTTAACACCTTTTTTAAAGTTGCAAAGTCTTCTTGGGTGCAACCAAGTTTTACTTAAATGTTTATTACTTTATAGTGACCATTTAAGGAAAGAATGAAAATATTGCTATTTAAAAGTTAGATTTACTTTTAAGTAAAAATTAAAGTAGCTGTTTAGTATACTTAACTAATTTAAAGTTATCACCACTTTGGTAATGGTTTTTGGAACCAAAAATGCTGCTTGGTAGTCGAATATTTTCGTTTATTATTGCAAAACTGTGTTGCGAATTTAACAAGAATTATTATGCAACTTCTACATTTGACTGGGCATCTGTTACTTTGCAGGTTGGGCAACATGTTCCCGCAAAACTGGGAGGTGTCTGAACGGATAGCAGTGCAGTTCTGCCACAACACCAGGGAAGAATTAACGAAAATAATGTCGAAAAGGAAAAACGAAATCGACGTGAAACTTTTGCTGTTTGCAATACAGAAAACTGCGGCATTCGAAAACTTGCTGTCCAGAAGGTTTACCGGGATCACCATCAACGAAATGCAGGTGGCGAAGCAGGAAAAAGACAGCCACTTGGAGGGTAGATTGGGAGAAAATGAGAGTTTATTCCATAATTTGATCGGGCAGTGTTTTGTACCTCATTTGGATATCTACATTGATAGTGTGGACAGGAATCTGGCGGATCTGATTGAAAGGTAGATTCACACTTTTGTGTAGTTTTGTACTTTTATCCCAACTACCACAATTGGTTAAATAACTAACATTCTAAGCAAATTAACCGAAATCTAATTAAAATAACGTTTTTTAAACTTGTTTTTAACCAATTAGTTGTATCCACCATTAACATTTTTTTAATATTCTGTTAACACTGCTCTGGGATATTCCCAAATCTCCAGATAATTCTCGTGTGCTTGCATGAGGATTAGCGGCCGTTGCTGCTAATACATTAATTTCATTATTTTCACCTGTGACTGTTGCTCGACGAACTCTTTTTTTTGGTTCAACACTCCCGTTTGCAGTAAACTGCTTGACTGTGCGGTGAAATGAAGTACGTGACCGAATTATATCCGGAAAACGCTGAGCGTAGATATTAACAGCATCATCAAGATTCCTGCCTGCTTCTCCATAAATCAAAATCATTTAAACTGTTAAAAAATCCATTATGAATAACTGCTTAACGAAAGGAGGTCTTTTTGTTTGCAAATTAATCTTCGAACTAAATTGAATAAATAATGCTAAAATATGTATAAATAGTTTCTTTATACCTCAATAATAATTATTGTTTATAACTAAATACCATTTTTTATACCTCAATTAGGATTACATTGACAAAATAATGTTTTTTTTACCTTAAATGAGGTATTTTTATTAAAAATAGTACAGTAATCCTTCAAATTAAAGGATTTAATGCTGGCAGGTAAACAGTGACCCTGGTGCGCAATTGATAATTATCACCGAATGAAATAATTATTTTATACATTAATGTATAAAACTTAAACCAAAGGAAACTTAAATATTAGTTAAAAAATCGTGGATACTTAAAAAAATCAGATTTAATTTAATAAGATAATTATTACCAAAAAAAGTAATATTTTTATAGAAAAATTATTGCAGAATCGTATAAGAAGAAAAATCGAACAAAATTGATTGTTTTTCATTACAGCGGCATCTATTACAAATATGAAAAAATGTTTTAGACAAAATCTACATACACTCACAGGCAAAATAATCGAACCACACAAATTTTCGATGAATTTCAATCGCAAATGTCGGATTTAAAGAATATTGTAGATAAATTAATGGACAATCGCTCAAATTAAAAAAAAAAATACTAAAAAATAGACGTACGTATATAATATACAGGTTTAAACAAAACTATGTTTTTTACCATAAGTTTAAGACACTCCGTAGAGTGGCAAAACCGTATATTGTTCTAAATTAAGTTTTATTTATTAAGTCACATCTATTCTTAACAGTTTTGTTTTTGGTTGTTTTTGTGGAAAATATGTATTTAAAAAAAAACATTGCAATTTCCAATATTTTTCTGTATGAAGAACTAAGGTTGCTATGGTCCATCCATAGGCTATGGAGAATGACAGTGACAGTTTTGTTGAATCATCCCATACTTGGACATGTCATACACGGCTTTCAAAAGCTATCAAATTGTTTTTTGCAAATTAATGTTTAAATTTTGAGGTGTCTTCCTACTTTAAAAAATGGATATGTCTCCGACTGATGTTGCCAGAGCCATTAATTTTATCCAGGATGGACGGTCACAGTATTACGTGGCAAGGGTTTTAATCGTCACAAGAAGTAAAGTACAAAGGGTAACATCATTGGGAGACATTTTTAAAAGTAAGAAGACACCTCAAAATTAACACATTAATTTACAAAAAACAATTTCATAGCTTTTGAAAGCTGTATATGACATGTCCAAGTATGGGATGATTCAACAAAACTGTCACTGTCATCCTCCATAGGCTATGGATGGACCATAGCAACCTTAGTCCTTCATATTGGAAAAATATTGGAAATTGCAATGTTTTTTTTTTAATCCATATTTTCCACAAAAATAAATACATCAAGGTGAACCAAAAACAAAACTGTTAAAAATAGATGTGACTTGATAATTAAAACTTAATTTAGAACAATATACGGTTTTGCCACTTTACAGAGTGTCTTAAACTTATGGTAAAAAACATTTTTTTGTTTACACCTGTATATTATATAACGTTAATTTTACCATAATAGAATTCCCGACTTATTACAAAATAACGTTAATTTAAGGTTAATTTAACGTTATAGTACAATATTACTTAAATGAAATAAACAGGCATAACGTAAATTTAACCTGTGGTTCTACTTGGGATTTATATACTTTGTAGGTTCGTTTTGGACGAAAAGCAGTCCCGACCCACGGAAGCAACCGACACTCAAGCGGCGATTCTTCCGAGCTGTCCCGACCTGTTCGTGTTCTACAAAAAGAGCATGATACAGTGCAATCAGTTCGATCGCGGCCAATCGATGCTCAACCTGACGAAAACGTTCCAGAAATACCTGCACGAGTACTCAGACAAACTGCTGCTCAACGGCCTGCCGAAAATCGAGTCCCAAACCCTCGGAACCAGCGTGCAGAATCTCACGAGGGATCTGCAGAAAATCTCCACTTCCGGCTTGATACACAACTTCTCTTCGCTGTTGAAAGACGGCGAAATAACGCGGTTCACGAAAGAAGAACAGGCGAAGATTTGTTGCATTCTGACGACTGCCGAGTACTGTTTGGAGACCACGCAGCAGTTGGGGGAGAAATTGAAGGAAAAAATCGACCCCTCCCTGGCCGATCAGGTGGATTTGTGCAAGGAACAGGATAACTTTCATAAGTAAGTAACATTTTTCATCCAAATTTTTTTAACATAAAAACAACGTTTATATAACGTTGTAAATAGGTCGTTTTTATGTATAATTTTATGTTGTATGTTGGAAATACGTTGGATTTAAGTTGAATATACAATTACTGTACAAAATAACATTCCTGATTCCGAAATAATGCGATATAACTAAATTTACTTCCATACAAAAGTTGATAATAACCAAGATACGGGGTGTCAAAGTTGAAAGTTCGTTTTCGATTTTATTAAATAAATTTGGAAAAAACTTTTTTGCTTCACTTAAGATATGGTAAGGCATAATAAAATGTTTGATAAATTACTACAAAAATACGTAAAGGCGTATTTTGTTTATTGTTTCAGCTCATTGTTTAGACGATTTAGAGTTTTCAATAATTTTTCATCCATTCTTGGTATCCAAGTTCAACAAGTAGAAATTTAACATAAAAACGACGTTTTTTTAACGTTGAAAATATGTCGTTTTTATGTTTAATTTTGTGTTGTATATTAGAAATACGTTGGATTTAAGTTGAATATAGAATAACTGTACAAAATGATATTCATGAGACCGAAGTAATGCAATATAACTAAATTTACTTCTATGCAAAAGTTGATAATAACCAAGATACGGGAAGTCAAAGTTAAAAGGTCGTTTTAAATTTTATTAAAAAACTTTGGAAAAACAAACATTTTCGCACAAAATTTGATATTCAGGGTTTTTAGGACGTGAAAATTAATTTTTATTGTCGGTTACTGGAGTTTTAGTGTCGCACCCGTTACAATGGAAATACCCATTTTCAAAAACAAACATTTTTGCACAAAATTTGATAGTTGGGGGTTTTCAGGATGTGTAAACTAATTTTCTTAAACGTGTCTGCGGCAACTTTGCATTCGTTTAAATGGTCACATCTTTTTTGCAAAGTGTCGCAGATACCTGCACTAATTTTTTTAAAGAAATTTAATTATAAATCCAATTTCAACAAGTAGAAATTTAACATAAAAACCACGTTTTTATAACGTTCAATGTAGGTCGTTTTTATGTATAATTTTATGTTGTATGTTAAAGTTTAAGTTTAATGTACAAATTGATGCGGTAGATGCGATAAAACTAAATTTACTTTTATTCAGAAGTTGATAATAACCAAGATACAAGGCGAGTCAATCCAAATGAAAACACCAAAAATGAATTTAAAAGTGCGCTGCATGATTTTTTATTTTAATGAAAAAATTTAAGGACGATCTTTTAGGTATCATATATGAAAAACCGTTGCCGTTTTAATTTTTAGTTGCTTTATTTTTAATCGGCACCCTTTAGAAACCTGAAATCGTGTCATTTTCTTACTCTCTTATAAGAGGCTAAAACTTTTTTTCTGTGGCAATTATTGAAATGATTGTAAATTTATTTTACTGCCTAGTAAGTATGTTTTCAATATTAATTATTATTATCTAATTAGTTCATCTCATAAAAGAATGGTAAACCAGCCAATTTTTGTGATTTTTGTCTGGCTCCTGTGCCTATTCTGCTAAATCTAGAAAGTTGCTTTTTTCAGGTACTTATACAATAGAAAACGTAACTATTATTTTAGGTTTCTAGACTATTATTTTATTTATTAAAAAAATTATTGAAACTTGATAATTTTCAAAATTAGCCAATTTTGCCCTCAGAAATCATTAAGTTGAGGAAAAAATAAAAATCTGAAACTTTCAGGAAATGTAGTCCCCACCTTCATCTTTTCAGTTTAGTTAGTCTTGTTTTGTTATTTTTATCCATGTAAAAGATATAATAATTTTTTTAATGCAGTTAAGAAGCGATATTGTTAGTTTTATTTATAATTAAAAATTTAGATGGCTTTGACTAAGTCAATTCATGTTTGGTAGAGAAATGTCAGAACTGTCAAAAATATTTCATAAATATTATTTGTGCGTATTTAAATTGTGATTTCAAAAAGTTTGCAAGTTTTCAATTGTAATAAATGACGGAGTGTTCGAGATTCATGAATTTAATTGCAATTAAAAATGCAAGAACATATCATAATTTTGTACCTCTTTCTCATAGAAAATATTCAAGTTCTGAGAAGTTTTAAATTGTTAAAAATAAGCAAAAACCAAAAATATTCTAAATAAACCCCTTTATTATAACATGTTTTATTTTAACCAGTTACCTAAAAACTAAAATTTAGTATTTACAGATTGTGTAATTTTTTTCAACACTAACGTTTAAAATACATACAAATAACTTTTAACTATTCAGTGCCTTAAAGGGATCAAAATAATAGAACAAGAACATTTAAATGGTCACATATTTTTTGCAAAGTGTCGCAGAGACCTACACTAATTTTTTTGAAGAAATTTAATTAAAAATCCAAGTTCAACAAGTAGAAATTTAATATAAAAACGACGTATTTATAACGTTGAAAATAGGTAGTTTTTATGTATAATTTTATGTTGTAAGTTAAAAATACGTTAGAGTTAAGTTTAATATTCAAATTGCCCGTACAAAATAATACTTTTTAGTGATTTTTTGAATGTTTTTTTCTTATTTTAACTTGTTTGGTAATTATATATTTACAGAGTAATATCGAACTGCATCCAAATCCTTGTTCAAGATCTAGAAAACGCTTGTGAACCTGCCTTAACTGCAATGAGCAAGGCAAGTTAAAAAAACAGCCATCCACTGTATCATGATTTCTTATAAATCTAATATTTGTAGATTCAATGGCAAAATGTGGACACGGTGGGCGACCAGAGCCCCTACATCACGGCCATAACGACGCACTTCAAAACCACTGTGCCGATAGTGCGCGACAACCTGTCGCACTCGCGCAAGTACTTCACGCAGTTCTGCGTCAAGTTCGCCAACTCGTTCATACCGAAGTTCGTGCAGAACGTGTACAAGTGCAAGCCGATCAACACCGAGGGCGCGGAGCAGCTGCTGCTCGACACGCACATGCTCAAAACGGTGCTGCTCAACTTGCCGTCCATAGCCTCCACGATAAATAGGCAGGCGCCTGCGTCGTACACCAAGGTGGTGACCAAAGGTGAGTTTAAGTTTTCAGCTGCGTGAAATGGGATTTTAAGTCTCTTATCTCTCCCTAGCCTCGCACAAGCCTTTTTTTCTCCGGCCAATAATAAACGAAATAAAACGAATCACATTTTTTTTAAAGGGTGTTTAACATAAAAACAACGTTTTTATAACGTTGAATATAGGTCGTTTTTATGTATAATTTTATGTTGTATGTTAAAGTTTAAGTTTAATGTACAAGTTGATGCGATAGGTGCGATAAAACTAAATTTACTTTTATACAGAAGTTGATAATAACCAAGATACGGGGTGTCAAAGTTGAGGTTGAGGAAGTTCGTTTTAGATTTTAATTAATAACTTTGAAAAAAAAATGTAATAATTATTAATCTTTAAAGATAAAAAAGTAATTTTTTCATTAAAAAATTCTCTGCTAAAAGTGTTTTAGTTTATAGACCTAATAAGTCTTATTCAGAGTTTTTAAGAGAAAGTAAAATTTTCAAAACTCTTTTTTACTTATTAAAACGTTTTCAGAGAAAAATTGGTCAAATTTCCGTACCCAGGCTTAAGCGAAAACGCGGAAAAAAAATTATGGAAATGACTCTAAAAGGCCCACTTTTAAAAAACTTTGAGGAAAAAATCGGGGGGAAGGTGTTTTTAACAATATACACTCATATGTAAAATAATTATAGAAAATTTGTGTGGATCGATTATAATCGATCCACACAAATTTTCGATGAATTTCAATCGCAAATAACTTTTTTATTTGATTTCGGATTTAAACAAATTTTAAAGAATATTGTAGATACATTAATGGAGAATCGCTCGCATTTTAAAAATTACTAAAAAATAGACGTACGTTTATAATATACATGTTTAAACAAAAATATGTTTTTTACCATAAGTTTAAGACACTCTGTGGAGTGGCAAAACCGTATATTGTTCTAAATTAAGTTTTAATTATCAAGTCACATCTATTCTTAACAGTTTTGTTTTTGGTTCACCTCGATATATTTATTTTTGTGGAAAATATGAATTTTTAAAAAAAACATTGCAATTTCCAATATTTTTTCTGTATGAAGAACTAAGGTTGCTATGGTCCATCCATAGGCTATGGAGGATGACAGTGACAGTTTTCTTGAATCATCCCATACTTGGACATGTCAAACACGGCTTTCAAAAGCTATCAAATTGTTTTTTGTAAATTAATGTGTTAATTTTGAGTGTCTTCTTACTTTTAAAAATGTCTCCGACTGATGTTGCCCTTTGTACTTTACTTCTTGTACTTCTTTACTTGCCACCCTGATCGTCCATCCTGAATTAAATAAATGGCTCTGGCAACATCAGTCGAAGACATATTCATTTTTAGAATTAAGACACCTCAAATTTTAAACATTAATTTGCAAAAAACAATTTGGTAGCTTTGTAAGCCTTGTATGACATGTCCAAGTATGGGATGATTCAAGAAAACTGTCACTGTCATCCTCCATAGCCTATGGATGGACCATAGCAACCTTAGTTCTTCATACAGAAAAAATATTGGAAATTGCAATGTTTTTTTAAAAAATCTATATTTTCCACAAAAATAAATATATTGAGGTGAACCAAAAACAAAACTGTTAAGAATAGATGTGACTTGATAATTAGAACAATATACGATTCAGCCACTCTACAAAGTGTCTTATCTTAAACTTATAAACTTATATATGGTAAAAACATCTTTTTGTTTAAACCTGTATATTATAAACGTACGTCTATTTTTTATTAATTTTTTAAAATGTGAGCGATTCTCCATTAATTTATCTACAATAATATTTAATATTCGTTTAAATCAAATAAAAAAGTTATTTGCGATTGAAATTCATCGAAAATTTGTGTGGATCGATTATTTTGCCTGTGAGTGTATAAGAAATATAACGAACGAAACTTACATTTAAACACTCATACATAATTAGGTTAGAAAGTGTCTACTGACAGTACTTATCAAATGTTTGCAGATTATGGCCCTTTCCACTCTTGATTAGCCTTGGTTGTTCTTTACATAGAATGCTTCCCATTGTATTAAGTTTTTTATTTGTTTTTAAATAGTTATACAGTTTTTCTACTTTCTATGGTGTTCTTCTCTTTGTTGTTTTCTGCTCTTCTCTTTAGACTTTCGCTGTTGCTTTATTTTTTCTCCCCATATCTTTTTTTTGATAATTTTTTTTAATTGACTTTTTGTTTATTAACGAATCATTTTTAAATCTGTGGGTAAAAGGCATAAGGGGATAAGTCAAAAAAAGCAATTTTTCAGTAGAGCCTTAAACGTATTCGCATTAATTTAGGAAACATATTTATGGTTAGCGGGTATACCCTTTTGTTAGCCCATGTCATATGCTAACAAAAGCCTATACCCGCTAAACATAAATATATTTCCTGAATTAATGCGAACACGTTAAAGGCTCTATTGAAAAATTGCTTTTTTTGACTTATCCCCTTATGCCTTTTACCCACAGAAATGTTTAATACCACTGCATATAGAACTGTCACTGCCACTGTCAAAAGCGACAGGCGTTACCATAGAAACCAACTATCTATATTCTAAATCTATATTACTTAGGCATGTACAATAAATGTAACAGACGATTCTTTGTGGTTTTAAGACATAAAGTTTGTATAAACATGCTTCGTTTTCAAGATACATAAATATCCTTTACCCAATTTTGTTGCTATTTGGCAGTGTTATTTGTAGTGTTAAGGTGCTTACTTAGCTCTAACTTGATTAAATTGATTAATGCACTAGATTCTGTCATAAAAGTTGACAGATTTTGTTTGAATTTACCTTTATTATAAAAATGACATAATAAACAATTAGTAAAAACGCCAAATTAACAATTTTTATTGTTGATTTTTGTAATTAAGCTAAATTTAAAAAAAATTTGGCAACTTTTTTTGACAGAATCTGGAAACGCTGGTTGTTACCAACCATAACATAATAAATTAAATTAGGCAACCAGATTAGCCTAAAGTTTCTAGTCGATCAGTGGCGTACTTTTTGGTTAAATAAATTATTTTTAGTCTTTGGAATTAAGAAAAAAAAGTTACAGATGCTTTTTTATGGACCCTAAGGAACTACCCATTTTAATTTATTATATTAATTAAATAACACCCTGTAGTGCCTTTTGTCTTAATATAAAAAATAATAAATATTAATAAATGTTAATGTTATTTCTTCTAGGAATGACCAAAGCGGAAATGATCCTAAAGGTGGTAATGACGCCCATTTCCCCACCGTCTAGTTTCGTGGATCAATACAAAAAACTCCTCCCCGACTCCCAATTAACGGAGTTCAGCAAAATTCTCGACATGAAAAGCGTCAAAAGGCAGGAACAGGCGGCGCTGGTGGACATATTTAGGTCCCAGAAAAGTTAGGTTAAACAGAAAGTTTGACAGGTGTCAATTTATTTAAGGTTAACAGTTTGACAGTTGTTGTCAATAACCGTGGTCCTTTATTGGGCGTATAAGTATTCAATTATTTAAGTTTTAATTTTATTTTACGCACTTAATTTCTAAGGTTGTGATACGTTTTATTTAATATTTTGTGCAATTTGTGTATTAAGTATTTATTTTATTTTTTTCGAAAATAAATCGTATATTGTTTATAAAAATTGTTTTAATGGAATACTACGAAACACCCTGTATTATTTAAATTTTAATACATCAACATTGAGGTTATGTTTACAACCGACTATACGAGGGGTAATCGAAATAATTGTATAAAAATGTTTAATGGGCTCCATAAAATACGACTTAAAATTACGAATTCAACACTTTTTTGATATTGTTCTTAATCGTACGATATAACATCTTCGAAACAAAGGGATTGAAGCCAGTAGCAACATCTTTTTTTAGTTCTAGCTTGGGTTTGGACACTTGTTGCCATTGGTTTAACCTGAAATAAAAGTAAAGAACCGTTGACTGCATTTGGGTTGAAACAATTTAAGAGGTGAACACTTTAATTTTTACTATTGCTTGAAGCAATTTGCTTCGTTGTAATGAAAAACAATTTTCTTCTCACTTGAATCCCTTGATCAATAGTTCTTCCAGTTTTCGGCTGTGTGGTTATATGCTCTGGGGGATCCAAACTTTGTCTTTTTTCATTTATATCTAATGACACTTTTTTGCTTGTACTGGGCAAACTTTCATCAACTTTCCCCTGTTAAATGTATTAAGTTTTTGAGGGAGAATTTTTTACACATTTTTTTTACCTCTTTAGTGTCCGAACGTACCTCTGGAGATCCATTTTTCTGGTTTAAATCGTCCATAACTTATTTGAGGCATTTTCTGATAGTTCTACTTTTGACAGCTTAGTGTCAAAAGCAGTAAAATTTGAATAGTTTTTCAGTGAGTGGAAATATATTTCGATCAAATTTCCACGATATATAAAACTTCCTTTTCGTCCGTATTAAACAAGTACATTTTTCGTATATTTAATGAAATCGCATTGATTAATAAAATAAAATCATCATGGATAATTATAGTCGCCCCTCGTATACCACCATAAATCTGACAGCTGTCAGATAGACGTTCTAAACATAAAAAACTCACACTAGTTCAAAAGCAAAAAAAACCTATCCCATTATATCCCATTATAATTTTTCCATGTATTGTAACACGAAAATCACAATCAATTTTTTTTATGGAAGAGTTCTTAAAATATGAATTTTCAATTGTTTTTTTTTTAATTTTCGGAGGTGTTTTGACGTTTTTGAGTAAAGCTTGAAATCTAATTGTTCGATTTGGTCAAACAATTGTGGCTTAAGCCCTTGAATTGAAGGTATTTGAGCCATCTAAAACTTTCTCTTACATATATGTAAAAGTACCTACCTTTGATTTAAGTGCTTGCAAATCGTTCAATTAGAACTCGGATTATTCTCTAAAACGTCAAAACACCTTAGAAAATGAAAAAAAAAACAATTAAAAATTCATATCTCCAGTGTTGCCATCTTGGAGAATTTTTCACCATTTCTGGTGATTTTTTGTTCTTGGTTGAGAGTTTTCAAGTTAGATAGCGACAAGTCTCAAACCTGGAGAATTTAAAGATGCATCGGAGAGATTTTAGCGAATTTTTAATAATTAAAATACAGAATAAAAAATATTGAAAGTTTTGGTTGAGTGCGTTGTACTAGTGATTTTTTAATTAAGTTGGTTACCCTGCAAGAATTTGACAGGTCGGAACTTTGATACCTTTGAATAAAAAGCTCCATCCACATATTTAAAAAATATGTGACTCCACCATCCATTAAAGTTATTAATCTATGCCACCATCTATGCACAGAATAGAACATAAGAACAGAAGACACTATTAGTGTAATCACAGAACTTAAAGTGTAATATGTATTACATATCATGAATCAGATACAGCGGTATATTAGTACTATCTAAATCCTTCTACAGTTTATCCTAAAATGTGCCCGTCAATCTTTGTATATAGAAAAATAGACTTATTTTGATCTGTACATACATGCCGTAGCAAAGTTTGGCCAGCTACTTTTGGGACATCCTGTATAGATTTAAAAATATTTTTTTTGTTATTTCCATTTTAAACGAAAATGTTTATTATATAAAAAAGCATTAAAGCCTCTTATTACAAAGTTGTTTTCTTATTTATTTTTTTGTTAACTTTTTAAATAAACTGTTTTATATTTTTTGCATTTTGTGTCCATACAAACCTATTTGTTTTTGCCCATTAAAAGTATTGGGGATTTTTTTTTGGCAAAATTGGAGAATTCTGGTGAATTTTTGTTTAGGTTTTTGAGAATTTTAACATTTTACTGTTGGCAACACTGCATATCTCGAAAACGCTTCCATGAAAAAAATTGTAAGTGTGATTTTCGCGTTTAGTGAGCCAAATGGTACTTTTTACGATTTTATCTCAATAAAGTATGCTATTTTACATTAAAATGACAAAAACAAGATTTTATCTTTTGACCACCCCTCGTAAACGAATCATTTGTAAACATAACCTCAAACTACTGTTTTGATTAAACTACCAATGTTGTGATCAGTGATGAGTGTATTTAAGTGCAAATACTAATAAAAAGTGGAGGAAAACTTACTCAAAATACTAATTATTAGTTACAATGGATTTTTTTATGTATTATTGTGATTTTTGCGAATTTGCTTCAAGCTATGAGGAATGGGAAGAACATGCTAAAACTTGTAAGCCAAATAAAAATAAAGAAAAAGACAATATTGGTGAACCTATAGAAGATAAAGTAATAGAAACCATTATAGAAAAGGATAATGAACCTGCCGAAACTCAATGTAAAGAAATTAATAAAAATGACTCGATAATAACTCAATGTGAAGAAATTAATAAAAATGTATCAACAATTATTACAAGTGAAGAAGATAGAATTGCTCAAGAAGCTCTAGAAGAAACATCCAATGAAAAATGTGAAAATGTATTAAAAATATGTGAAATTTGTAATGAAGGAATCATAAAACTAGAGAGGCACAGAAAATGTAGAAGGGAGTTACTGAGAAGCAAATTTAAGGATTCTTTGAAGATTAAGGAAGAAAATCAAGAGCCTCCATCGAAAATACCAAAAAAAGAATTTGATGAACACCAAAGCAAAGAACCAGAAAAGCAAGTTGTGACATGTTTGACTGAAGAACTTAAAAATGAAACAGCAAATTACAATCTATATTTACAAAGAAGTCAATGTCCCTATTGCAGTGCCAAAGAAATTACACAAAGAAACATAATTGAACATGTGAAAACATGCCTTGTATACCCCTTGTACAAACAAAGATACGAAAAAAAGAGATACAAATTGCGCACTTGCGGAAAGTGCTTTAGAACGTTCGCATCAAAAAAAATTTTGTGCCATCATGATTGTATGTTAAAAACAAAATACCCATGCCCTTTCTGCGGTCTTCAAAACACTAACATGTCGAGTCTTCTCAACCATATTAACTATTGTAAAATCTATTTACAAAATAAAGAAATGTTCAAAAAGGGAGATAATGCATATAAAAAAAACACTTGTAAAGATTGCTTCCTGTCTTTTGAGGATGAACGTGGTCTTCAAATGCATGAGTGTTATATTTTGGGGTGTCAGAAGCTTAGTATACTAAGAAAGAAGAATGAAGCACAAGTCAAAACGGTTAGTTTGAATTTTTTTAGTTTTAGATTTTTTTTTTCCTAACATTAAGTACTCTAGCTTAGTTTAACTAATTTTGGGCCGCTGATTTCAAAAATGTCATTCGTTTTTCTCTAGGACGTTTTTTTGTTAGTAATTTAATTATTTATTAAATTATTTTGGCTTAAATTTATCTTGAATGTACTGAAGTAATTGGTATAGGCAAAAAGATCATATTTATCTTAACAATATGACATTTTAAATACTAAAACTAAATTTTAATTAAAAAAAACAACCATTATTTGACATTTTTTGTCGTTTATTTTAATTATTGAATTGAAAGGGCAACAAAGTAAACAAGTTTCGGTATTTTTATCCAAATTAAGCCCACAATATTTAATGCATTGCATAATTTTGCTTTTTTCTACCTTAAATTTATATTAATCGTATCAAATATCGAATTGAATTATAGTATTATTGTGCTTAATCCTCATCATCGTCGTACATCTTTTGCTGCAAATTCCAGCAAATGTCTCCTAGCAATGAATCCAACTTCTTTCCGCTATACCCATAGATATCTACCAATGCTCTAGATTTGCAGTTACTCGGTAAAATCGTTCTCCATGTTCATCAGTTCGGCAAATTTATCATGATGAGAAAAAAGAAAATGTATTTTAAACAACATATTAACGCTAATTCTTTACAATTTTTTCAATAAATTGGCGCCAATTTTAGGCCCGATATGAACCAAGAACATTTTCAATGACAGCTTTAACACTGCCATATGCGACAAGCTCGTCAACTTTAAGAGCATTTTTGAATGCTTGATCTTTCATTAAACGTCGTATATACGGTCCATTTAATATTCCTGCAAAATTAAAGTAGTAGGAATATCTCATAAAATTTTGTAATGAAATATTGCGTTGGTTTTTCTTGGGCGTAAAGGTACCGCAACAAAAACAAAACAAATTTACAACGACGACATAAAGGTTCGTCTCCTTTCTCTTTCTCTGTCACTTCCATTTCCTGCTCTTTTTTTATTTTTGGTTCTTAAAATCACTTTCAAGTAAAAATACAATTTAAAGTTTAAATTTTGAATGTCGAAAATTAATAGATGCACTTTAATGTGCTTGAACGATAAAGTAGATAAAGGCGCCTTTATGCTTCAATTCGATATTAAATTTTGATAAGACTTAATAAATAAGATTGAAGATTAAATTTTTGGGTACTTTTAGGCATGATATCAAATAATAGTCGAAGAGTAATGTTTATACCGAAACCGATTTACTTTGTTGCCTTTTCAATTTAATTAGTAATTAAAAAAACGAGACATAAATTTCAAAAATGATAATTTTTACCAAAAAAAACATTACAATTTTAGTTTTGGTAATTAATAAAGCACTTTTCTGCAGAAAAGCTATAGCTAATAGCTATTAGCTATATACTAGTAAACGGCTACAATGAAACAAACATCTGTATGGAGTCCCTGTATATTTTTGACCAAAAACGTCAAAACTATACTGAACATCCAAAATAGATTTAATGGAAAATAATTTAATAAATATAATCAAAATATTAACAAAAAAAACTTACATTTTGAGATAATTGGGCAGAGCATTTTATTACGCAATGGGGAACCTAGTTAAATTTTTTCTGACCTATACTTTTTATGGTTTTATTCAAGGCGTTTTGTAATTTTAAACATTTCTGTGAAATCAGAATTTCAGTTGAGTTTAGGTACCGTTTTCGAGATATTTACAAAAAAAATCTCCTAATTACGTCACTAGGCTATTGACAACGTTGCCAGCTTTTTCTATGGTTGCCAGTGTATTTAGTTTAAGATTCTTACGATAGATGGCGCCACGTTATAATATTTTAGTTTTAAAACCACTTGATCTATAATTTTAGTTGAGAAGAAGAAGAAGAATTGATTTTTTGACGTTTCTTTTTTTCGGGTTATGTTTTTTTTTATTTTGGATTATTGAAAATCAATGTTATTGTTATGTTATTTGTAATTGATATTAGATAAGTGATTTATTAATAACGGATTCCAAAGCAAAGGAATCTTGTGGAATGGTTGGTTACATTAAACATTGGAGCTTTTAAACAAATAAAGTAAGTACCTATAATTATAATCATATTTTGTCGTAAATGCATTTCATTAGTATAATGCCTAGTCCTTTATATTCTTTTAGATATATTTTGGACCCTAAAATATCAAACAGTAATATGATACCTCGTAATAAGGAAGATAGGTACTTAATGAATTTGGTGACCATCTTACACTCAACTGACAGTGACAGTATTTGTACATAACCTCTTCGGGTATTTTCTGACATAACCGAATGAAATCATTAACAAGACAACTTGACAACAGGGTAATTTTCAACCAATAGAAATCTTAGAATGTTGGTCACATGGCGAGGTTTGTGACGTCATAAAAATTTATATTTTTTGTAAATATCTCGAAAACGGTAAACTCAATTGAAATTCCGATTTTACAGAAATGTTTAAAATTACAAAACGCCTTGAATAAAACCATAAAAATTATAGGTCAGAAAAAATTTAACTACCCCATTATTTCGAATCCTAGACGTCCTGGAGCCAAACGAGTGGCATTTTTGAAAATGTATATACCTACTATAGTGTTTTTTCTAGGTGGCTCAAAATGAACCAGTGACATACAATTGTGATAAATGCAAAACTTCCTTCAAGAAAAAACAGACGTTTGTGGAACATATAATAAAAAACCATTCCATAATTCTGTGCTCTTCTTGTAACTCAATCATAAAAAACATTTCGAGTTATTTCGATCATAAAATCAAGTGCGCGTTCGAGCGATTTTTCAAGAGTAAGATCAAAGAGCAGACGATAGATGGCGTTGAATATTTTTCTTGCAAGTGCGGCGTAGGCTTAAACGATAAAGATAAAATGATGGAGCATTTGAAATGTATGCACCCAAATTTTGTAAACAATTTCTGCCAGTCGACTTCGCCTCTATTCGGTTGCGATCAATGTCGGCAACTATATGGAAAAAATGTCGGGAGAATATTTTGCAACTGTCAGAAAAAATATTTATCCGTCGTCACTAAAGGTGAACCAAAAATCGTTGCTATCGAAAATGTCGATAATGATACAACCTTGCTTAAAAATGTTGGCGATAATTTGGTGGGTAATGTAGATGCCGCTACAATACTACCGAGTATTGTCGCCGAAAGTGGACCAAACAGTCAGGTGAGTGTTATACTTTAAGTAAAAAAAATGAGAAATTACATTCCCAATAAACATTTTTTTTTTATAGTGGTTGCCATAAATGTTATATCATCAAAATTATGAAACCTAAATTTCTTAATTTGGTTACAGAAATATTTATATCACTCTTATATACCCCTTAAAGAGCTTATTTGGGGAGTTTATGAAGGGTATCTGTACCTATAACACTATAAAACCCAAAATATATGAAAATATTTTTTTAAATACATTAATATCTTTTTCTACTCCCGCCTTTAAAACAACCATTATCGTACATGTTTACATGACAATAAGTGACCTTTTAAATACACATTGACAAGTTTTGGCTTTACGGCGTTTTAGTCACGGGCTGAAGTTAGCAACAGGTGTTTAATCGCGGGCTGAAGTTAGTTTTAAGTTAGTTGACAGTTGCCAAATGTCATACAATCGTTAAAATAAAGTGCCTTTCTTGTAAAATATTACTAAATGTTAAAATTATTTTATCATCTTAATACAAAAATACAAAAGTATTAAATAGTTTCTCAACGACAATATTTGAAAAGTTTATATGAACATTGTACTGACCGGCAGTAAACTATAACTTAAATTCGGGCACGGACTCCACTGTAAAGTGCTCATTAAACATTTTCTTTACTTTCACTGTAAAAAACTGTCCATTTTCAAGAAATACATTTCGATTTATAACCTTTATAATCTGTGTTTATAAAATACAAAAATTTGACATTTGACGGTGACACACAGATTCCCCTATTGTGTCATAGATGGCGCTCTATAAAAATATTTGATTTAAATCATTTTACGATAATAATAATATAATAATAAGTATTTGTCATAGAAAAAGTATAGTATGCACCTCGTTTATAAACTTTTCTATACACTCATTAACTTAAGCAAACGCTCGCAAGCTCGCTCGTGCCTAAATTAAATTCGTGTATAAAATGGCGTTTATCAAACTTGATACATAATATACTATTATGTAAATTCTTTTTAAAGCGAAGATTATTATCCGCTAGGAATACTTTGTCTCTCCTGGGCCGTACTCACCTATATTTAACTACTTTTTGACAACTCAACTTGACTTAAAAAAATGAACTTTACTATTTTAGGAGCTTGAAAAAAATGTAACCAATCCGGATGGAGATGTTGCAATGGCCTACTCTGCCAAAGTGCCTCAAACTGAAGACAAACTTCAATCCTCAAGTGAAACAAAAGAATTAGAGGATAAAATACAAAAATCGATAGATTACTTCATAAATTTTAGTACAACTTATGTAATGGCCCACAAAACAGTCTATACATGCACGCATTGCGACGTCGAAGACGATTCGCTGGCCAAAATAAAAGCGCATATAAGAAGTCATCCTGAAAATTTTTGTCCGTGCAAAACACTGTGGAGTTTATGTTGCAAATGTGTAAGTATACAGGGTGTCACAAAACTCGCGCCACAGAGAAAAAGAGGGCGTGCCGATAGCAATTGCAATGTTGCCATGTTTAGATAACAATTTTGCATAATAAAATGACTAAGCTGTCAGTTGTGTTTTTGAATATTTCGTTTAATTCGTGTATTCGTTTATTTTGTTTGTTGTTTTTGTTATTTTATATCGTTTAAGTTCACACTCACAGGCAAAATAATCGATCCACACAAATTTTCGATGAATTTCAATCGCAAATAACTTTTTTATTTGATTTCGGATTTAAACGAATATTAAAGAATATTGTAGATAAATACATGGACAATCGCTCACATTTTAAATTAAATTACTAAAAAATAGACGTACAATTGGCGTCCCCGAAATGTGAACGGCAAAATTTAATCGTGTAATATGGGCTTTGCATCAGTGTCGTCGGTAGTTGTCAAATTTGATAATAGTTGTCAATTGCAATATTAAAAATGCCACCCCACTTAACCGAGGCTCAGAGGTCCAGGGCAATAGCCAAATTAGAAGAAAATTGGTCTTTAAGTGAAGTAGCTGCAGATTTAAATGTCAGTAAAAGCTGCATATTTTATATCAAAAAACATTGGCAAGAACAACAAAGATTAAGAAGACCTATCAGGCAAGGTGTAGGAAAAATCTCCAACGAAAATGAAGACAATGCTCTTGTCGCACATATTAGGCAAAATCCTTTCAATAGCGCAGTTAAGGCCCGAGAAGATACACAATTTCCAGGATCTCTTCGAACAGCTCAAAAAAGATTGAAACAAGCTGGTTTAAAAAACTGTGCTGCTGCTCATAAGGTTTTTTTAACTGAAGAAAATAAGCGCAGGAGAGTCCAGTTCGCCAATGACTATTTAAATTATGGAGAAGATTTTTGGAATAATGTTATATTTTCGGATGAAAAAACGTTCCAATCTTGCAATAATGGAAGGCTGCGTGTATATCGTCCAAGAAACGCAAGATTTGAGGAGAACTATACATTAAAAACCTCAAATAGTGGACGCTTTTCCATAAATGTTTGGGCGTGGATAAGCATCCATGGTCCGGGAGTATGTTGGGAAATTGATGGTAGATTAACGGCTGAGCACTATACCAGGATTTTGGACAACGTTATGCTACCTTCAGTTAGACATGTGTTTCCAGAAAACTTTATATTTCAACATGTAAGAAAACTGTATAGTATTCAAAAACGATTCTAATAAATATTATATTACAGGACAATGCACCAGTTCACACAGCTCGCGTGGTTACAGAGTGGGTAAACAACAACCACATAACTGTTTTGCCATGGCCAGCTAGAAGCCCTGACTTAAACCCCATTGAAAACGTGTGGGGTTTTATAGTTAAAAATATATATCAACGGGACTTTAGGCCAGCAAACCGAGATGAACTATGGAGTGCTGTTGAAAATTCTTGGGATGAGCTTGCTGATTCATACGACATGCGTGAGCTAATAATGTCCATGCCAAGAAGGTTGCAAAGGGTTGTGGCAGCTAATGGCTCTGCAATTAAGTATTAAAATAGCTTAGCAGCACAGTTTTTTAAGCCAGCTTGTTTCAATCCTGGAAATTGTGTATCTTCTCGGGCCTTAAATGCGCTATTGAAAGGATTTTGCCTAATAAGTGCGACAAGAGCATTGTCTTCATTTTCGTTGGAGATTTTACCTACACCTTGCCTGATAGGTCTCCTCAATCTTTGTTGTTTTTGCCAACGTTTTTTGATATAAAATATGCAGCTTTTACTGACATTTAAATCTGCCGCTATTTCACTTAAAAACCAATTTTCTTGAGCAATATGTTAATTTAGTTATGTTATTTTTATTGTGTATTTACCTACTTGTTAATTTATATTGTTGTATAAAACCAAATTAAAGTTAATTTATTTGTTATATTGTTTATATTATTGTTTGTTAAAATATTATTAAAAAAATAGAACGATTTAGGATATTGTTCATATTCTTAGTATTCTCCCTTCTATATGTAACACCACTGGCCGAAGCCAGGAATGAACGAATAAATTTTATGAAAAAAATCCATGACAACAAAAAATCGTTCACATTTCGGAGACGCCAATTGTACGTTGATAATATACAGGTTTAAACAAAAATATGTTTTTTACCATAAGTTTAAGTCACTCTGTAGAGTGGCTAAACCATATATTGTTTTAAATTAAGTTTTATTTATCAAGTCACATCTATTTTTAACAGTTTTGTTTTTGGTTCACCTTGATATATTTATTTTTGTGGAAAATATGGATTTTTTAAAAAAACATTGCAATTTCCAATATTTTCCTGTATGAAGAACTAAGGTTGCTATGGTCCATCCATAGCCTATGGAGGATGACAGTGACAGTTTTGTTGAATCATCCCATACTTGGACATGTCATATACAGCTTTCAAAAGGTATCAGATTGTTTTTTGTAAATTAATGTGTTAATTTTAAGGTGTCTTCTTACTTTTAAAAATGTCTCCGACTGATGTTGCCCTTTATACTTTACTTCTTGTGACGTTTAAAACACTTGCCACGTAATACTGTGACGGTTCATCCTGGATTAAACTAATGCTTTAAAGTAAGAAGACACCTCAAAATTTAAACATTAATTTGCAAAAAACAATTTGATAGCTTTTGAAAGCCGTGTATGACATGTCCAAGTATGGGATGATTCAACAAAACTGTCACTGTCATCCTCCATAGGCTATGGATGGACCATAGCAACCTTAGTTCTTCATACAAAAAAATATTGGAAATTGCAATGTTTTTTTTTAAATCCATATTTTCCACAAAAATAAATATATCGAGGTGAACCAAAAACAAAACTGTTAAGAATAGATGTGACTTGATGAATAAAACTTAATTTAGAACAATATACGGTTTTGCCACTCTACAGAGTGTCTTAAACTTATGGTAAAAAACATATTTTTGTTTAAACCTGTATATTATAAACGTACGTCTATTTTTTACTAATTTTTTAAAACGTAAGCGATTGTCCATCGTTAATTTATCTACAATATTCTTTAATATTCGTTTAAATCCGACATCAAATAAAAAAGTTATTTGCGATTGAAATTCATCGAAAATTTGTGTGGATCGATTATTTTGCCTGTGAGTGTATATTTAAAATGCCGAAGCATTTAAATAGTCGGAGTCAAGAGTTGGTATCATCCTTAATACGCTATTTTGAGGCAGAACAGGATAATAATGGACCTTTGTTACCTTTAACAAAATATATGTTGGATACATAAAATAATAATATATATACCAGAGACTGACTTTAGATGGCAAAATTTCTGGGTTTTATAGCTAAAAATGGCATACTTTTGGCGGTGCATCATAAAGGTTATAAAAACTCCTGACTTTTGACATTTTGGTATTCTAAGGTCCCAAATCTAGGGACCCTATGGTATTTTTCCTTTAAAACGCCATCTATCGCCCTGTAGTTGCACTACCACTTTCACTTGATGCAATGATTTTAGCATCACATTGACAACCGTGCCCAATCAGCTGATTGATGACGTGTACGTCGTTTTCTTTTGAATTTATATTATATCAATAATGCATCACAAGTATCCTAGCAATCTAAAGAATTCCCTATGGCTATCTATTGGGATTGGCTATCGTTTTTTATTCTTATTTCGCTTATCCTTTGCGTTAGATAATTTTAATTTTCAAGTATTGTTTCGCATAACTTTTTCTCTGTGGCGCGAGTTCTATCAAAACAGCACTACACTTTTGCAGTTTTTGTTTCTTTCAGTATCACCCCATACAGAGCAAAATGTTCAGAACTAATAGAGTACCGTTTGAATACCACCGATGTGAAATATGCGAAAAAAAGTTTAGTGTTATTCAGGTAAGTTTTATTTTTTTGAATTCTAGACGCGAAAATTCAGCTAGTAGGACCCGATTGGTCTAAATCACTTTAACTGCCTAGGATATAATCACTCACTTTAGTAACAAGTGTTGACAACAATAACATTTAAATTATACACCAATTGAAGATGAAAATAATATGTTTTATTCAAACGTCAGTGAAATGTCATTCTAACCTTACTTTTTCTATAATTTAAAATTCATGGTTTATCGTTATTTAAGGTTTGGGCACAATATTAGATGCTATGATAAAATTTTGAAAAAATTCTGGATTGTAGTAAAGTAAAGTTTAAGAAAGGTTTCCGATTAAGAAATTATTAAAGTTGCTAAGACTCCACGGGATGTTATCGTTTAATATTGCTAAACAGTGTTGTGAATGTGAATTCACAATAATTATCAATCTGTCATTCTCGTCTGAAAGATCTGGCAACCCTGCATGCCAGCATGCCTTATACACTTTTTTTAATAATTTATATTGAAAAACATAGGGACACAAATTTTAAAAAATGTTACTTTTAAATTTTATTGTTGCAGTTCTAGTCCAGATTTTTTTTACCCTGTGTATTTTATTTTAAAAATAAAAATATTGTTTCAGGGCATATTTTTAATTATTTGCCAAATAAATATTACAAATGATAAAAACAATTTGAACCAAAAATATAAAAACATAGTTTCATACACTGTGCCTGATTTTGCTTCCTAGCAAAAACATTTGTTTTTACCTACAGGGTGTATTTTTTATTTCCCTTTAAAATGCCTTTTAAACTTGTATTATTTGCAAAAACTGTTAATAATATTATAATATGTATATTCAATTTGAAATACCCATGTTGCCCTTTTGTCCCTCCATTTAATTTTTCTCTATGTTTAATAGTATATTTCTGGGCCAAAAAATAAATAGAGTTTAAGAAAAAAGTCCCCTCTACCTTGTTGAGCCCTTTACCCAAAACCTACTGTTTCTATTTCTAAGAGCAAGCACATAATTTAAAAATTTAAAAGCATAAAATTAGTTGAACATGGTCTAAAATTTAAAATTCTTCAAAATTATTTAAATAATAATAATAAGACAAATATTTTTTAAACACAATTTTGGATTTACTTTGTAAACTTTATTATTTATTAAATAATACTTTTTTAATTATCTAGGTACCTATTATATTTAAAAGTAAACAATTATGTTTTTTAAATTAAAAAAATAAATCAATAAATATTTTCACCCAAGTTCAATGTTAGGGGTAATTATTTTACAATGAAACTAAAGAAAGTTATAAATCAATTGATTTCAAGTATTCAGCTTTTCAATCACACAAAAGAACAGCAAAGATATTTGATATAATTAACATGGTAGTAATTTTATCTTTAAAAAAATGTTATTTTTTAATTATATCTTTGTTATAGGTATATTTACATTCTGAATTTATTTTTTCATATATATTTTTATATACACCGAGTGTATCTGAGAATAGGCGCACCCCTGTAACTTTTAGGATATAAAATGCCCCTTAACTTATAAGAGTACAAAATGAATTTTTTGTACTTGCTGTTTTGCCGGAAATGACACCAACTTTCGATTTTTAAATGGAATGCCCTATATATTTTTACATATTTGGAATTCTGAGGAAATTCTGAGTCGGACAGCATCCTCAAATTGACCTTTTGCAATACAAAAAAACAAAAGTATTAAATAGTTTATTGAAACTTATAGTAAAAAAGTTTATTTATACAAATATTTAATTTAAATATATAATATTATAAATTTTAATTGTTTTTGGAATGTACTTCGACCTTTTTGTGGAAAACTAAATTTGTTTTTCTAAAATATTTGTGATTTTTTTTTAGTTGCTAATAGATCACTTTAAAGCTAAGCATATGAATAAATCTATGACCGAAAACAAAAAAACTGCTTTAAAAGGAAACGCAGATGTGGATAATTCAATGGAAAATGCCAAGTATACATCTGTTAAAGTTGTTAAGATTGTTTTCCCTGAGGAAATTGAAGAAACTGCAAAGGCGCCGGTAGAAAATTCGATGAAAAATATCGAGTCGGAAAATTCCGAGCACACAACCGAAACCGATAAAGTTGTTCTCCCTGAAATAACAGAAAAAACAAATTTAGAAGAAAAGAATTTTGAGACGCAAAAGGCTCCAGTAGAAACGAAAACAGCCCACTCGGAATATAAAAAGGTGAGTAGTGAGCCATTGGGACACCCTGTATAAAAATATTTTTTTTAGTTTAAAGAAAATTCAACCATTCGACATCCGGATCCTCAGTACTGCCCCAAACGCGACAACAAATTTGAAATATTAAATGGCTATTGGCCAAATGGTCATTCTGAAAAAGTTTGTGTAAGTATTTTAAGTCCAAACACAATCCACACAACAAGGTCTGTACTATCTCGTTCTAAAAATACAAAAAATCACTGCAACACTGCACAGTTTAACGGCGGCCATTTTTGTTGTTTACAATTTTTGTGCTTTGGGTTTGTGCTCTGTTTATGCAGATTAATAATCGTTTTAAACGTTGTGTTTCTCATAGTAAGCCTTAAAAGAGGCCTTAAAGTGCTAAGAACAACCATTTTACTCCTCTATTGTAAAAAATAAACTTTATTCTATCAGGGCTGTCATAAAACTGTCAAATGTCAATTTTAAGGTTAAATTATAACCGGGTGACGTTCACAATATCGAAATTCATTATATCGAATTCAAAATATCGAACACTTTTTATCGAAAATCAAAATATCGAAAATACAAAATGTCGAAAATCAAAATATCGAAAATTAAAATGTCGAAAATGATAATATCGAAAATTAAAATGTCGATTTGAAAATGTCGAATAATTAAAATTTCGAAAATTAAAATGTCCAAAATGATAATATCGAAAATTAAAATGTCGATTTGAAAATGTCGAATAATTAAAATTTCGAAAATTAAAATATCGATTTAAAAATATCGAAAATTAAAATGTATGATTAAAATCGAAGTGTATATGTACAGAGGCGCCTCTGTAAATAAAGTTACGGTTATGCACCGAATTATCTTGGCTCCCTGGCTCCTAGAGCTTACGATAAAAATAAAACACTTTTTAATTACATAAATTAGCCCATTTTAGTTGGGTTTTTTGCTCAATGGGGCGGGGGGGGGGCAATGGGGCGGGGTCGGTTGGGTTGTGTTGTTGAGTTTGAGTACATTTCTATATCAGAGGCGCCTCTGTACATATACACTTCGGATTAAAATAATATGTCGATTAATTGAAATATTTAAACAAAATATCAAATTCAAAATAAGAAAATATGGTTTAGTTTCACATTAATTGTAAAAATAAAAGTATTTGTATTTTCGACATTTTAATTTTCGACATTTTGTATTTTCGATATTTTGATTTTCGATAAAAAGTGTTCGATATTTTGAATTCGATAAAGTGAATTTCGATATTATGAACGTCGATATTTTATTTTCGATAAATTGAAAATTCGATTAAATAAAATTTCGATATTATCATTTTCGACATTTTAATTTTCGATATTTTGATTTTCGACATTTTGTATTTTCGATATTTTGATTTTCGATAAAAAGTGTTCGATATTTTGAATTCGATAAAGTGAATTTCGATATTATGAACGTCACCCATTATAACCCACAAATTAACCTTCAAATTGTCATTTGACAGCCCTGATAGAATAAGGTATATTTATTATAAAAGAGGAGTAAAATGGTTGTCCTTAGCACTTAAAGGCCTTATTTGAGGCTTACAAGTGCCTCTGTAAGAAACACAACGTTTAAAACAATTATTAAATAGCACAAACCCAAAGCACAAGAGTTGTAAACAACAAAAATGGCCGCCGTTAAACTCTGTGCAGTGTTGCAGTGATTTTTAGTATTTTTAGCATGAGATAGAACAGACCTTAACAATTGTTGTGTCAGTTGTAAAACATTTTTCTTGCAAAAAATAAAGAAGCACCTGAATCTTTTTTTTTACTAAATTCTTAAGACTAAAAATAATTTATAATAACCTTTATCCTACCAAAAAGTACGCCACTGATCGACTAGGAACTTTAGGCTAATCTGGTTGCCTAATTTAATTTATTATGTTATGGTTGGTAACAAGCAGCGTTTCCAGATTCTGTCAAAAAAGTTGCCAGATTTTGTTTAAATTTAGCTTAATTACAGAAATGACAAAATCAACAATGAAAATTGTTAATTTGGCGTTTTTATTAATGGTTGATTATGTCATTTTTGTAATGAAGGTAAATTCAAACAAAATTTGGCAACTTTTATGACAGAATCTAGTGCATTTCTTTAAAACTTTAGGTTATGTGCTTAAATTGTAAATATCATAACTATGGAAAGTGCTTTTGGATTTATTTACACAAATTGAATGTTTAAAGTTTAACCTGTGAACTTGTCCTAATTTCATCTGAGTAAACAGAAAGAAAAAAACCGATGAAAAAATTTTGTGGTTATGGAGTTTTTAAAATAGGTACTAAATTTTCTAATCATTGCTTAAGCTAATAGCTGGATGAGTAAATAAATACAGAAGGGCATTAGAGCTTTAAGGGCATACAACTTTTGTATTTATTGAGTTTTTATTTATTTTTGTCAAGAAAAATTTTTAGTAACCATTTTTTACAACTGGTAACGCGCAGCTTCTTTGTTGGTTGTTATCTATGTACTCACAGAACACAAGTGTGTAACCAGTGGCGTATCACAAAAAATATAAAAAACTTGTAATAAATATTTTTTCTTTATCTTTGGGAAAATATTTTTTTATTATTATTAAACTTCTTTTTTAGTTCCAACCCAAAAATGTCGAGTATTACGAAAAAGTACCTACTGAACACCACTGTGACATATGCAAGGAAACGTTTAGTGATGTTGAGGTTATGCCTAAAATGATTTTCTGGTTTTTTTATAAATATGTTATTGTTTATTTTTTAGTTGTTATTGGATCACTTAAGCGTTGGGCATACAACTACCTGTATAACCGAAAACGAAAAATCTGCTTTAAAAGAAAACGCAGTGTTGGAAAATGTCGAAACGAAAAGGGTAAAGTATTTTTGTTGCTTAGTATTTTTTATTACCAAACTTCTTTTTTAGGTCCAACCCAAAAATGTCGGGTATTACGAAAAAGTACAATGTAACATATGCAAGGAAACGTTTAGTGATGTTGAGGTGATGCCTAAAATGATTTTCTGATTTTTTTTATAAATATGTTGTTGTTTATTTTTTAGTTGTTATTGGATCACTTAACCGTTGAGCATACTACCTGTATAAGCGAAACCGAAAACACTGCTTTAAAAGAAAACGCAGTGTTGGAAAATGTCGAACCGAAAAAGGCCTCAGCTGTCTCAAGATCACGTAACAAAGGAAATGCTCTAATAAAGGACGGTTTAGGTATTCATCAAGGATACGAGGTAAGCATTTTGTAAATCTTGGAAAGTTTGAAAATTTGTCCCACATTTATTTAGATTTACCCACTGTGCGAATTTGTCCTACCATTTTTAAATTTGTGCCACTGTGAATTGGTTAAAACATTTTTTTTAAATTTTATCCCACTGTGCGATTTCTTTACCTTTTTTTACATTTTTGCAAATTTTTTCCACAATTAATTAATTACTGTGTACACTAGTAGCGCCACCACTCGGCTGTTATCATCGTAACAAAAGTACAACTTTTGATAATCAGCTGTCAAACGCGTGTGTTACGAACGAGTGTTTTTGAGAATAAAACCAAAAAAGTATCGAAAAAAAAACCGTGGCACGATTTGTTGTGTTGTTGGGTGTATTTCGAGAGGAAATCCTGGGTTGAGTTTTTATCGGTTTTCCAATAAACAGTGTTAATCTGAATGAAGAAATAAATTGCATACAGTCTCTGTAAATATAAATTGTACCTATTAGATGCAATAAATCCACATTTTAGTAATGATTAACGTGAAAAGTGTAAAATTTCAATTCAGTAATAATCGTCAAACAAATAAGTCGTCTAAATTTAAACAACATTTAGAATTATTAAAAGCGTTGATTAAGAATTCTTTAAAGTCTCCAGTCAACGGTAAAATACCATTATATTATGTATTATATATAATATTATGTTGCCATGAATTCGTGGGTATATTTTGTTGTTTAAAATGCAGTTGTCAGCGTTTTTTTAGAGAACTCAAATATAAAAATGGTTATGTTTGTGCAAAAATTATTTTTTACCAATTTCTTAAAAATGCCAAACTTAAATATAAATTATATTAGGTAAAGTTATCATTAGTTAATTCTGCACCAACAAATGTACTTAACGAATTGGATCCTTTGGCAAAACATGAAAATGCAACGATTTAGTTCTTGAATTTTATTTACAATTAAAAACACAATAATTCACCATGATTCCTTTAATAAAGTACACACACTAACGTAACTATATAAGCATTTAAGCGTTGAGTTTCTTAATCAATGATATAAAGAATAATCAATCGAAATCGAGTACTAAACCAGTTTTTTAGTTTTTTCCTTACAATGTAAAACACAAATAACGTGCGCGATTTAGCTGTGCAACTACATATTTGTTTTAAAATTATGTACAGTTCGTACAACCCGATACTTTTTTAAAAAATTTCCAATGTTTAAGAATACATTATCAAGTTTTACTTCCAGCTGTGTAGTCTAACTACAAATTAATTTTTAGTTTGAAAAAAGTATAACCAATTATTGTCGTCCTGTTATCAAACTTGACAGCAAATTGGACGCATCAAATGACACGCAAAAAAACACAATCGAAAATTCCTCTTCGGAAGTTAATTTAAACCACACAATAATTCAGGTGATTGACGACACAAGTAAAAAACCAACTTATGTGAGGTGTTCCGGAACATTTTTTAAATGCACGCATTGCGATGTTGTAGAAGATGATCTGGACGCAATTAAAGCGCATTTGTCAAGTCACCCTGAAAATTTCTGTTCATGCGGAAAGTTGTTTAGTTCCTGTTCCAGTTCTGTAAGTAGTTTGTTCATAAATTTTTTTGCTAAAAAAGTGTTTTGTTGGGATAAAACTACACCATTCGTGATACATGTGGATTCATCAGAAAATACAACGAATTTATAAAAATTCTTTGGTTTAAAATTGTATCTCCCATCCACAAATAAAAATATACAGGGTGTTTTACATTTGTGGTCCATTAGAAGTTTCTGGGGAACGGAAAACTTTTTAAATGTAACACTCAGTATGTATTTACCTAATCAAAATAGTAAATTAAAAAACCGTTTGATTAATGTTACTGTTCCCTATACCTAAAGTTAATAATTTCAGAGATATTTAAGGGTGATTCTACAAAAGTTGGACAACTTGATGTCATCAGTCAATAGAGTAGGTATTTTAATATTTTTTGTAAATATTTTAGTACATTAGAAAAGATCCAGGTTTTTTAACTTGTCCACCCAATTTTAATGTATTTTTTCAAAAGCACGTTTGTAGAAAAACAATAAATATTCAAAACATCAGTACCTTGGCGTGTCACACTCCTGAATCAAATATTTGAGTGATTTTATTTTAAAACATATTAAATTTATCTTAAATTTACCAATTTCACTACAAACTATAAAACATTAAATAATGTATTTTTCATATTTTATCATAGATTCGAATAATAGCAATTTTAAAAAAATTGATAATCTTTGTACTCACTTTTACCCGTCAGTTCTGTGTCCAATGTTAAAATTCAAAATTCCTGCGAAATATTGAATTTTAAACGTCAAGTCCTCGTTTTAACTCAAGTGTTGGTTAAATTACCTACAGAGCCCGCCCTTTGCACGACAGTAATCTTGAAAACAATGCAAGCGGCGAAGTTGTGGTGAATGCACGTATAGTTCCAGTCAAAATTTCAGTACTGTGGTGAGTAGTTATTTTCTTACGTATATATGTTTCATTGTAATTTATATAAGGCTATATGTGATTTGTTGATAAGTAGCATCCACTAATAAAAAATATCAGTAAAATACTTAATTCCGAACTATAATCTCAAATTTGTATCCCATTCATCAGTACCGCGTCGTCAGTTCCATGTTCGATGTTTCGGTTATCTTTTTTTCGCAAACTTCAATTTAATTTCTGCTTGCGCAGAACTTGTTTATTTAATGTCATTATAAACTCATATAAATTTGGTGTGGGTCCCATATCTAATAATTGAGATATCGGTATACCCAAAATCCACCAGCCGCCACTGATGTGTGGTATTATTTGATTTTAAGATATTTAATGTATAATATGCTCAAAGTTGCAATAAATCTTATATTTTCGAATTAATTATGTATTTAATTAGTACCCTGGTATACTCGTCACTTCCCTTGCATTTAAATTTAGAAAACACAGATATTTCAGAAACTGTTTGAAAAATGACTGGCCCAGTCTGGAACAGTATATTTATTATATTATCTATGATCTCATAACAAAATTCTGTTTAATTTTCTCCGAAAACTATATAAACAAAATGAGATCAAAAGTTGCCCAACTTTTGTAGAATCATTTTTTTATTTATTTTATTTTCTACTGTTTTACATTTAAAATATCTCTTCTTCTTTTTTAAGATTAATTTGAAAATTTTCTTAAACGATTTAATCTCCACTCTGTGTGTTTAAAATTTTCTCGAAATATAGTTTTTGGGTGATAACACCAAAATTTTCATGTTTAAGGCAAGCACATGTTACGATCTTTAGCTTTAGGATAAACTACTCAGAATGGTACGCATTCATATACACTCACAGGCAAAATAATCGATCCACACAAATTTTCGATGAATTTCAATCGCAAATAACTTTTTTATTTGGTGTCGGATTTAAACGAATATTAAAGAATATTGTAGATAAATTAATGGACAATCGCTCACATTTTAAAAAATTACAAAAAAATTGACGTACGTTTATAATATACAGGTTTAAACAAAAAGATATTTTTTACCATAAGTTTAAGACACTCTGTAGAGTGGCAAAACTGTATATTGTTCTAAATTAAGTTTTATTTATTAAGTCACATCTATTCTTAACAGTTTTGTTTTTGGTTCACCTCGATATATTTATTTTTGTGGAAAATATGGATTTTTTTAGAAAACATTGCAATTTCCAATATTTTTCTGTATGAAGAATTAAGGTTGCTATGGTCCATCCATAGGCTATGAAGAATGACAGTGTTGAATCATCCCATACTTGGACATGTCATACACGGCTTTCAAAAGCTATCAAATTGTTTTTTGCAAATTAATGTTTAAATTTTGAAGTGTCTTCTTACTTTAAAAAATGGATATGTCTCCGACTGATGTTGCCAGAGCCATTAATTTAATCCAGGATGGACGGTCACAGTATTACTTGGCAAGTGTTTTAAACGTCACAAGAAGTAAAGTACAAAGGGCGACATTAGTCGGAGACATTTTTAAAAGTAAGAAGACACCTCAAAATTAACACATTAATTTACAAAAAATAATTTGATAGCTTTTGAAAGCTGTATTTGACATGTCCAAGTATGGGATGATTCAACAAAACTGTCACTGTCATCCTCCATAGGCTATGGATGGACCATAGCAACCTTAGTTCTTCATACAGAAAAAATATTGAAAATTGCAATGTTTTTTTTAAAAAATCCATATTTTTCACAAAAATAAATATATCAAGGTGAACCAAAAACAAAACTGTTAAAAAGAGATGTGACTTGATAATTAAAACTTAATTTAGAACAATATACGGTTTTGCCACTCTACAGAGTGTCTTAAACTTATGGTAAAAAACATCTTTTTGTTTAAACCAGTATATTATAAACGTACGTGTATTTTTTAGTAATTTTTAAAATGTGAGCGATTCTCCATTAATGTATCTACAATATTTTTTAATATTTGTTTAAATCCGAAATCAAATAAAAAAGTTATTTGCCATTGAAATTCATCGAAAATTTGTGTGGATCGATTATTTTGCCTGTGAGTGTATTAATTAATTAATTATCCTTTTGTTTAAATCCGGTTAAACCGGAAGTGGGATTTTGTTTAAAATATTACAGAAAAATGGACTTAAATGGATTAAAAAAGCTTTTAAAATTTCAAATTGATATCTTTTTCCGTTCCCCAGATGCTTCTAATGGACCACGAATGTGACACACCCTGTATAACTTTCCTTTTTAGCCCCGATTCAAAGATGTCGGGTATTACGTAATAAGTAAAGTATCTATTGAATCCCACCAATGTGACCTATGCAAAAAAAGGTTTAGTGACATTAAGGTAATTTTTTTGTTGTTTACAAAATCATTGTATTTCTAAATAATTGTTTTTTTCAGTTGTTAGTGGAGCACATAAAAGTCGAACATTTTGGATCTAGCTGTGTAACCAAACCTTCCGATTTTTCCGAAGAAATAAAAAATAATGCACCGGTGGAAAATCCAATGGAAAAAGTGTTGCCGGAAAATTCCGAACTCACAAGAGCGATTAAATCTCTTAAAGTTCTTTTTCCTGTGAAAATCAAAAAAACTCCTTTATTAGAGCGGTATTTACGCCTTGAAAATGCATCGACTAAGGAGATGCCTAAAAAATTCTATAGGAAAGTTTTTCAGTGCAAAATTTGCGATATGTTTGATGCACAAATAAATTTGGCTAGGAAGCATGTAAAAACTCATCTTGAATACAAGGTAAGTGTTAAAAGTGCATCGTGCACTACTACAACTCAGAGCTCCGTATCCGAAAAAATTTATCATTTTTTTACGCATGTTTAAATCATAATCAGAGAGTTGAAAACAGGTATTCAATAATTTTTTAGATGTCTAAAGAGCATACATTTTAGTTGGACATTTTTTAAATTTCAGGAAGCACTATTAAGTGTATTACATTGCCTGTGGTGTAAATTTAAAAAAATATTTACACACTTATAGTATTACTGATTTCATCACAGACTTTATAGGTTTTTTAGTTTTCTAAAATCGGGTATTTTTAATCTGAAATATCTCACCCTTTTTAAGTACAAAAATTTCAGAAAACATTATTTTATTGTGTTGTAATAAGTTTTTAAAATTTTATCACTAAGATGTAATAAATACATTTTTCAGTTCGACATTTTTAAAAATAGCTAACATTTTAGGAAGCCCTATTAAGTATATTACATTGCATGTGGTATAAATGTAAAAAATACTTACAAACTTATAGTATCACTGATAAAATAAGTGGTAAAAATTTCATCACAGACTTTAAAGGTTTTTTAGTTTTGACATTTTTAAAAATAGCTTCAATATTGCGATTTGTCTAAATTTAGGTATTTTTAATCTGAAATATCTCACACTTTTTGTGTACAAAAATTTCAGAAAACATTATTTTATTGTGTTGTAATAAGTTATTAAAATTTCATCACCAAGACTTAATAAATACATTTTTAGTTAGACATGTTTAAAAATAGCTAACATTTCAGGAAGCACTATTAAGAGTATTACATTGCCTGTGGTATAAATGTAAAAAATACTTACAAACTTATAGTATCACTGATAAAATCAGTGGTAAAAATTTCATCACAGGCTTTATAGTTTTTTTGGTTTTCACGTTTTTAAAAATCGCTTAAATATTGCGATTCGTCTAAAATCGGGTATTTTTAATCTGAAATATCTCAGAAGGGACAAACTTTTCAAATCCAAAATTTTCAGAAAACATTCTTTTATTGTGTTGTTAAATTTTTTAAATATTTCACATTAAAAATACCAGATTTTAAACGAATTGCAATATCTAAAATTGTTTAGGCAACTAGTATACTATAAAGACTATAAAAATATTTAAGGTGAGTCTTAGTTTTATCTTTGAAATGGCGTAGTTAAATTTTTTCTGACCTATACTTTTAATGGTTTTATTCAAGGCGTTTTGTAATTTTAAACATTTCTGTGAAATCAGAATTTCAATTGAGTTTACCGTTTTCGAGATATTTACAAAAAAAATCTCCTAATTACGTCACTAGGCTATTGACAACGTTGCCAGCTTTTTCCATGGTTGCCAGTGTGTTTAGTTTAAGATTCTTACGATAGATGGCGCCACGTTATAATATTTTAGTTTTAAAACCACTTGATCTATAGATCTAATTTTAGTTGAGAAGAAGAAGAATTGATTTTTTGACGTTTCTTTTTTTCGGGTTTTTTTAAATTTAGATTATTGAAAATCAATGTTATTGTTATGTTATTTGTAATTGATATTAGATAAGTGATTTATTAATAACGGACTCCAAAGCAGAGGAATCTTGTGGAATGGTTGGTTACATTGAACATTGGTTGTTTTAGATATATCTTGGACTCTAAAATATCACAGTAATATGATACCTCATAATAAGGAAGATAGGTACTTAATGAATTTGGTGACCAAAAATGTACTCTAGAGCATAGTATCTTTGAACAGTCCAAAAGTTTGTCATACATTTTTTTAATCTTACAAAAGGTTTTGATGCCCATCATCAGGGATGCAAGTTTTATAAAAACTATACACAAATATCATAAATACCATTGTTAACTTACATTTACTGTTATTTTTTGTAAATTTATTTAATTCATTTTCAGCTTTATTTTGTCACTTTGTTCTATGAAATATATTAAACTCTGCTTTAGACAGTTATTAGGTAACTATTTATTACATTTTATTAGGTTTCACACGGTGTTTCAATGTGTAAACCTATCAATGAAACTTTTAATTTCAGAATTTTCTTTAACCTCCTCTTCTTTTTCTTTCACTCAACTGACAGTGACAGTATTTGTACATAACCTCTTCGGGTATTTTCTGACATAACAAGACAACTTGACAACAGGGTAATTTTCAACCAATAGAAATCTTAGAATGTTGGTCAGTTTTGTGACGTCATAAAAATTTATATTTTTTTGTAAATATCTCGAAAACGGTAAACTCAATTGAAATTCTGATTTCACAGAAATGTTTAATATTACAAAACGCCTTGAATAAAACCATAAAAAGTATAGGTCAGAAAAAATTTAACTACCCCATTGTGCATTTTTGTTTAAACTATACATCATTAAAAACCAATAAGCTACAGGGTTTAACGCAAACCTCTGTAAAATGCAAAATAGGCTGACGCACCAATATTTGCATTGACCGCTCAAAAAAACTAAACAACTAAAAAATAATAAATGAATACCTTTTTTCAACTCTTTTAACATATTTAAGTCGGGTTGACCTGACCCCAGTTTCTTCAGGCCTATTTAGCATAAAAAAATATAAGTGACATTCATTTATGAATACTAGGGTCGTTTTGAAGGAATATTTATTTTTTGTCACTCCCTACGCAAAATTTATCGGCTGTTATCATCGTAACAAAAGTAGAACTTTTGATAATCAGCTGTCAAACGCGTGTGTTACAAACGAGTGTTTTTGAGAATAAAGCCGGAAAATTTTAAAAAATATCAAAAAAAAACATGGCTCGATTTGTTGAGTTGTTGGGTGTATTTCGAGAGGAAATCCTGGGTTGAGTTTTTATCGGTTTTCCAATAAACAGTGTTAATCCGAATGAAGAAATAAATTTCATACAGTCCCTGTAAATATAAATTGTATCTATTAGATACAATAAATACACATTTTAGTAATGATTAACGTGAAAAGTGTAAACATTTCAATGCAGTAAAAATCGTCAAACAAATAAGTCGTCTAAATTTAAACAGCATTTAGCATTATTAAAAGCGTTGATTAAGAATTCTTTAAAGTCTCCACTCAACGGTAAAATGCCATTATTTTATGTATTATATATATTTTTATGTTGCCATGAATTCGTAGGTATATTTTGTTGTTTAAAATGCAGTTGTCGGCGTTTTTTTAGAGAACTCAAATATAAAAATGGTTGATTTTAAGGTTATGTTTGTGCAAAAATTATTTTTTACTAATTTCTTAAAAATGACCAAACTTAAATATAAATTATATTAGGTAAAGTAATCATTAGTTAATTCTGCACCAACAAATGTACTTACCGAATTGGATCCTTTGGCAAAACATGAAAATGCAACGATTTAGTTCTTGAATTTTATTTACAATTAAAAACACAATAATTCACCATGATCCCTTAGATAAAATACACACACCAACGTAACTATATAAGCATTTAAGCGTTGAGTTTCTTAATCAATGATATAAAGAATAATCAATCGAAATCGAGTACTAAACCAGTTTTTTAGTTTTTTCCTTGCAACGTAAAACACAAATAACGTGCGCGATTTAGCCGTGCAATTGAACAAAATTGGTCGAGTAAGACTTTCTAATATTTGTCTTGTCATTGAAACTATTTCCAGCGTCTAAGAAAAGGAGTTATGTATAAGACTGTATACCTATGCGTGTTTTGCCGTCAAAAATTTACCTCCATTAGAGATTTGGAAAGCCACAGTCGCAGTGCGCATAGCAAAGCCTACAAGACCTGCCCTTTCTGTGCGAAGTTGAGAATCGAATGCTGGTTGCATAACCCACACCATCATTATCGAAGGTACCTGAAGGCCGATTTAAATGAGTACCCTTGGAGCTTGAGAGCGAAAATCGAGCACGTTTCAATGGATCATTGCTACTGTAAAGGTACGTGTGCAATAACACTATAATAGTTTTAGAAACTTTTTTTCCTATCATTGAGTACTCCAGCTTAGTTTAACTAATTATTGGCCGCTGATTTCAAAAATGTCATTTGTTTTTCTCTAGGACGTCTAGAATTTAAAATAATTTTGGAATAAAATGCTCTGCTCAATCACCTTGAAATGTAAGTTTTTTGTTATTATTTTAATTATTTATTAAATTATTTTGGCTTAAATTTATATTGAATGTACTGAAGTAATCGGTATACGGCAAATAGATCATATTTATCTTAACAAAATGATATTTTAAATACTAAAACTAAAATTTTAATGTATTTTATGTAAAAATCCATCATTATTTGACATTTTTTGTCGTTTATTTTAATTATTGAATTGAAAGGGCAACAAAGTAAACAAGTTTAGTTTTTTTATCCAAATTAAGCCCACTAAATTTAATGCATAATCTTGTTTTTTTCTACCTTAAATTTATTAAATCTTATCAAATTTCGAATTGAATTATACTATTATTGTGCTTAATCTTCATCATCGTGGTACATCTTTTGCTGCAAATTCCAGCAAATGTCTCCTAGCAATGAATCCAACTTCTTTCCGCTATACCCATAGATATCTACCAATGCTCTAGATTTGCAGTTACTCGGTGAAATCGTTCTCCATGTTCATCAGTTCGGCAAATTTATCAGGATGAGAAAAAAGAAAATGTATTTTGAATGACATATTAACGCTAATTCTTTACAAAACGGAGAGCATTTTTTCAATGAATTGGCGCCAATTTTAGTCCCTATATGAACCAAGAACATTTTCAATGACAGCTTTAACTCTGCCATATGCGACAAGCTCGTCAACTTTGAGAGCATTTTTGAACGCTTTATCTTTCATTAAACGTCGTATATCAGGTCCATTTAATATTCCTGCAAAATTAAAGTAGTAGGTATATCTCGTAAAATTTTGTAATGAATTATTGCGTTGGTTTTTCTTGGGCGTAAAGGTACCGCAACAAAAACAAAACAAATTTACAACGACGACATAAAGGTTCGTCTCCTTTCTCTTTCTCTGTCACTTACATTTCCTGCTCTTTTTTCATTTTTGGTTCTTAAAATCACTTTCAAGTAAAAATACAATTTAAAGTTTAAATGTCAATAATTAATGTGCTTGAAAGATAAAGTAGGTAAACGCGCCTTTATACTATCGATATTAAATTTTGATAAGACCTAATAAATAAGATTGGAGATTGAATTTTTGGGTAATTTAGGCATGATGTGAATAAAAAAAATATCAAATAATAGTCGAAGAGTAATGTTTATACCGAAACCCATTTACTTTGTTGCCTTTTCAATTTAATTAGTAATTAAAAAAACGACACAAAAATTTCAAAAAATGATAATCCCTGTATATTTTTGACAAAAAACGTCAAAAATATACTGAACGTCCGAAATAGATTTAAGGCAAAATTTAATAAATAATGAAAATATTAACGAAAAACTTACATTTTGAGATAATTGAGTAGAGCATTTTATTAGGCAATTATTTGGAATCCTAGACGTCCTGGAGCAAAACGAGTGGCATTTTTGAAATCAGCAGCCCAAAATTAGGTATTATAGGTGAACGTACTCAATGTTAGTAATTCGAACTATCATAGTGTAATAAGCTGTGTTATAAAACTAACGGGAGTATTAATTTTTGCAGAAGATTATGATTACAGTACAGAAACTGCCAGCGAGGTATCACTGATAGAGTTGAACTCTTTGGGTGACAGTGACGTAGATGATTGTTTTGTGGAAGACGTCGAAATGCAAGAAGTTCATCGAGATGAAGAAATAAAAGAAAAAGTCACAGTGGAATCGCCTTTCCCTTACTACGATTCCGATGAAGAAAGCGAATACGATGTAGTGGACATTTTTAAAGATTTCGACAATAACAATGAGGATTTTGACGAGGAACTATCGAAACTTATCAAAACTGGGTATGTAATAGTTTAATAAAAACATGCAAAAAAGTATATACTGTAAAAGTATATACTATGTACACAGCAAACGGAAAATTATAGAAGTGTATAGGATGACGCCACGTTTGAATATAGTTTTCTAAATCTCCCCACGGTATAGATTTGTATTCGTCAGTCGAGCGTTTCAATACTCTCCACAGTATAGACGTCGTAATTTCACTTTTGAACTAGTATTAAAATGAAACTATTTTATGCTTCAAAAAAAACTATATATATATATTTTTTTCATTTTATTAATTAATTAAGCTGTGTTGAATATTTTTCCTAAAGGAATAATTGCCAATGGGCCATTAATTCATTTGTTCGTAGATGCTACAATAACCTGCACTGGTGTGTACTTTTTCATCAACCAGATTTATATATTGCTGTACTAACATATACCAGTGGAGATAGTGGAGGGTCTACCAACAGACCTCATTACTAAATTATTAAAGTTTAATAGCATATCGATCATTTTTTCAACATAACCTCTGAAATTTTTAATACAAATATAGGTACTTTATATAATACATAAATATACTTAACATCATATCCTCTGTGCTTTACATACCTGAGTTGTTACGGTAAATAAAAATCAGACAAAGGAACCAAAGAAAGGAACTATTTTCAACAAAATCATATGCAGAAATGAGAAAATTCAAACTACTTGCATCCATCAAAAGATCAAAACTTCTTGCAATATTACACCCTCTTTTTATACTCTCAGAAATATTGACTAGAAGAACAGTATTAGAGAGACTCCAGTTTCTATAACTTGGTAGAGTAAAGAGAAGTCGAAACCGTTGCGATATTGCATTGCGCTGTTTTTGTATAATTCTCGGGGACATTAACGAAAATCATTGCCAGTAAAATTCGAAAAGCTTGAGTTTCTATGTCTCTGAAGAGAATAGGAATCCGAAGTTGCTGCACCATTGGACTGAACCCTTTTTTAATAATTTCTAGAGACATAAATGACTGCACCATTCGACAGGGTCGAGTTTCTACCTCTCTGTTGAATATAGAAAATCAAAATAATGTATCTTGTAAGACACCATTGAGTTTGACTTTAAATATAGTCGTGCATAGGTATAGAGCCGAAAAATATAAAAACAAAGAACGATTCAATACAGTTCTGATAAAACTTTAAGATTTAATATTCAAACGCGGAGTCATCCTATACAGTTCTATATTTTTCCGTTTGCTGTGTAGTAATTGGACATTTTATATAATAATTGGACACATGGACCCTAGTTATTGGACATGCAATTTTTATATAAACATAACAACTTTACATCAAATAACATAAATTGTTAAATATTTTTTAAAGATAAATTGCTATTTTAGGTATTTTTTTTATGTCGTTTTTGTAAATATCATATATTTCTTTTTCGGATTCCTCATCCGTTTTCCGGATTCTGAAGGTAACTACTAATTCCTTGGTCTGACTTCTGAAATAGTTTGTTGCAAATATCATTATCATTATGTTTAGGCCGGAACAGGATGATTTATATATATCTAATATTTTTTCGGGTGGTATGTTAAAAGTATTTTCTAAATTTATTAATTTTGTTGCCATTAGTTTTTTATGTTCTCTATCATGCACTGTATTTAAATCACTGTTATCCCGTCCTGTGACCAAGAAATCACTATATTACTTACTCTCTAAAAATGAATTAGTAATAGCGAAAAAGCAGCCACTAATAATTCTTGTCAACAGCAATTTGTATACAGGACATTTAGCAGTCGATTACTATAAAATATTATTCTCTGAATCCGAAAATGTCGTCAAAAGTTATAAAAGTAAAACAGTTTTTTAAGTATAATCAATTTTACATATAATATGGAATTGACTATATCTCAAAAACTGCTTAACTTTTATATTACTGCTTAATCTGCTAAAAGTCTTAATAACTCTTCCAGGAGACTCCCAAATCTTGCTATTAGTGACTTACTAAGACTTATTTTTCCGACTTAATAAGTATGAATTTCAAAACTCTTATTTTTACTTTATTTAAAAATTTCCACAAGGCTTAATAAAAAACACATATTTTTACATTTCAATTTTTGCTAAAGGGCTCAGTTTTAAAGAAATTTGCAAAAAATTTTAAATTGGTCATTAAATTCCAGTTGGTATTTGAATTAACTTCCAAAATTAAAAAAAGGATCACCTAAAATTTTGAAAAACATATTTTTAAACTTCAGAGGACATCCTTATTCCAATACTGGAGTCAGTTTTTGGCGTCATTAAAATTTTTTATGTGGCCTATGCCTCGTTCAGGACCACTGTGTATAATAATCATGTTAACTTTGCAAACACGTCATTATTATAATACCGGATTGTATAAATTTAAATGAATATTTCTATAAAGTTTAGAAGCATCCGCTGTCATATTTCAGTGTTTTTAAGGGAATGTGTATATTAGGGTGTCCCTTATTTTTATTTTTTTACGCATACCCTCTAATTATATTTATTACTTGTTTATATACTCCCAGTAAAAATTTCAGCTCATTCTATAAACAGGAACCCGTGCCGACTTGCATCTAAACCCTCCGTTAGGCGCGCGCGGTATTTTGTAACACGAAACACTTTAAAAAGAAGATATACTTTATGACTGTATTTTTTTTTAATATGATTACTAATTAATATTATTGCTTTTGTTTCTATCATTTGTTTCACTAATTTAGTTGGTTTTATCCCTTAAATATATTAATATACTAATTAGTATTGCTAAAATATACTGTTATATGAAATTTCAGCTTTTTATAAGCATTTCTTTTCTTGATGTCCTCCCAAAAATATTTCAGACAGTTCAATAAGTTTTCGGTAGTCATCTCTCACAATAGACTCTTTTAGTTATTTAGAGTAAAACCCATTAAGTTTATCAATTTCAGAGTTTACGGCCTATTCACCAGACCCTTCCGGGTAACTAGCCACTCCCTGTGAAAATATACATTTTTATCAAAGTATACACATAAATAAAATTATATTTTAACATTTGTCAATAATTTATAATATAAGGGTCACATAATAACAAACACAAAATGACTTACGATCGAAGACCTCGCGACCAACCGTGCTACAAAATACCGCGCGCCTAACGTTGGCTAACGGAGGGTTCAGATGCAAGTCGGCACGGGTTCCCGTTTATAGAATGAGCTAAAATTTTTACTGTGAGTATATAAACACGTAATAAATATAATTAGAGGGTATGCGTAAAAAAAATAAAAATAAGGGACACCCTAATGTATATAAATATCCGAAACCTAGTGATTATAAAAATATGTTACACATGTTACATATTGTGAACACTGACTTAAACATACATTAACATTTCTTTCAGATATCCCACAGATGAAAAGGAAAGGAACTTTTACTGTCCAGATTGCCTTTTTAAGACATCCCAATATTTGTCTTTAAGACATCACGTTCAAAGGTATCATAAGAGATCAGTTTTTCTTGATAATGCTGTCTACACAATTTAAATCTGTACATATTTGTAAGTACCTACTTAGGTTTGTTATAGTTAAAGTAATATTATTTATAATTATTTTTGTTATTTTAAATATAGAATAAAGTATTTTGTTATCAATACATTATTTGTTTTATATTATTCAACGTCAACCATTCCTTTTTGTTTAAAAAAAAAACTTAACATTGTATTTTTAAAATAATAATACCTAATGTTTTAAAAAAATACATAAACAAGCATATGGTGGATTTACAATAACAAATAAATGTAATCAAAAGTCCATCTTTGGGACTATTTATTTACTATTTCTCTCGCTAAAAGTATCTTCTAAAAACTTCACACTGCACTTTTTTTTCAGCTTTTCTCGTTGAGTTTCCAGGGCTGCGACTTTACTTTTCAAATCCGCGCACCTGCAGCTCATAACCTCGTTGTTTTGTTCCGAAGTGCGCATGTCTGTGATTGCGCCGTCCAGCTCTCTCCTTAGAAGCTCCAAGTCCACTTCCATGTCGCGCACTCTGATGCGCAATTTTTTATTCTCCTGCATCACGTTGTCGCCCACCTTGCATTTTTTGTGCGCTTCCTCCATTTGCTTTCCCATGCCGTCCAGCTGCTTCTCCAGCTTCTTAATTTTTTCCTTGTATTCGTTCGAAGCTTTCTGGTCCAATTTGCCTTTCGTCTTTTTTAACTGCGCGTTCTCGCACTCCATCGCCCTCACTTTTTCCTTGAGTATGCCGGATAACTCCACCATTTCTCTCGACTGCGCCAAGGCGGCTTCGTAGCTTTTACGTTGGCTGTCTATTTCCGATTCGAGGATGTGAACTCTCTTTTTCAACTTGGAAGATTCCTCGATGACGTGGCTCGCGTTTCTCAACTCTCTGTATATTTTATCCAGCTCTAGTTTCAGTTTGACATTCTCGTCTTCGAGTTGGGCGACGCGTTTTCTAAATAACATGTTACTTTCAGATGCTTTTCTGTGTTGCATACGCGATTTTTCCTCCTTAAGAGCCTCATTTTCATCCTCCAATCTACTCATGTTCTCCTTGATTTTATTGAAGTCTTTACGAATACCAATCAGTTCCGACCTGTTGTCGCCACTGCTCAACAACTCTTCCATCTTGTTCCTCAAGTTCTCATTCTCCAACTCCAGTTGTCCGATGGTTTGCCTTATGTTGCAATCTTCCTGACTCTGAATGCTTTTTAATTTCTCATATTCCTTATTGATGGCTTGATAGGCACCCTCCAAGTTGGTTTTCTCTTTCTGCAGATTATACACGGTGTTTCTTAAATACTCCATGTTGCCCTTAGGCAAAGCATCCAGCTGCTGTATCAAAACCTCATTCTGAACTTGCAGCTGCTGATACTTCTTGAACAAATCTTCCAATCCCTCCGATTTTTCCTTCACTCCTGCCATACTTTCATCCAATTGCTTTTTGAGTTTGCTTTTCTCAGCTTCAAGTTGGGATAACTTGCTTTTCACCGCACCATCTTTATTTTTTAATTCTTTCAGCAACTTGCTCGCCTTTTCCTCCTTTTCTGATATCGCCTGGAGGTCGGATTTTAATGTTTTCATTTCTTGGTGCAAATCGATTATTTTCTGCTTGTTGTTGGCATCGGAACATTGCACTTTGGTGAGTTCGTTAGATTTGTATTTTATTTGGTCTAAAGAACCATTCAGTTCTTTTCTTAGACCATCGATCTCTTGTTCTAAAGTGTATATTCTGGATGTTATTTTTTTCTGTTTATCATCATTAATTTGAGGAATTTTCATCATCTCATCCTTTAGCGAATTGAGTTCGTTTATTAGCTTCGTGTTTTCGCACTCCAAAAAGTTTATGCGTTGCCTATATTTGCTTTCGTTGTCTTTGATAATTTCCAGTTGATTTTGATACATCTCCAGTTGTTGCGCTCGTTGCCTAAGTCGATCCATTTCGCCATTAATTGTAGACAATTGGTTCCGTAATTGTATATTTTCGTCTTTAATTAAAGCGTTGGTAAATATATCGTCTTTAAGTTTCAGTATTTCCTCATACTGTTCTGCTAGCTGACCTACCAACTGTTCGTTGTCGACCTGATATTTCGAGGTGTTAATAGCTCGCGCCAAGGCTTTCTCAAGGTCTTTTTGGGTGACCTCCAGGATATTTTGCATCTGGAAGATGGTGTGTTTCAAGTTGCCGTTCTCTTTTTGCAGCTCCGAGGCGCAATGAGAGCCTATTTGCGAGGTCTTGAGAACGCTATCCAGCTCCATCTGAAGCGTTCTGTAATCCTCTTCCTTCAGCTGTAGCTGATGCTTACACCTGTCCATTTCTTCGTCAAATTTCTCCATCGTTTGAAGGGTTCTATCGTTTTCACTGATGATGTTTTCAGATTGTTTTTTTAATGTAATATTTTTGCTGTCCAGCTCTATAATATTCTTCTTCAAATTTGCTACTTCAGCTTTGAGTGAGTCTACTTCAGACCTAGCTTTTTCCAACATTTCTTCGTCGTTGTTGTCTTGCGCAGCGGCCTGTTGAGCTTTAATCTCATCGATTTCATTTTTTAAATGCGAATTCTCCAAAATGAACGTATCCAGCTCGACTTTGGTACTTTCCAGTTGCCGTTTGAGGTCCTCAGTATTGCCAGCTTTAAGTTTGTTACACTGGGACCTCAAACTGCTGTTTAAACCTTTCAGTTTCGTAACTTCAATGTTTAAATTCGTCAGGTCGGATTTGATTGCTTCCAGCTCCACTTTAACTTCGTCTTTCTCGCGTTCCAACAAAGTATTCCTCGCCCTCAGTTTGGTGTTTTTCGTGTCCATTTGCGAGAATCTCCTCTTCAAAGTCTCATAGTCGTTTTTGATTTGCACGTGGCTCTTGCTCGAGGATAAAATCAACATGGGTTGATCTCCTTGCTCGTCGATTTTGCACTTTATCTGCTTATTCTCCTCCTCCAAGGCTTTCTTTTCCCTCTCGACTTTGTCGTGCATTTTTTTCCACCTTTCGACCTCCTTGTACATCGCATCGCCGGTTTTTATCACCGAACCCGCGGTAGCGCAGACTTTTTTCTTTTCGTCGATGAACTTTTTCGACAACTCTTCCACGGTGAACACTTTTTTGCAACATTTTTGCGCCATAATTTTGCGATTCACGGTAATTTTATATGAACATAAAGAAAAACTACAAAAATTGACACACAGAAATTTTAAATGATGTTTTAGCTGTCATGCTTGCTTCTGGTAGGTTTAAATAGGTGGCGCCAAAATCGTGTTATAGTACCTAGAGTTAACTATTGGATAGTGAGTAGTAACTTGATGAAAGTATAAACTTTGTTAAAATCAGGGTAAGTTGCTAAACGAATTAAAAAGCTTCCAATGGAGCTGGATAGCATTCTTAAGACCTCTCATTGAGCCTCAGAGCAACAAAAAGAAAACAACGAATTTAAACATTGAAGTTATGAAACTGAAAGGTTTAAATAGCAGTTTGAGTTCCCAGTGTAACAAACTTAAATCTGGCAATACTGAGGACCTTAAACGGCAACTGGAAAGTCGAACTGGATACATTCATTTTGGAGAATTCGCATTTAAAAAATGAAATCGATGAGATTAAAGCTCAACAGGCCACTGCGCATGACAACAACGACGAAGAAATGTTGGAAAAAGCTAGGTCTGAAGTAGACTCACTCAAAGCTGAAGTAGCAAATTTGAAGAAGAATATTATAGAGCTGGACAGCAAAAATATTACTTTAAAAAAACAATCTAAAAACATCATCAGTGAAAACGATAGAACCCTTCAAACGATGGAGAAATTTGACGAAGAAATGGACAGGTGTAAGCACAAGCTAGAACTGAAGGAAGAGGATTACAGAACGCTTCAGATGGAGCTGGATAGCGTTCTCAAGACCTCGCAAATAGGCTCTCATTGCGCCTCGGAGCTGCAAAAAGAGAACGGCAACTTGAAACACACCATCTTCCAGATGCAAAATATCCTGGAGGTAACCCAAAAAGACCTTGAGAAAGCCTTGGCGCGAGCTATTAACACCTCGAAATATCAGGTCGACAACGAACAGTTGGTGGGTCAGCTAGCAGAACAGAATGTGGAAATACTGAAACTTAAAGAGGATATATTTACCAACGCTTTAATTAAAGACGAAAATATGCAATTACGGAACCAATTGTCCACAATTAATGGCGAAATGGATCGACTTAGGCAACGAGCGCAACAACTGGAGATGTATCAAAATCAACTGGAAATAATCAAAGACAACGAAAGCAAATATAGGCAACGCATAAACTTTTTGGAGTGCGAAAACACGAAGCTAATAAACGAACTCAATTCGCTAAAGGATGAGATGATGAAAGTTCCGCAAATTAACGATGATAAACAGAAAAAAATAACATCCAGAATATACACTTTAGAACAAGAGATCGATGGTCTAAGAAGAGAACTGAATGGTTCTTTAGATCAAATAAAATACAAATCTAACGAGCTCACCAAAGTGCAATGTTCCGATGCCAACAACAAGCAGAAAATAATCGATTTGCATCAAGAAATAAAAACATTAAAATTCGACCTCCAGGCTGTATCAGAAAAGGAGGAAAAGGCGAGCAAGTTGCTGAAAGAATTAAAAAATAAAGATGGTGCGGTGAAAAGCAAGCTATCCCAACTTGAAGCTGAGAAAAGCAAACTCAAAAAGCAATTGGATGAAAGTATGGCAGGTGTGAAGGAAAAATCGGAGGGGTTGGAAGATTTGTTCAAGAAATATCAGCAGCTGCAAGTTCAGAATGAGGTTTTGATACAGCAGCTGGATGCTTTGCCCAAGGGCAACATGGAGTATTTAAGAAACACCGTGTATAATCTGCAGAAAGAGAAAACCAACTTGGAGGGTGCCTATCAAGCCATCAATAAGGAATACGAGAAATTAAAAAGCATTCAGAGTCAGGAAGATTGCCACATAAGGCAAACCATCGGACAACTGGAGTTGGAGAACGAGAACTTGAGGAACAAGATGGAAGAGTTGTCGAGTAGTGGCGACAACAGGTCGGAACTGATTGGTATTCGTAAAGATTTCAATAAAATCAAGGAGAACATGAGTAGATTGGAGGATGAAAATGAGGCTCTTAAGGAGGAAAAATCGCGTATGCAACACAGAAAAGCATCTGAAAGTAACATGTTATTTAGAAAACGCGTCGCCCAACTCGAAGACGAGAATGCCAAACTGAAACTAGAGCTGGATAAAATATACAGAGAGTTGAGAAACGCAAGCCACGTCATCGAGGAATCTTCCAAGTTGAAAAAAAGAGTTCACATCCTCGAATCGGAAATAGACAGCCAACGTAAAAGCTACGAGGCCGCCTTGGCGCAGTCGAGAGAAATGGTGGAGTTATCCGGCATACTCAAGGAAAAAGTGAGGGCGATGGAGTGCGAGAACGCGCAGTTAAAAAAGACGAAAGGCAAATTGGACCAGAAAGCTTTGAACGAATACAAGGAAAAAATAAAGAAGCTGGAGAAACAGCTGGACGGCATGGGAAAGCAAATGGAGGAAGCGCACAAAAAATGCAAGGTGGGCGACAACGTGATGCAGGAAAATAAAAAACTGCGCATCAGAGTGCGCGACATGGAAGTGGACTTGGAGCTGCTAAGGAGAGAGCTGGACGGCGCAATCACAGACATGCGCACTTCAGAGCAAAACAAAGAGGTTATGAGCTGCAGGTGCGCGGATTTGAAAGGTAAAGTCGCAGTCCTGGAAATTCTACGAGAAAAGCTAAAAAAAAGTTTTCAGAGGAAATGAATGTAAGGAAAAAATAAAGGATAAACATTGGGAGCCCAGGAAATCTAAACTTACCTTTATTGAAGCAGGTTTTTAATTAAAACGTTCGGGTTGAAAAATAACAAATGAAAAACATTGCACTGTTTTTATTTTATATAATAATTCTAACCTTAAAGAATTACAATAAACAAAAGCCAAACACAGTTTAGAACTGTCAAATAAATAAACCAGACGTTTAAATAATGCATATAATGACTATTATATATTACATTACAAATCAAAATAGCAAAGCCGTATTATTTGTTGAAAAAAAAAACTGGAAAAAATATTTAAACGAATCACCTAATAATATTTAATTATTTATAATAATAATAATAATAAGTGATAAATTTGGAAATTCGCGCGTATGTACAGCTATATATATAACTATAGAAATGTGGAAGGGGGGGTGGGGGTCTCATTTTATTTAGTATAAAAACATAATAGATACAATTATAAAAAAACGACGAATGGGGGAAATAAAAGAAAAACTAAGTTGCCATATTCGCAAACGTTTATTTAATTTATTAATTGAAAACGCGCGAAATAAAATCGCCGACATTAAAAAAAATAAACGTTCGTGCGTACGGACCTTAACGGTATCGTAATGAATCATAGTAAGCGCGCACTTAACTTATTCGTCGTAGTTCTGCGATAAGAGGAAGTTGGCCGCCAAATTTTCGTTCTTCTCGCACGCGAAGTAGGCTTGGACGACGAGGTGCTCGGGGAATCCCAGCGCTTTGAGGCGATCGATCGCGTCCTTGTCTTGCGGCGTCACCTGGATCTGCGGCTGCCCGCCTACGGCCTGCGGCAGCCCCAGTGAAGCGCCACCTTTACAAACAAACGATGTTCATTTTTTTTTTATTTGGACTCGTGTTTTTTTATTAAGTTGGCAGCTTATGCCAGTATTTTCAGGGTGACGTTCATAATATCGAAATTCACTTTATCGAATTCAAAATATCGAACACTTTTTATCGAAAATCAAAATATCGAAAATACAAAATGTCGAAAATCAAAATATCGAAAATTAAAATGTCGAAAATGATAATATCGAAATTTTATTTAATCGAATTTTCAATTTATCGAAAATAAAATATCGACGTTCATAATATCGAAATTCACTTTATCGAATTCAAAATATCGAACACTTTTTATCGAAAATCAAAATATCGAAAATACAAAATGTCGAAAATTAAAATGTCGAAAATACAAAATTATACAAATATTATTTTAATCCGAAGTGTATATGTACAGAGGCGCCTCTGATATAGAAATGTACTCAAACTCAACAACACAACCCAACCGACCCCGCCCCATTGGCCCCCCCCCCGCCCCATTGAGCAAAAAACCCAACTAAAATGGGCTAATTTATGTAATTAAAAAGTGTTTTATTTTTATCGTAACATGAATTTGCCCATTTTAGTTGGGTTTTTTTGCTCAATGGGGCGGGGGGGGGCCAATGGGGCGGGGTCGGTTGGGTTGTGTTGTTGAGTTTGAGTACATTTCTATAAAACGCGCATCTCTAGGAGCCAGGGAGCCAAGATAATTCGGTGCATAACCGTAACTTTATCTACAGAGGCGCCTCTGTACATATACACTTCGATTTTAATCATACATTTTAATTTTCGATATTTTTAATTCGATATTTTAATTTTCGAAATTTTAATTATTCGACATTTTCAAATCGACATTTTAATTTTCGATATTATCATTTTCGACATTTTAATTTTCGAAATTTTAATTATTCGACATTTTCAAATCGACATTTTAATTTTCGATATTATCATTTTCGACATTTTAATTTTCGATATTTTGATTTTCGACATTTTGTATTTTCGATATTTTGATTTTCGATAAAAAGTGTTCGATATTTTGAATTCGATATAATGAATTTCGATATTGTGAACGTCACCCGTATTTTCAGTATTTAAAAATAAAAAAATTTAATGTAATGTAAAGTGAGTAAATTACTCATTAACATACAAAATTGTAATTGAAAATTTCAAAATACAATGAGACAAATTAAAAATAAGTAATGTAAAAAATAATACATTATTAATTGGAAAAAATATAATGAGTAATTAACTTAATTTTCATTAAAAAATAAGTAATGCATAAAGGAGAATTTTAGAGGTTTTTAAAATTTAAGCCAAATTTTAGGACGTTATGAAGATATTTCAGACGAGATTTCTCATTAAAAATAAAAAAAATAAGTAATGTAAAGTGAGTACATTACTAATTGGAAAAAATATAATGAGTAATTAACTTAATTTTCATTAAAAAAGAAGTAATGCATAAAGAAAATTAAACAGGAGAATTTTAGAGGTTTTTAAAATTTAAGCCAAATTTTAGGACGATATGAAGATATTTCACACGAGATTTCTCATTAAAAATAAAAAAAATGAGTAATGTAAAGTGAGTACATTACTCATTAACATACAAAATTGTAATTGAAAATTTCAAAATACTCATTACAAATTAAAAATAAGTAATGTAAAAAAGAATACATTACTAATTGGAAAAAATGTAATGAGTAATTAACTTAATTTTCATTAAAAAATAAGTAATGCATAATGAAAATTAAACAAATTACTCATTATTTTAATAATGTGTATTAAAACCTTAATGCATTATTTGCAACTCTGGAGCTACTACATGGATTTTGTTGTTTAGGTATATTTTGTTGTTTTTTAAGAAAAATGTAGGTCGTAATATATCATTTTAAAAAGAATTGAATAAACTAGAACCTAAAAATATATATTTTTTAAATTACTGACTGTTGGCCTATTTATATTTAGAAGAATTTTTCAAGATTTAAGCAAAATTTTAGGACGATAGAAAATATGAAGATTAGACTGGGCCAAAAAAATCAACTATTTTTTTTTTGAAAAGTATATCGAAAATATGATTTGGGTTGACAAAAAAAAAATTATTGTGAAAGTTTGAGTCCATAATATTAATATTAAGAGGTCTATCATCACAATTTTATATTTTTTTTTCTTCAGCAAGTTTTTGTCTCAGAACTCCCAAACTATTGAGTTTAACAAAATTGACTCAGAAATATTTTTTTAAGAAAATTAAATGATGTACAAAAAAGATTTTATTGGAATTTCCCGTCAGATGAACCGTTTCCTTAAAATCATGCCTTAAAAATTGGTATAGTTTTACATTTTGATCTTTTAACTTTGGAATTTTGTAATTCATGTAAAAATCAGTACCCAGAAAAAAAACCGATGAATATTCTTATGGGAAATCAAATGCTTTACAAAAAAAGCCTCTTAACATTTTTGGCTAAATTTACTCAATCAAAAGTTATTGAAGGTTAAAGTCAAAACGAAATATTTGTTTTTTCCTCTGTAGATTTTTTTGATGGGTGATAATTTGATTTTTTTATAAATGTGTATTATATAACTAATTAACAATTTCCAATAAAAAAACAACATGATTGTTATTATTTAAACGTATAAATAGGTGAACAGTGAACAAATAGGTAAACAGTGAAAATAATATTTTCCAAAGAAAATAGCTTCTTAAAACGAAAAAACTCTAATGTGTTATTTTTGTTTTAATTTTCAGTAATTTTATGAATAACATAAAGATTATCATCGATAAAAAAATTCAAGTTTTTAACTGACCCAAAAAAAAATCTAGAGCGGAAAAAACAAGAATTTCGTTTTGATTTCAAATTTAACCTTGAATAACTGTGATGGAGTGAAAATTCCAAAGTTAAAAGATCAAATTGAAAAACTATACCAATTTTTAAGGCATGATTGTAAGAAAACGGTTCATCTGACAGGAAATTCCAATCAAACCTTTTTTGTAGAACATTCAATATTAAGTCAATTTTGTTAAACTCAATGGTTTGGGAGTTCTGAGACAAAAATTCGCTCTAAAATTGCGATGATAGACCTCTTAATATTAATATTATGGACTCAAACTTTCACCATAATTTTTTTTTTGGCCCAGTCTAATGAAGATATTTCAGACGACTTCAGGACATTTTCGGACAGTCTAAATAACATTTTTGGATATATAGAAGACTGAAACATTCTGGGTTGCTCACCTGTCGGCAGAGCGCCGGGCGTGGCGCTGGGCGGGGCGCCCGGCGTCGGCTCGTTGAGCATCCTGACGAACGACTCCTGGTTCTGCGAGATCAGCTGCAGCAGCGCCGGATTCGTCTGGCCGATCTGCTGCAGCACCGCGTTCAGCAGCTGCGGGTTCTGCTGGATCACGTTGCGCATCTGCTGGAACTGCGGCTGCGTGCGCAGGAACGCCAGCGGGTCCTCGGCGTCCGACTGCCGCTCGTCCACGTCGGACATGTCCGCCGATTCGGTCACCTAAGCAACATTTATTCATTTAAATATTGCATCGGGATGAATCCACATTTAATCTTGGTCGATCCCTCGCTTATAAAAGCAAGAGAAAGGCAAACAAGAGCGAGATGTACAACATAAATTGCTTTACGTTAAATCCACAATTAATCCATAGATAATAAATCTTAGTAGATCCCTCGCTTATAAAAGCAAGAGAAAGGCAAACAAGAGCGAGATATACCACATAAATTGCTTTACGTTAAAAACCGCTCAAAGGATTTAGATAAAACTTTTTTTAATTAAAACTTCTATTTATATAAAAACAATTAACAAGCGATTTTCCTCAAAATTCATACAAAAAATCCAGAGGCCGTCATATTTCGAAATTTAAAAAAACTTTAATCAGGCTTAAAATAAACTTAACTTAAGATACATTGATAATAATAATGATAATTCACAATTAATTTAAAATGTAAAAAAAAACGGAAAATTTACTTTAATTAATCCATAGATAATAAATCTTAGTAGATCCCTCGCTTATAAAAGCAAGAGAACGGCAAACAAGAGCGAGATGTACCACATAAATTGCTTTACGTTAAAAACCGCTCAAAGGATTTAGATAAAACTTTTTTTAATTAAAACTTATATTTTTATAAAAACAATTAACAAGCGATTTTCCTCAAAATTCATACAAAAAATCCAGAGGCCGTCATATTTCGAAATTTGAAAAAAAAAACTTTAATCAGGCTTAAAATAAACTTCACTTAATAAAAATGATAATTCACAATTAGGGTTTTAAAATGTAAAAAAAAACGGAAAATTGACTTTTTTGGGTAAATGATTTTTTTTTGGAAAATATACACATTTAAAAAAACTTAAATTGAATTGAATTAAACTAATTTAATTTAAGAAAATAAAAGTAAACGTTAAATACTGTGCAAAAAGAAGTCCATTGAAAATATCCAATTACAAAATAATGAATTAAACTACAAAATTATAATTTTATAAGTCGAAGTGTCAAATAAAACGAAAAATAATACAGGACCGAATTTATTTTTTTTGCGGCCCGGTAGAAAATTCCTTTTAGAAACAGTAATAGTTTGACAATACCTAGCTACATGATTTAAGTAGAAATGGATTTTTGTAAGAAAATGGTTTACTTACCCTCTTGCTATTACATTGAATTCAATTAATTGTTTAATAAATAGGTATCTAATTTCAATTTGTTTGCATTTTTATTTAAAAAATAGGTAGTTTGGAATGTTTACGCTGTGTTTAACATTTAATTTCACTGAAAACTTAAAGCAAATTAAAACTTAAAGATAATTTAAATCGTAGAAAAAGAAAACAACTGTGAAATCCACAGAAACGTCAAATTGCAATGTCCTAACCTCACTTTTTGTTTTATTATTCATATTTAATTTTACAATAATTTAATGAAAAATAATAAACATTAACAGTAAAACAAACAAATTAGTGCTTATTATAAATAAATTAAACCAGTTTAGTACGTTAATTTCTTAGAAAAGGATTAATTTGTCAAAACAATACCCCTAGCGAGAAAAAATCAAACTAATTACTTGCCTTATAAAAATTTTTATCGGCCTAGGCCATAACAAGTTATTTCTTTATCGAATGTTGACAACAATAAAGTTTAAATTATAGACCGCGTGGACAGGGCCGAGCCTAGGGTATCTGCCGCCCGGGTGCAAGAATTAAATTTGCCGCCCCCATGTATGTAAAAAATTAGGTTGTCGGTAGGGAAGGAGTTTATAATTTATCATTCTCGATAAACATATAACAAATTTTATAGTAAAATAACAAAGTATTTATTAACAAATACCTACATAAAAGAACAAAATAAAAATACATTCAGGAAAAAAAAACAAAAATAATTAAACTAAACTAAAAAACTAAAATCTACTTTTCTCGCTTTTTTAATAGCAAATTCCCTAATCAAGTCGCCTACATCCAAGTTGTTAGAAATATCTTCTTCAATACTTAATAATTGCTAAATTTGAAAGCCTGAATTGGATCTTAAATAGGTCTTAGTTAGTTTTAATTTTGAAAATGACCGCTGGCATCGTCAAAAATATTCTTAAAGCTACAAATAAATTCGGAAAGATGCCTTTTAAATCATTAACTAGTTTTTAACTTAAACGCATTAAAAGACAAAAGAAACTACTATGTTTGAATCCCATTTGCCTCACGTTAATAGAAAAACTAAAATACTGAAATACGCAGCCGTCAAATCGGACGAAATTATGCTTTAACTTAACAGTTCAGCTTGTAAACAATATCACGTGGTACATAGCGCGCGATTTGATTGGTTTCCCGTAAGCCCGCTTCCGTAAAACATGAAACTTGACGAACTCGAAGCGGACGGACGGAAAGCGAAGCGGGCGGGCGGCAATCTATAACCGGGCTTTAAGAAAATTGTCATCATCATTTTTTGTGGCTATCGCGCGTTCGGTTATGTCTTTTTTATCATTTCCGCCTGACAGCACAATTTTGGCATTGTTTTTATGTGTAGAATAAAAACGATGATTCCTTGAAACGCCGACATCAATAAAACGCAAGTGATTTTTAGAAAGTTTTTTGCATATTGCAAGGTGGCTTTTTTATTCTTGATAATATGATACAATTTTTTTGATGTTATTTTGCCGCCCTGTGTTAGTGCCGCCCGGGTGCCATGCACCCCTTGCACCCCCGGCACGGCTCGGCCCTGCGCGTGGAGATAAAAGTAATTATTATTATATTTATAATAATTTTATATGATTATAATCAGCATAGGAAAAAAACTGGTTTTTTTTTCGTTTTTTCCCCAGGCCTGATTTTTTTGGGAAAAAATGAGTTTTTTTTGGAAAATATACACATTTTAAAAATAGTGGCAAAACAACAGCTTAACATTTTTAAAATTAAAAAAAAAATCCTTTATTGCAGAAAAATAATTAAATTGAATTGAATTAAATTAATTTGATTTAAGAAAATAAAAGTAAACGTTAAATATAGTATCGGTCCAGTCTTTTTTGCAAAAAGAATTCCATTGAAAATATCCAATTACAAAATAATGAATAAATTACAAAATTGTAATTTATAATAAGTGTCAAATAAAACGAAAGTTAATACAGCACCGAATTTGTTTTTTTGGAGGCCCGGTAGAAAAAAATAAAATTTTACTTAATTAAAATAAAAGAATAATTATATTATACAGTGTGACCCATTTGTTTGCGACTCACCCCTGTAAAATCTTTATTTATTGTGCAATTTTAACCGGATTTGTTTTAAAGTGTAGATCTTGATAAACTGTATTTTTGGAGCATATTTTTACAAAATACAAGGCCTAATATGTCAGTTTTTAAGAGTAAATTTTTAAGAATTCATATTAGCGATTTTTTTAAACAAAATCTAAGCACGGCACTGGATTCACCACCCCTCAAAACAAAGCTCAATTTATAAAAAAATATATTTTGGTTTAAGGAATATGTGGTAGGTTTTTATCTGTTACAGACACATAAATACATACAAATTATATATTAATTTAGTATGTACAAAATAAAATAACAAAACCTGATCGTTTTAATTTTTTATAGAATCAGTCTCAAACAAAAACATATTAAAATACATTACGAAAATGAGCGTTAAAAATCCAATAGAATATGAAGAATTATCTACTGAAGAAAATATAATATTAAAAAAAGTTATACCAGGTTTAATTTTTATTAAAAACGTATGTATGTATTTATAAAATTTTATTATTGTAGGTTTACCTAGCAAACTATATAAATTTGGATCGAAAAAATTTATTTACAGGTCATATTACTCAACCTACAAAGAAACCTATAAGAAATAGCGATATTTGGATAGTAACATTACCCAGATCAGGTATTGTTGTATTTTTTTTATTTTGTATTACAATGTCACCAATTAAGAATAACGGTATTCTTACAATTAGAAAACATTTTTTTCCGTGTATTGAATGGCCTTTTATATTACTTTACAATAATTGTAAATCTTTGTTAAAAAAAAATTTAGGTACCACGTTAACTCAGGAGATGGTATGGCAAATATGCAATAATTTGGACATAGATGGAGCTGGCAGAGGGTATTTAGTCAAACGCTATATGGTTTTCGAGTAAGCAAACAATTTGGTTTAGTCTAGAAATTTAAGTCAATTAAAAAATATTCTAACCTAAATTGACATTCTTCCTAGATTTGCAGCCAGATTTAATGAAGAAGAATTTAAAAAACTCGTGGAATTTAACAAAGAAACCCCGAAACGATTTAATGACGCCCAGGAAATATTTACAAAGACGTGGGACAGAAATTGGCCTCAGGACAAACGGAGGTTCGTGAAAACTCATCTGCCGATATCTTTATTGCCCCGTGACCTTCTAAAGTCAGGATGTAAGGTCAGAAAAAATATTTTACTTTAACAATCTAAATTTTAACTAAAATAATTTTAGATAATATATGTTGCCAGAAGCCCTAAGGATATGATGGTATCAAGATATTACCATAACAGATGGCTATTTAAAGATGGAGAAAAATTTATGTAAGAAATAAATTTTACTAAACCCACAATCCACACAACAAGGTCTGTTCTATCTCGTACTAAAAATACAAAAAATTACTGCAACACTGCACAGTTTAACGGCGGCCATTTTTGTTGTTTACAATTTTTGTGCTTTGGGTTTGTGCTCTGTTTATACAGATTAATAATCGTTTTAAACTTTGTGTTTCTCAAAGTAGGCCTTAACCATTTTACTCCTCTATTGTAAAAAATAAACTTTTTCTATCAGGGCTTTCATAAAACTGTCAAATGTCAATTTTAAAGTTAAATTATAACCCACAAATTAACCTTCAAATTGTCATTTGACAGCCCTAATAGAATAAGGTATATTTATTATAAAAGAGGAGTAAAATGGTTGTCCTTAGCACTTAAAGGCCTTATTTGAGGCTTACAAGTGCCTCTGTAAGAAATACAACGTTTAAAACAATTATTAAACAGCACAAACCCAAAGCACAAGAATTGTAAACAACACAAATGGCCGCCGTTAAACTCTGTGCAGTGTTGCAGTGATTTTTAGTATTTTTAGCATGAGATAGAACAGGCCTTGTTGTGTGGATTGTGACTAAACCTTCAGATAATTTTTTTTATTTGGACTCGTGTTTTTTTATTAAGTTGGTAGCTTATGGCAGTTTGATTTAGTATTTTTAGTATTTAAAAAATGGTACTTCTGCTGAAGACCTTAATTAAATACTATGACACTGTCAAATTGACAGTAATATTTATTATTGATAATTTACTTGTTAATTATTATATAATATTGATATAAAAAGATAACTATCCAGAAATAATATCAATTTTTTGAGTAAAAAAGTAACGTTTTTGATTTACAAATATAAATCACAGATTATTTTCAGCTAAGCAGATCAAAAAATTCTGAAATTTTAAATAATAAAAATTATTTGCTGTTGAGTTAAACCTTTTTGTGAAAAATCTAGTAGTTAATTTTCCTGTCTTTGAAAATAGCATCCATTTGGTTTGAAAAAGATAAGCAATAATCACGAAACTTTTTCTTCTTTCAATTTGCAAGTTACTGATCATTAATAGTCCTGGACACTACATACATTATAATTATTATTAAGCCACTATAAGTATTAACGTCCATTGGCTTTAACAAAATACCCATTCACCATTGGAGTCCAATGATTGGACAACATTCACGTGTGTTCACATACAATTTTAATTTCTTTTATATAAATTCTTTTCAAAGCGAAGATTATTATCCGCTAGGAATACTTTCTCTTCTGGGCCGTAAAGCAACCTATATTTAACTACTTTTTATGTGATTTTACTCATCTACGCACCACCAAAGCCGAATTGCATTTTTAACTACGAATGTTAATATTAACCAATAATTACACTGTTTTAGACTTACATTTCCCCTATTGGGAGCACATACAAGAAGGCTGGGAACTAAGAAACAACAAAAACGCGCTGTTCATGTACTATGAAGATATTGTTAAGGTAACTTTCAATAGATTTTTATTAAAAACAAACCTAACAATATTTTTCCGAGCAGTTCCCAAAAGAGGCCATAATGAAAACAGCACAATTCCTGGAAAAACCGTTGACCGAATCGCAAGTCGACAAACTTGTCGATCATCTAAAAGTCGACAACTTTAAAAAGAACGATGCAGTTAACAGGGACTACCAGGATTTCATGCCCAAGCCTGCTGTAGAAGTGGAATTTGTTCGAAAAGGAAAAGTGGATTCCGCCAAGGAAGAGTTATTCGACGAAAAACTGAATAAAAGGGCTGATGATTACATTAGGGAGATGTACAAAAAATACGAATTTAGATTTCCTAATTATATATAAATTTTAGTTAAAAATGCTTTAATTATGTTGTGTGTGACAATTATACGAATTTTTGCATCTTTTCTATTTTTTTTAAAATTTTAAACAGCTAAAATTAGCTAGTTCATTTTTTTTATCTTGACTGCGGCAACGTTGCAAATTTAGGGTTTTGGTTGGTAAACACAGTTGTCAAGTTGGTCGCATTGATTAAAACAAACTAAGCTAGTTATAAATCTAATTGTGGTTATGTATAAATTATTGTAGGTTACATTGTGCAGCTGTCAAGTTAAGTTTTCGAAATTCGTAGTCAAAAATGAAATTAATTTGGTTTGGTGGTGCTTGGATGAGTAAAATCATATAAAAAAAGTAATTAAATATAGGTTGCTTTACGGCCCAGAAGAGAAAGTATTCCTAGCGGATAATAATCTTTGCTTTGAAAAGAATTTATATAAAAGAAATTAATTTTTTTGTGGACGTAAATGTTGTCCAATGGTGAATAATGTGAAAATATTGTGTGATGTAATATTTATAAAACCAAATTCGTTACTTTTTTACTCCAAAAATGTCCATAAGGCGATGTACTTTTTCTTCCATTGTGGCATTTGGGATAATTTCATCAAAATGAAGTTTTGCCCTCAAAAGGGCTTTTACATTCGAATTCGTTGCTATTATTTTTGACATAATTATCTTTTTATTTATAATTGACAAGTAAATTATCAATAATAAATATTATTGTCAATTTGACAGTGTCAAAGTATTTAATTAAATTCTTTAGCAGAAGTACCATTTTTAAATACTAAAAATACTAAGTCAAACTGGCATAATCAGATGAATATTACTAATTACATAGCATCATTTTTTTACAATGTTTGACCTTAATTTGAAAACTCTGTATAAGCTAAGTAACAAAAATGTGTAGTTCTTGTAATTCCCAAAGAAATGACAATGATTTTCCAAATATTTGCCATATTTTATAGCGTAATTATAACTTGAAAGACTAAACAGTTGTTTTTCTCTTTTTCTTACCCATGAAGAACAAGATGACGTTGAATCGTTCATTTTCCTTTAAATTTCGGTATAGGAATCGATTATAGTGTTTGTGTAAATACTGTTAGTATTTAAAAAATCAAGTGAAAAATATAGAATCGCGGCCGAGATCACGATTACAATTAACAAAACGTAAAGTTCAAACATAATACAAACCGAGTTACACACTATAGACTACAATAGTGATCAAATTAAGAAATATGTAGTTTTTTGTATGTTTTTTTTGCTGGGTGTGTAAAAAGAGTAAAATACTGTACAGGATGTCTTTGAACATGCAATTTTTACCAGAAAAAATAACATTAAGTATATTTGTTAATTTTTTTGACGTCCTATTTAATAGTGAAATAAATCAAATTTTTTGGGATCAAGGGAAGCGACGATTCACCAACTTTTTTACTTTAAATACAATATGGCGTCAAAATGTGAGCAAATATATAAATAGATAACACACAAATATTTACTTTTTGTTCTATAGAATATATATAAGGGTGATTCTACAAAAGTTGGACAACTTGATGTCATCAGTCAATAGAGTAGGAATTTTAATATTGTTTGTAAATATTTCAGTATATTTATTATTTATATGTTTTTTAGGTGTCTGTTCGATTAAACCATTTAAATTTAAAGTTTTTTTATAAAGAAAAGATTTTAATGCCCAGAAAAAAGGTAATCTTCTCGAGAATATTGAGAAAATTGAGAATCTTCTCGAGAATATTGAGAAAATTGAGAATCTTTTCGAGAAAATTGAGAATCTTCTCGGGAATATTGAGAAAATTGAGAATCTTCTCGAGAATATTGAGAAAATTGAGAATCTTATTGAGAATATTGAGAAAAAAGTGCAATGTCCTAATTCGACTATGCTGTTAATAAATTCTCGGGAATATCTCGTTTTTGCTCGTTTATGCTCGTTTATTCTCGTTTATGCTCAATTTGCGTTCTCCAAAAATAAATGCTCGAGTATTTTACATCTCTAATAACAGGTGCTATGAATAGAAAACATAAATAAAATATATATATATATATATATAACAAATACAGTATAAGACTAATATAATTTAACATTCAGGTACTTGTAATTATCACAGTGTTATCTTACAGATATATAGTAGTTTTTAACTGATTACAGTGCTTGTTATGGACATGCGCTGTAGGGTGACAGCGCGTAGGCACAAAATATTTAAAATACATGATTGTTTAGTATTATTTAAGATAGGTGTTCAGTTTAATAAATAATTTGTGTCTCTAAATAGGATATTTAGATATTGTTTATGATCAATGTCTTTCATTTTTAGAAACGTTGCTTTGTAAAACCCCGTAGTTTCCCGGTCTTGGAAAGTGGGCGAGTCTTCAAACGTCTTGTTCGATGTTTTTTTTTCATTATAGGTACCCTACTATGGAGAAAGGCAGAAACTATAAAAAATTCTAAATGCGTTTTTTTGTGCTGTGATAAAGCTATGGACATTTTGTATCTGAATTCAACAAAGAAATGCAGTAAACTATCTTATAAGTTAAATAAATCAGTTAAATACCTACTGCTTTTTATAAAAATGTAGTTTATGCTAATTTCTTGTTTAGCAGTTACTGCCTATCTCCATAGTTGGGCAGTATACAACAAGCTGCCTGGGCAATTAAAATTGTGATCACTGCACTAATATATAAATGATTATCTTTCATATTTACACACACTGGGTAAAACGCAGAATATAAACAAAAACAAATGTCAAGCATTTTAGGTGTCATCGCGCATGCTTACGGAATTTTTCACGGAAATCTATAAATTGACTTTTTACAAGACGCACAAATCGTACGGGCACGACTGCGGGAGGAAGGAAGGAAGGCAATCTATAATGGGGTAGTTAAATTTTTTCTGACCTATACTTTTTATGGTTTTAATCAAGGCGTTTTGTAATTTTAAACATTTCTGTGAAATCGGAATTTCAATTGAGTTTACCGTTTTCGAGATATTTACAAAAAAAAATCTCCTTAATTACGTCACTAGGCTATTGACAACGTTGCCAGCTTTTTCTATGGTTGCCAGTGTGTTTAGTTTAAGATTCTTACGATAGATGGCGCCACGTTATAATATTTTAGTTTTAAAACCACTTGATCTATAATTTTAGTTGAGAAGAATAATAATTGATTTTTTGAAGTCTCTTTTTTTCGGGTTATGTTTTTTTTAAATTTAGATTATTGAAAATCAATGTTATTGTTTTATTTGTAATTGATATTAGATAAGTGATTTATTAATAACGGACTCCAAAGCAGAGGAATCTTGTGGAATGGTTGGTTACATTGAACATTGGAGCTTTTAAACAAATAAAGTAAGTACCTATAATTATAATCATATTTTGTCGTAAATGCATTTCATTAGTAAAGGGTGATTCATTTGGACCTTTTTTTTTAAATTCTAGATAAAACGCATAAAATAGAGTTGGATGGCGGAATCTTTATTATGACCTAAAAGAACGAACTTTGACATTTATTTTTTTTTAAATAATTTCATTTAAATGCTGGCCGCGTACAGCGTGGTCCATTCGGAAGGTCCAATTTTCCATCACTCTTTCTAGCATTGCGACCGGTATCTGCCCAATTACCCGAGTAATGATTTCTCAATAAAGCTATTGTTTCACGGGCTGTGTGTGCCGCAGCTCCGTCTTGTTAAATCAAAAGTCTTCGTCTATAATCCAGCTACGATTCAGGACTAAGAAGCCAACATTACTCGCCTCATTGGGCAGATACCGGTCGCAATGCTAGAAAGAGTGATCGAAAATTGGATCTTCCGAATGGACCACGTACGCCGTAGTCCCGGACAGCATTTAAATGAAATTATTTTCAAAAAATAAATGTCAAAGATTGTTCTTTCAGGCCATAATAAAGATTCCGCCATCCAATTCCATTTTATGCATTTTATTTAGAATTTAAAAAAAAAGGTCTAAATGAATCACCCGTTATAATGCCTAGTTCTTTATATTCTTTTAGATATATGTTGGACTCTAAAATATCAAACAGTAATATGATACCTCGTAATAAGGAAGATAGGTACTTAATGAATTTGGTGACCATCTTTCACACAAGTTGTGTGACACAACTGACAGTATTTGTACATAACCTCTTCGGGTATTTTCTGACATAACCGAATGAAATCATTAACAAGACAACTTGACAACAGGGTAATTTTCAACAAATAGAAATCTTAGAATGTTGGTCACATGGCGAGGTTTGTGACGTCATAAAAGTTTATATTTTTTGTAAATATCTCGAAAACGGTAAACTCAATTGAAATTCCGATTTCACAGAAATGTTTAATATTACAAAACGCCTTGAATAAAACCATAAAAAGTATAGGTCAGAAAAAATTTAACTATCCCATTCAGGGGGTTAAAAATGGCCAATTTTTCGGTACTCACCGCCTCGGCATCCTCGATGTTCGGGATCCCGTTGATCAGGTACTCCACGGCCCTGTCGGGGTTGTTGAAGCTCGCCCTCAAGGCCGACATGACCTGATCCCTGGGATAGCCCATGTCGGTGATGTTCCTCACCATCGCCTCGTACTCCTCGCCCAGCAGGAGAGTCGTCTCGCCCGTCAGCCCGCCGCTGACTTGCGAGGGGGTGACGGGAACGGCGGCGGGGACGGCGGGGGCGGGCGCGGCGGGGGCCGGAGTCGGTGCCGCCGCCACCGCGGGGGCGGCCGCCGCCACTGCCGCCGGAGTGCTGAAGAGAATTTTTGGTTTTTATTGTCCGGTCAAAATTTCAATATTTAGTTTTGGGAAAAATCGCTTTTAAAAATTTGTATTTTCAGTACGCGTCGAGTACAATGATGTTACATTTATATTTTGAAAAAAAAATAATTGTAATACATTAATGCAGGGCTCCCACGGCTAAATTACAAATTTAATTTAGTTTTTTGGAGAATTTTACGAGAAATAAAGTATGCAAAGGAATGTCTCTAATTAAATAAAAATAACTCTACACTGTAAAAAATAAATTATTGTTTTTAACAAAAATTTAAATAAATATCACTTTTTTTGTAATTCAATGAGTTTTTTTTAATAAAATTAAAAGTGAGATAAAATTACTACTTTTTTATACCTACAGTTAATTTTTTTTTATCTGGACTCGTGTTTTTTTGTTAGGTTGGTGGCTTATGCCAGTTTGACTTGGTATTTTTAGTATTTAAAAATGGTACTTCTGCTAAAGAATTTAATTAAATAGGTACTTTGACACTGTCAAATTGACAACAATATTTATTATTGATAATTATAAATAAAAAGATAATTATGCCAAAAATAATAGCAACGAATTCGAATGTAAAAGCCCTTTTGAGGGCAAAATTTTATTTTGATGAATTTATGCCAAATGCCACAATGGAAGAAAAAGTATATCGCCTTATGGACATTTTTGGAGTAAAAAAGTAACGAATTTGATTTTTTAATATTACATCACACATTATTTTCACATTATTCACCATTGGACAACTTTTACGTTCACAAAAAAATTTCTTTTCAAAGCGAAGATTATTATCCGCTAGGAATACTTTATCTTCTGGGCCGTAAAGCAACCTATATTTATATGATTTTACTCATCCAAGCACCACCAAAGCCAAATTAATTTTATTTTTAACTACGAATTTCGACAACTCCACAATGTAACCTACAATAATTTATACATAAACACAATTAGTTTTATAACTAGTTTGTTTTAATCAATGCGACCAACTTGAGAACTGTATTTACCAACCAAAACCCTAAATTTAAAACGTTGCCGCATCCAGATAAAAAAATGAACTTTACCACACTTTTTATTTTATTTAAAAAACGCGTAGATATATTTGGCTAAAAAACTAGAACAAAGTCAAATCCTGTTATATTTACATTTTGAGAAAAAAAATTTAATAACTAAAAATAATACTCAAAAATATCATAATATAAAAAATATGAAGTTTGCATAATACATCAAAACATTCTTTAGATGCTTTAATATTTTAGCTATCATTTAAAAGAAAATTAAAATCCTTTTGTTTTATATAAAACACGGTACCTATATTTTTGTCGAAAACAAACGAAATATGGCTAAAGGTACTACAGGGATTTTGTTTTTTAGGTATTTTTTGTTGTTTTTTAAGAAGTATGTAGGTTGTGATAAATCATTTTAAAAAGAATTTAATAAACTAGAATCTAAACATATATATTTTTGAAATTACTTTTCGCAACGCAGTCAGGTTGGCCTATTTATATTTAATTTTTAGGAATTTTAGGAGATTGATGAAAATTTTGGGAGTTTTCAAGATTAATGCCAAATTTTAGGAATTTTATTAGTTTTAGGAGGCGTGGGAGCCCTGTCAATGATATGTTTACACAAACTAAGTAAAGAGAAGCAGTCTGGCAATAGTGCGCTTGCGAGCGAGTTCTTAATTAAATAAGTGCCTAGAAAAGTTTATAAATTAGGGGCACTGTACGCAAAATTTATACCGCTTTATCAGTTAAATCTAGTTAGAAACATTCATATAATCTTTTCAAATATTGGCGTCAAGAAACTATTTAATACTTTTGTATTTTTGTATTGAGATAATAAAATAATTTTCACATTTAGTAATATTTTACAAAAAATGCACTTTATTTTCTTTATTTTAACGATCATAATATTATAATATTATGACATTTGACAACTGTCAACTAACTTCAGCCCGTGACTAAAGCGCCATAAAACCACAACTTGTCAATGTGTATTTAAAAGGCCACTTAGTGTCATGGCAACATGTACTAATATCAACATTAACCTGGCAACATGGCCTTTTTTTATAACTTTGGTAATAATTAATACCAAATTAAAAACAAGAAAAGTGATATTTAATAAAACTAAATGAATTTAACCTACACTTTTATTGTGTTTTGATCTTTCATAATTAAGTAGATATTACAGCTCAAGTTCCATATTTTTAACCGCAATTAATTATTTTTTACAATGTTTTAAAAGTCTAAAACCTATCCTCCGTGACTTTTACTCTTTCTAGGTAAACCTATATGTTTTCAAATATCTGAGGTAGTAAAAGCATACTAAAAATATCAGTTCACCAAGTAAATTAAACACATCCAAAGCAATCGAATCAAATATAAAATATTATTAAAAATAAAAAGAAATAATTTTTATAAACATTTATGTAGGTGTTACAAAAATTGATTCTATCCTCCGTGAATCTGTTTTTGCTTAAAATTGTATGGAACGGATGGCGCTTTAATCATTTTAAATAAGCAAAAAAATCTGTTTACGACATTTTAGATGCATGTAATTCCTGAAGGTTAGTTAGAATTTATATACAGATGAGAGTGTTGCTGTTTTATAATTCAAAAGTTTAAGTTCATTAATTTGCTATTTAAAAACCTATCCACCGTGAAGTTTAATATCTCAGTAAGTTGATATTTTTATAAATATTTTATGGAAGGGGAGGGTTTTTCAAAACATCACGTGACAAAGTAAATCGAAGGAAATTACTTACTTACTCCATTTTTAGAGTACAGAAAGAATCAAAATGTGTTGTTGTCTTAAAATAATTTTTTATAATTAAAATATACCCTATAAAAATGGGGGGACGGTTTGACAACCCTACACAGGGTCAATTCATAATTTTGCCCATTTTATTGACAATAAAAAATTGTCATTTAATATGATAGGAATGTTAAAAAAATACTATCTCATAAAAAAGCACTAATTTGGTTGAATTTGTGAAAATGCGAGGTAAAATCACACCATTTTAGGTAATTTAAAAATTAGGTCCATTTCTCTTGAAAATGAAAATTTTTGTAAAATAAAATCCAAATCCAAAGTTATGATTAGCATAGAAAAATAGGTAATAACAATAAAATCCCATCTCTGGTAATAATTGATAATTTTTTTTTAATTTCTTACAAATGTAGTTACTTATAGAAACTGAATTGAATGTCTCAAAAGTGACAGCAACCTGAGTTGGCATATACATGTAGAAGGTCAAAGGTGACAAAAAACAAAAATATCTTACAGATATTAAAGATTAAATAAAAGAAAAACTCAAAACTGTCACCCCATAAAAACACGTTAGCCAATCACCAATAATCTTGTAAACAAAACAAAACAACTTATTTTTGGATAAAATCTATAAATAGCTACAATATTTGTAAATCATGTTTTAAAATTGAATTACCAACAAAGCACACGACAATTAATTAAAAATTCATAAAAAATACCTTTCAACTGTAGTCGACGAACCACTATCACCTACGGATGTTTGTTCAGCTGCCTTTGGCTTTGTGACCATAACAACAATGAATTTCTTCTCATCAATATTGTATTCGCCTACAGTACTCTCGTCGGTCAAGATTTTCCCTTGAACAAATTTAAAAATAAGCACAAAAACACACAATAAAGCCAGAATAAATACCTGCATATATGAGCCTTTGGTTGTCCGAAGGATAATCGCTGCCTTTAATTTCCTCGATTTTCTTCTTCAACTCCTTAACCTGCGATAAAAACAACTCAAAAACTCCGTAATTACCCCAAAAATTTACTTACGGTTTTTGAAGAATCCAACTCAACTATAAAAGTTTGTTGTTGGAGATTTTTCAGAGTAATCTTCATTTTGTGTGGTTAAAATTATGAAAGTAGTCTTAAAATAAGTAACGAACGCCTTTTTTCACCTTTACTAACTGCACTTTTGCTTATTTTTCGATAATAAACCGTGTGTGATGATATAGCATAACTGACAAAATTTTGGCGGCCATATTCTAAGGTTCCAAGATGACAACTTCAAAGTCAAAACGACATATTCATGATTTACACCCCGAATTAATAATTAAATAATCAAAACCTACACTTTTATCCCAAATAAAGGTAAAAATTGTCCAATAATCAATAATTATTGTTTAATTGTTAGGAAAACTGGAAAACAAAATTTGAAAAAATGACAGTTGGCAGCACAAAAATTATATATTTTTCACAGAAAGTGGAATGTGTGCACTGCCGCCACTGCGTGCAAATTTTATTACAAACAAATAGGATACTCTTAAAATGAATGAACTGATCCTAAAAATATACTTTTATAATTTATTTACCGAAAATATAATTATTTAAATAGAAAAAATATGGAATGCGTGTGCCATAGGGTAGTTTGCGGAGGTATGCGGATAGACACTTTTATTGCCAAAAAGCCAAATTATGCAATAATCGTAAGCGCAACTTTGTTACTGCATTTTTAGCCGCGTTATTCATTTATTTGGGCTTATTTTTGCAGTGTGAAAGAAGAAGAAGACTTTAATTGACATTTATTATGTCATTTTTGACAGTTGGCATTATTGTTATATGACATTTGGTGCCTTAGTTTGTGATAATCCAAAACAAATAAAATGGGTTTTAATTGTTGTTTTTTAGTATAATGCAATATAAAATGCCGCCGTTTCGTAGGAAAAAGTCGGGAAAAAGTTTTCCCGTCAAAGTTTGCACGCTAGACGCGGAACTAGAGTTCAATCTTGAAGTATGTTTACATTTCCTAGTATTGTTTATGACTCAACTTGCTTAGAGTGTTGAAATAAACGTGTTTTTTTGTGTTTTAGTTGAGAGCGACCGGCAGAGATCTCTTTGAATTAGTATGTAGGACTATAGGTTTACGAGAAACGTGGTATTTTGGTCTTCAGTTTGAGGACTCAAAAGGTTTTATATCATGGCTGAAGCTGGACAAAAAAGGTAAAATGATTAATGTTAGAGATAAATAATTTTGACAACTACATTTTGTTTGTTTTAGTGCAAGATCAAAGTATTCAAAAAAGCCACCAGACTGCCTCGTTTATGTTTCTGGCAAAATTTTACCCAGAGGAGGTTGCCGAAGAGCTAGTGCAAGAGGTTACACAACATTTATTTTTCCTACAAGTGAAACAGGCCATTTTGAGTATGGACGTATACTGTCCACCAGAGGCATCAGTATTACTGGCTAGTTATGCAGTACAAGCAAAGGTTAGTTTTAGGTTATTATTAATTTGTCTTAATTAACAAAACAGAGCTTAATTTTTAAGATATAATTTTTTTTTCATTAATTATCAGAATTAATGAAAACATAAAAAAAAATATTTGTCAGTTTTCTCATTCCTCACCTTTTTATTATAAAATATAGGATACAAATTAGGAAAACACAAGAACTTTGCTTTGCTGTGTAATAAACACATACATAATTAAATACTTTTTTCTTATATGAATTTATAGTACTAGGTTATAGCAACAGGTTTTTAGTCACAGGCTGAAGTTAGCTTTAAGTTAGTTGACAGATGTCAAATGTCATACAATTGTCAAAATAAAGTGCACTTTTTGTGAAATAATACTTAAAGGAGAAAATTATTTTGTTATCTCAACACAAAAATACAATACTATTAAATCTTTCAAAAGTGTATATGCACCTTTTGATTTCGCCGCCAGCAAACCAGTATTTGCCGATAAAGCATTAATAATTTCGGATGGAGGTTCCTGTAAAAACATCCTCTTCACTTTCACTTTGAAAAACTGCTTTTATATTAGATTTAAACGGTTGGAAGTCTATTTTTATGTGAGAAATTTTGATTTTTACAGGAAAAATCCAAACTGACACTGACATTTTGAAAGCTGGTAAAACAGAATTCTAACACTAATTTTGGTTACTACAGTTCATTTATTTTTATTTGGTAGCTTATGCCAGTTTGATTTAGTATTTTTAGTAATTAAAAAATGGTACTTCTGCTGAAAAATTAAATACTCTGACTCTGTCAAATTGAATTTAATTAAAGTAGGTGCTCAAAATGGTGGCCTTCGAATTCCATCCATTTATGAATTCGCATTTCGTTTTAATATTCTGCTAACACTACTCTGGATATTTCCAAATTTCTAAATAATTCTCGTGTGCTTGCATGAGGATTAGCGGCCGTTGCTGCTAATACATTAATTTCATTATTTCCACTTGTGATTGTTGCTCGACGAACTCTTTTTTTCGGTTGAACACTCCCGTTTGTAGTAAACTGCTTGACTGTACGGTGAAATGAAGTGCGTGATCGAATTTTATCCGGAAAACGCTGAGCGTAGATATTAACATCATCATCAAGATTTCTGCCTGCTTCTCCATAAATCAAAATCATTTCTATTTTTTCTTCCACTGTTAAAAAATCCGTTATGAATAACTGCTTAACGAAAGAAGGTCTTTTTGTTTGCAAATTAATCTTTGAACTAAATTGATTAATAATAATAATTATTATTTATAACTAAATACCATTTTTTATACCTCAATTAGGATTAAATTAATTAATTGACAAATAATGTTTTTTTAACCTTAAATGGGGTATTTTTATTAAAAATAGTTCAATAATCCTTTAAATTAAAGGATTTAATGCTGGCTGGTAAAAAGTGACCAAGGTGCGCAATTGATAATTATCACCGAATGAAATAATGTATAAAACTTAAAACAAAGGAAACTTAAATATTAGTTAAAAAATCGTGGGTACTTAAAAAAATCAGATTTAATTTGATAAGATAATTATTACCAAAAAAGGCTCTTTAAGGATTAGGATTATAATGGGGTAGTTAAATTTTTTCTGACGTATACTTTTTATGGTTTTATTCAAGGCGTTTTGTAATATTAAACATTTCTGTGAAATCAGAATTTCAATTAAGTTTACCGTTTTCGAGATATTTACAAAAAATATAAATTTTTATGACGTCACAAACCTCGCCATGTGACCAACATTCTAAGATTTCTATTGGTTGAAAATGACCCTGTTGTCAAGTTGTCTTGTTAATGATTTCATTCGGTTATGTCAGAAAATACCCGAAGAGGTTATGTACAAATACTGTCACTGTCAGTTGAGTGAAAGATGGTCACCAAATTCATTAAGTACCTATCTTAATTATTACGAGGTATCATATTACTGTTTGATATTTTAGAGTCCAGGATATATCTAAAAGAATATAAAGAACTAGGCATTATACTAATGAAATGCATTTACGACAAAATATGATTATAATTATAGGTACTTACTTTATTTGTTTAAAAGCTCCAATGTTCAATGTAACCAACCATTCCACAAGATTCCTCTGCTTTGGAGTCCGTTATTAATAAATCACTTATCTAATATCAATTACAAATAACATAACAATAACATTGATTTTCAATAATCTAAATTTAAAAAAAAACATAACCCGAAAAAAAGAAACGTCAAAAAATCAATTCTTCTTCTTCTTCTTAACTAAAATTATAGATCAAGTGGTTTTAAAACTAAAATATTATAACGTGGCGCCATCTATCGTAAGAATCTTAAACTAAACACACTGGCAACCATATAAAAAGCTGGCAACGTTGTCAATAGCCTAGTGACGTAATTAGGAGATTTTTTTGTAAATATCTTGAAAACGGTAAATTTAATTGAAATTCCGATTTCACAGAAATGCTTAAAATTACAAAACGCCTTGAATAAAACCATAAAAAGTATGGGTCAGAAAAAATTTAACTACCCCATTCTTTTTAGTTTGGTGATTTTGACGAGGACACCTACAAACCAGGAATGTTGGCTAGCGAAGATTTACTTCCGCAAAGAGTAATCGACCAATACCAAATGACGCTCGAGATGTGGGAGGAGCGAATAAGAGTTTGGTACGCTGACCATAGAGGAATGTCGCGGGACGAAGCCGAAATGGAATACCTAAAAATTGCGCAGGACTTGGACATGTACGGCGTGAACTATTTCCCCATATTGGTAAGTTTTTCGCGGGATATACGCTAAAGAAGTATCAGCTGTCAAACGCTTATGTTACAAACGAGTGTTTTTGAAAATAAAGCCGGAAAATGTTAAAAAACATCGAAAAAAAACCGTGGCCCATTTGTTGGGTTGTTGGGTGTATTTCGAGAGGAAATCCTGGGTTGAGTTTTTACCGGTTTTCCAATAAACAGTGTTAATCTGAATGAAGAAATAAATTTCATACAGTCTCTATAAATATAAATTGTATTTATTAGATATACATTTTAGTAGTGATTAAGGTGAAAAGTGTAAACATTTCAATTCAGTAAAAATTGTCAAACAAATAAGTCGTCTAAATTTAAACAGCATTTAGCATTATTAAAAGCGTTGATTAAGAAAGTCTCCACTAAACGGTAAAATACCATTATATTATGTATTATATATAATATTATGTTGCCATGAATTCGTAGGTATATTTTGTTGTTTAAAATGCAGTTGTCGGCGTTTTTTAGAGAACTCAAACATAAAAATGGTTGATTTTAAGGTTATGTTTGTGCAAAAATAATTTTTACCAATTTCTTAAAAATGTCCAAACTTAAATATAAATTATATTAGGTAAAGTTATCATTAGTTAATTCTGCACCAACAAATATAATTACCGAATTGGATCCTTTGGCAAAACACGAAAATGCGACGATTTAGTTCTTGAATTTTATTTACAGTTAAAAACGCAATAATTCACCATGATACCTTAGATAAAATACACACACTAACGTAACTATATAAGCATTTAAGCGTTGAGTTTCTTAATCAATGATATAAAGAATAATCAATCGAAATCGAGTACTAAACCAGTTTTTTAGTTTTTTCCTTGCAACGTAAAACACAAATAACGTGCGCGATTTAGCTGCGCAATTGAACAAAATTTGTCGAGTAAGACTTCTGCCTTCCTCTCTTTTGTGAAAAAAACTACCTATTTATTTAAAAAAGATTGAACCAAGTTGTAAATTTCCTTGCAGAACAAAAAAGAGACTGATTTGTGGCTGGGCGTGACGTCAGTGGGTTTGAATATCTACGAGAAGGAGAACAAACTGCAGCCGAAAACTACGTTCACTTGGTCGGAAATTAGGCACATCAGCTTCGACGACAAAAAGTTTATCATCAAAACCGTGGAAAAGAACGCTTCGAATTTCGTGTTTTTCAGCCAGAAAGTCCGGATGAATAAACTGGTGAGTAAAAATTCAATTTCAAAAAATATTATTATTAATAATAAAATTCTGCTGTTCTTAATCTAGAGATTTAAAGGGTTAATAAAAATACAAAATTAAAAATGTTTTGCAAAGTTAAAAACAAAATTTTTTGGTATAAAAATTAAATTATTAAATTTGAATTAAAAAACATATCTAGAGAAAAAAACAAGTTATTGGATGTTTTTCGAAAGGAAGTCCTGGGTTGAGTTTATTTTATTTATTTATATAGATGGCGCTGTAATTAAAAAAATCAATTTTGTTCGATTTTTCTTCTGTATACGATTCTGCAATAATTTTTCTATAAAAATATCACTTGTTTGGTAATAATTATCTTATTAAATTAAATCTATTTTTTTAAGTACCTACCCACGATTTTTTAACTAATATTTAAGTTTCTTTTGGTTTAAGTTTTATACATTATTTCATTCGGTGATAATTATCAATTGCGCACCATGGTCACTTTTTACCTGCCAGCATTAAATCCTTTAATTTAAAGAATTATTGTACTATTTTTAATAAAAATACCTCGTTTAAGGTAAAAAAACATTATTTTGTCAATTAATTAATTTAATCCTAATTGAGGTCACGCCATTTTTTTGGGGGGTAATCCTGGGTCACCCATTTTTTTTTTGAACTCGGTTTTTTTTTGTGGCTATAAATCCAGTAAATATAAAACTTGGTATAAAAAAGATGGTTTAAAGAAGAAAAAACTATGTCTGCTTTTGTAGTCTTGTCCCTTCGAATAACAAAATTAGACTCTTCAAGGACACGACTGCATGTGCAGACAGTAATTAAAAGATATTTTTAGTAAGTAAAATATATTAAAAACATCTAAAATACATTATATCTACACTGGATCGGAGTTAAATTTTTTAAAACACTTCCCAACACAGAGTGGGGGTTTATTTTGGCATATTTTACATCGCCATGATGTCTGCCCTCGTTTTTCACTTTTAGAGCACTCTCGACATCGCAAAAAATTACTTTTGCGTTTTGAGTTTTCAGGAACTGTTATTTTTTCTAACACATGTTGAGGCCCTGCTGAATTAGCAATATCAGCTGTAAGATGCACTGGCGTGAATGGTATATTCCGTGGACCTCGCTTTACAAGTTTTCTTCCATCTTTTATATCATCCAAAACCCCAATTAGGCCTCTAATAATTTTTTTGCGAAATAGAAGTAAATCACATTTTGACTTCCAAATCAAGCTTTAAATAGTCACAGAATTCTATAAAACCATACAAATACACCCAACTAGCATTTCACGGTAAAATAATTATTTGTTTGCATTATATATATAATATAAAAAACTTACCAACAAAAATTTTAAGAGTGCACTTTTGTGGGACACAATCCTAGACTAAACGTTATCACAAATGAGAAACGCGTCTGCATATGCAGACGTGATGTCATAAAGTCAGCTGATTTTCAATGCATGCCTAATACGAGCCCTAACCACATAATGTTAGGACACTTCATAATTTATACAGAAATTTTTTTCGTGAATACTATCTCAAAATTATTAGAAGTTATGAAAAATTCAGCTTATTTTGGCATATACCCCTCGTAGCGATTTTTATTTTTAAAAAGTTTACCTTTTATTTTTAGCTTTTAAAAAAAGGCTAACTTTTTAACTTTTTTTTGCATGAGTAAAAAAAGTTATAAATGGGCCCATTAAAAAGAGCATAAAATATTATACAAACCCTGAAAATTTGGTAAAAAATAAATAAGTTATAAAAAAGTATAAGTAATTTAAAAATGCTATTTTTAAAGAGTTTTTGCAATTTTCTTAGGAAACGGGAGATTTTGCAGATATATATATATCGCTATAACTTTCTTATTATTTATACAATTTTTACCAAATTTTCAGGGTTTGTATAATATTTTATGTTCTTTTTAATGGGCCCATTTATAACTTTTTTTACTCATGCAAAAAAAAGTTAAAAAGTTAGCCTTTTTTTAAAAGCTAAAAATAAAAGGTAAACTTTTTAAAAATAAAAATCGCTTCGAGGGGTATATGCCAAAATAAGCTGAATTTTTCATAACTTCTAATAATTTTGAGATAGTATTCACGAAAAAAATTTCTGTATAAATTATGAAGTGTCCGAACATTATGTGGTTAGGGCTCGTAGTTATATACGTCAAATATAGCTTTACAGGGACAATTCTCTGAAAAGTCGATAAATTTAGTGGGACATATATGAACACTAGCAATACATTTTAATGCAATTTTCGACTGCTATTAAAGACGAGACCTACACAGTTAGGTAAATATTGTCTTCATATGCAGTCGCGTCCCTACATGTCTGTCTGCAAAAGCAGACATGTCCGCGAATGTGTTAAGTTAGAAATAATAATTATTACTGAGGTAGGGTAAAGTAGACTATAGTTATTGGACAATTAACATTAATACTGTAAAAACAAGAGTTCTATAAATAGTTACCTTAAAGTCAAATCATTAGATGACGCTGTATACAATTATAAATATCTCAGTCGGTAATAATATAGAACTACTTTATTTTGGGTCAAATATAGGACAAAAAAGTTCGCACGTTCTTTGGTGGTAAGATTTTTGTTTTTTTGTTAAAAGCAGGGCTGTGTTAAATTACAATAAAAAATATTTCTAAAAAGTGTACAGATCAGTGTGTGGTATAAAATGGTTTAAAAATTGTCACTTTAATGCGTTTTAATTTTAATTCTGAAAACAAACAGTGAAATGGCCAGTGTCCAATTACTGGTTGGTAAAAAATGTAAATTTCTATTATTGGACATATGTCCAATATCATACTCTATTTGTATCCCGGACATTTACCAGCCAATTCTTATGTAAAATTGACCCCTGAATCCGAAAAGACCGTCAAAAACTATAAAAGTTAAGTAGTTTTTGAGATATAGTCAATTCCATATTATATGTAAAATTGATTATATTTCAAAAACTGTTCTACTTTCATAACTTTTGACGACATTTTTGGATTCAGCAAATTATATTTCATAAGAATTGACTGCAAAATGTCCTGGATACAAATTGCTGTTGACGAGAATTATTAGTGGCTGCTTTTTCGCTATGACATTTTTGACCAATTCATTTTTAGAGAGTAAGTAATATAGTGATTTCTTCGTCACAGGATATCTTGCAGAATAACAGTGATTTAAATACAGTGCATGATAGAGAACATAAAAAACTAATGGCAACAAAATTAATAAATTCGGAAAATATTTTTAACATACCACCCGAAAAAATATTAAATATATAAATCATCCTGTTCCGGCCTAAACATTATAAATGCTTCACAAACTAGAGATACACTTAATGATATTTACAAAAACGAAATAAAAAAAATACCTAAAACAGCTATATATCTTTAAAAAATATTTAAAAATTTATGTTATTTGATGTTATGTTTTTATAAAAATTGTATGTCCAATAACTATGGTCAATGTCTCCAATTACTATATATAATGTCCAATTACTGTAGTATACAGGGTGTCCCGAAATTAGGGGGCCAAACTTAAACAGTACATTCTTCATAGAAAAGTAACTTTTTTGTTAAATAAACATGTATCAAAAAATGCCCCCTAACGGAGCTACGGCCCTCTGAATAGTAGCCTAAGAGATTTGTTTTTTTAACTATTCCTAGAGCGTTAAACATGAAGAAATGAAATTTTGGCGCTTTGGTAATTTTTAGATGCTGAATCAAGATCTAAGATCAAAACTGTTAAAATTTAATCATAGGCGTAACATTTGGGGGGAAAAAGTTATAAAAATAGCCCAACTTTTTTCCGAGATAATATTTTAATTTTTTTTATGAAATTATGAAAACTTATAGTTTTTTACGAAAAATAGGTAGTCTTGATTTGAATCGCTCAGATGCACCATTTTCTAGAAAAATGCATTTATAAATGGGGTAGTTAAATTTTTTCTGACCTATACTTTTTATGGTTTTATTCAAGGCGTTTGGTAATATTAAACATTTCTGTGAAATCAGAATTTCAATTGAGTTTACCGTTTTCGAGATATTTACAAAAAATATAAATTTTTATGACGTCACAAACCCCGCCATGTGACCAACATTCTAAGATTTCTATTGGTTGAAAATTACCCTGTTGTCAAGTTGTCTTGTTAATGATTTCATTCGGTTATGTCAGAAAATACCCGAAGAGGTTATGTACAAATACTGTCACTGTCAGTCATATTCTTTTTCTATGCTGTCAGTTGAGTGAAAGAAGAAGAGGAGGTTAAAGAAAATTCTGAAATTAAAAGTTTTATTGATAGGTTTACACATTGAAACACCGTGTGAAAACTAATAAAATGTAATAAATAGGTACCTAATAACTGTCTAAAGCCGAGTTTAATATATTTTATAGAAAAAAGTGGCAAAATAAAGCTGAAAATGAATGAAATAAATTTACAAAAAATAATAATATATCTAAAAGAATATAAAGAACTAGGCATTATACTAATGAAATGCATTTACGACAAAATATGATTATAATTATAGGTACTTACTTTATTTGTTTAAAAGCTCCAATGTTCAATGTAACCAACCATTCCACAAGATTCCTCTGCTTTGGAGTCCGTTATTAATAAATCACTTATCTAATATCAATTACAAATAACATAGCAATAACAATGATTTTCAATAATCTAAATTTAAAAAAAACAACCCGAAAAAAAGAAACGTCAAAAAATCAATTCTTCTTCTTCTTCTCAACTTAAATATTATAACGTGGCGCCATCTATCGCAAGAATCTTAAACTAAACACACTGGCAACTATAGAAAAAGCTGGCAACGTTGTCAATAGCCTAGTGACGTAATTAGGAGATTTTGTTTTGTAAATATCTCGAAAACGGTAAACTCAATTGAAATTCCGATTTCACAGAAATGTTTAAAATTACAAAACGCCTTGAATAAAACCATATAAAGTATAGGTCAGAAAAAATTTAACTACCCCATTACTCTGCATAGCATACACATCTCATATTTTCGTTAAAATTTTGTGTTAAAATTTGGAAAATCGCTCCATAATAAAAAATAACAAAAATCGAGCCAAAAAATATTAACTAAACTATAAAAATAAATGTAAAGTCAGCAAATAACCCAAACGTCACTTTTGTCCCAAAGCTTTTTAATGAAAATATCAGAAATTATGCTAAGCATAGTAATTTAAATTGCAATTTTCTCGAAAATGGTGCATCTGAGCGATTCAAAGCAAGAGTACTTATTTTTCGTGAAAAACTATACATTTTCATAATTTTATAACAAAACATTAAAATACTCACTCTGCAAAAAGTTGGGGCTGTTTTTGTAAATTTGCCCCCTCAAATGTTACGCCTATGATTAAATTTTAACAGTTTTGATTATAGAACCCTCTAGGAATAGTTTTAAAAAAATGATGCTCTTAAGCTCCTATTTAGGGGGGCGTAGCTCCGTTAGGGGGCATTTTTTGATATGTGTTTATTAAACAAAAAAAGTGTTATTTTTCTATAAAGAATGCACTGTTTAAGTTTGGCCCCCTAATTTCGGGACACCCTGTATATACTTTTTTGCATGTTTTTCTATTATTAAATTTTAAATATTCTTATTTTAAACAAACTTTTTATATATTGATAAGTGTCTAATAACTATGTAATTTTAAAATGTACTTTATTTTGAAAATTTAATATAAAATCGTCGACCTTACATTTGACAGATACGAACCGTCACGAAAATAACCTCAATCTTTAAACCGACATTTCCATCGCAAAATCGAGTCGCTCGGTTATCGAAATACGTCAAAAAGACTGTCAAAATTGTTGTCATTGTTTACGTTAATTTTCTGCGGTTTAATGTTGCGATGCGGCCATCAAAATTAAAGTAGAAGTAGCATGAGGTCGGCGTGCGACAAACTCAGGCGCAGGGTGAAAAGGAAGAGCAAGCGGCGCAGGCGCAGCCGGCAGCGCAGGCGCACGCAGCACTTCGCGTGCGTGCGCACGCGCAAGGACAGCCGCAAGATATACCGGAAGCGGATGGCGGGAAACCTGTCGCACGGGATGTGCAGCAAGGGTAAATCGATGGCGAGGCCGTTTCTGCGCTTTCTCGAGGAGATCAAGGCCATCAACCCTAATTGGAGTAAAGATAAATGCGTCATGTGCGGGGCGAAAGTAATGAAATTCATGGCGGCCAGGCACTTTGCGCTAAAAAGAAAGTAAAAGTCTATTGTATCGTGGTTTGGTTTTGTAAAAATTAAACGATGTAAAAGTTTCGTCCAAGTTTTAGTGTTTATTTCAGGAAGGGTTTATGCAAATTTGTCCTGTCTTTTTTTATATATATTTTGAAAATTTGGTTATTTAAGGCTTTTCAGGTTATGTATCTGTCAAAGTATAGTCAATGAAAGAAATAATATTTATAGTGTTACCGCTTACGTTTAAGCGTTAAAAGTTAATAAATCTTTATAATATCACAATAACAATGGTTGGTTTAAGAATTTAGGAATATAAATACTGCATTTAATGAAATTCCAAAGTTTAAGGTGCAATATAGGTAAGTGATATTTTTGTGCCTTGGGTCTACATTTCTCCATAAAATAGTTTTAACTAAACAGCATTTATTAAAATAAATCTAACTTCTCTATTATGAAATAAGAATATCTGTATCAAAGGTAGGTTAATGTATTAGAACAAAAATATCATCTAATTTTGTATTTTAAGGTTAGAAAAATCTGTGTGTTTATATGGTCATAAATAAATATAGGTACTAAATAATTGTTGAATATAGTTCAAATTAAATTGAAGCTTTTATACTTCTAACGACAAAACTTGTGCATACCTCTCGGCATACGTACTTTAAGTTAGAGTATAAGAAAACAAACAATTTTTAGAGAAACTTGCAATGTGAAAATATTTAATACTCCCATGACATGTGATTTATTAAAAATTTTAAAGTTATAATGATTTTTTGATATAGATCAAATTCAGTCGAAGCTTTTTAACTATTTGTATTGACAAAACTTTATGTAGGTACACTTTAAGCTGGATAAGAAAAATTACCACATTTTTAAATACCATATTATACTGTCTTTTAAATAATCCAAAATACTTATTTATTTGGGTCAAAATAAATTTTTCTATCCTTAAAATTACAAAATTAGATAATATTTTTGTTATAATATATTAACCTACCTTTAATACAGATATTCTTATTCCATAATAGAGAAGCTAGATTTTTTAAATAAATGCTGTTTAGTTATTATTTTATGAAGAAAACCAGATATTTGGATCAAATGCACAAAAATATTACTTATTTGGCACCATACACTTTACAATTTCATTAAATTCAGTATTTATATTCTTAAATTCTTAAACCATCCATTGTTATTGTAATGTTATAAAGATTTATACATTTTTAACGCCTAAACATAATATTATTTCTTTCGTTGACTTTACTTTGACAGATCCATACCTGAAAAGCCTTAAATGCCAAATTTTCAAAAGACTGCGTTCCGTACGTGGTCACGTGGTGGGACTTTGAGGTGTGGAGCATAGTACTTACCGAATTGGATCCTTTGGCAAAACATGAAAATGCAACGATTTAGTTTTTTCCTTGCAACGTAAAACACAAATAACGTGCGCGATTTAGTTGTGCAATTGAACAAAATTTGTCGAGTAAGACCTATTTATTTAAAAATGATGTACAGTTCGTATGCTTTAAATGTATTTTTGACAGTTCATAATTTAGCGTATATGACTGAACTGACGTAAATTGTCAATTATGGCAGATAAGTTATCTAAGATAACAGATGTCAGCTTATTTTGTTTCGTATTTTCGTTTCATATGGCCCATCTTTGACATGTAGTGAAAAACGTTCAAGATGAATTTAAAACATGTGGGCTGATCGAACATCCCGAAAAAAAAATAGAATATTTTCACATTTTGAAATCAGCCAAAAACAAATTTTTACTTTAATAACCTTTACAGGCAAGTAATTAAAAAATGGCACATCCTGCGAAAAAATTACAATAAATAATTTCTCGGTAATTAATGATCGTGTAACCTTCAAAACTAAAGTTTTTTTTATTATCCTAGCCTATATAGTATATACCACCTACACGCCATAAGTTGTCAAATTTCTCTATTGGTAAACCCTTTACACGCATCTGAAACAGCGATTATTTTACTGTTGTTTTCAGATTTTGGATCTATGCATGGGCAACCACGACTTGTTTATGCGCAGGCGCAAACCGGACTCGATGGAGTTGCAGCAGATGAAGGCTGCGGCGAAAGAGGAGAAACAGAGGAGGCAGGTGCAGCGCAACCGGTTGGCCAGGGAGAAACAGTTGAGGGAGGAGGCGGAGCGAGACAGAGCCAACATGGAGCAGAGGCTGATACAGTACCAAGAAGAGATCCGATTGGCCAACGAGGCGCTGGTAAGTTGATTAAAAATCGAGGGGTTTTTTTGTTATTTTTTTTCTTCGTTTTTTTAGCGGCGTTCCGAAGAGAGTGCAGACTTGTTGGCCGAAAAAAGCAGAGTTGCCGAAGAAGAGGCGATTTTGTTGAGTCAAAAGGCTTCGGAAGCTGAGCAAGAAATAAAAAGGCTAAGGCTTACTGCTATGAGGAAGGATGAGGAAAAAGTAAGTAATTTTTTAAAAACATTTTGATTTCATTTTCTTGTAAAAATATATTGCCTTGTAACTTCTTAAGGTTGTCTCCTGGAGCATTATTTTATTTAAGCTTTTCATAAAATTTTTATCTGAAAATTTTAAAAATTCAGGTGGGAACTGGTTTTTGGAGATCCATTAGAAAAATCATTCTCTTAGTGATAATTATCAGAAATCAAAAAAACAAATAATTTTTCTTAGTAGTTGAGTATAGCTTGTGATTGAACAAAGGATTTAAACTAATTTTGGCAGAGTTTGCAAAAAACTACAATTTTCGGCAAAATTAACACCACGGTCAAGCACCTTGTAGTTATTTTTGTTGTACAGGATTGGCAATGTGGGTTGGTTGCTACTGAAAATCTTATCTTATCTTATTTTATCATGTTTCATGCATTTTTACAAATTCTAGCAAATTTGTGCGTTTTCGAAATTATTTTTTTAAACATTTCTATAATAATGAATAATTTTTTATTGTCAGCGTTTGTATGCTTACTTACAAAAACATTTTGAATGTGCCGCCGCTTTAAAAAATTATAAAATTTATGAAGGTATCATATTTTTAAAAATATTTTCGTCAGTTATTTTCAAATTTTAACATTTTATACATTTTCAATATTCGATTCCATATTTACTGTGATTCGAACCAATCGGGTTTTAAATTCGGAGAAGGCGACTATAATAACTTTTAAAATTGGTAAAAAGTGAGGTTAACCATTTGACAGGTGTCAGTTTTTATTTATTTATTTTTGAAAATCATTTAATGATCTACTTATTGGAGTATTACACTCGAGATTATGTCGCCTGACGACTCGAGACGATATAGCCTCATCCTAGTGAATAATAATAAAAATAATAATAATATACTATATACTAAAGAAGTATCGCTAGTAGCACCACCACTCGGCTTTTATCATCGTAACAAAAGTACAACTTTTGATAATCAGCTGCCAAACGCTTATGTTACAAACGAGTGTTTTTGAGAATAAAGCCGGAAAATGTTAAAAAATATCGGAAAAAAACCGTGGCTCGATTTGTTGTGTTGTTGGGTGTATTTCGAGAGGAAATCCTGGGTTGAGTTTTTACCGGTTTTCCAATAAACAGTGTTAATACGAATGAAGAAATAATTTGCATACAGTCTCTGTAAATATAAATTGTACCTATTAGATACAATAAATACACATTTTAGTAGTGATTAACGTGAAAAGTCTAAACATTTCAATTCAGTACAAATCGTCAAATAAATAAGGCGTCTAAATTTAAACAGCATTTAGCATTATTAAAAGGGTTGATTAAGAATTCTTTAAAGTCTCCACTCAACGGTAATATACCATTATATTATGTATTATATATAATATTATGTTGCCATGAATTCGTAGGTATATTTTGTTGTTTAAAATGCAGTTGTCGGCGTTTTTTAGAGAACTCAAATAAAGAAATGGTTGATTTTAAGATTATGTTTGTGCAAAAATTATTTTTTACTAATTTCTTAAAAATGTCCAAACTTAAATATAAATTATATTAGGTAAAGTTATCATTAGTTAATTTTGCACCAACAAATGTACTTACCGAATTGGATCGTTTGGCAAAACATGAAAATGCAACGATTTAGTTCTTGAATTTTATTTACAATCAAAAACACAATAATTCACCATGGTCCCTTAGATAAAATACACACACTAACGTAACTATATAAGCATTTAAGCGTCGAGTTTCTTAATCAATGATATAAGGAATAATCAATCGAAATCGAGTACTAAAAAAGTTTTTTAATTTTTTCCTTGCAACGTAAAACACAAATAACGTGCGCGATTTAGCTGTGCAATTGAACAAAATTGGTCGAGTAAGACTTCTGCCTTCCTCTGTTTTGTGAAAAAACTACCTATTTATTTAAAAATGATGTACAGTTCGAATGCTTTAAATGTATTTTTGACAATTCTTAAATTCAGGCAATGCTTGCGATAACCCGATACTTCTTTAGCGTATTGAGGTAAAAAAGAAGTATTCATTGAAAAGTCCAAGGCAGCGTCTTAAGGGGTCTTACCGACAAAATAACATTACTTATCTCTATTTTTTTTTATCCCTTAGGTCACTTTGGAGCGCAAAACCAGAGAAGCCGAAATGCTGACCGCCCGTCTGGTGGAAGAATCCGAACGCAGAGCGGCCGAGGCGAACAGGTTGAAGGACGAACTTTTGAAGGCGCGCGCCGCCGAAAAACAGGCCAAAGAAAAACTGCTCGACTTTTTGAGTCGCAGCACCTACCACGGCTCGAGCGCACCCAGCCCCATATCGGTAAGAACATTAGTCCTTTCCGTTTTGTTAATTAGGTACTATGCTCCACACCTCAAAGTCCCACCACGTGACCACGTACGGAACACGGTCTTTCGAAAATTTGGCATTTAAGGCTTTTCAGGTTATGTATCTGTCAAAGTATAGTCAACGAAAGAAATAATGTTATGTTTAGGCGTTAAAAATGTATAAATCTTTATACCATTACAATAACAATGGATGGTTTAAGAATTTAAGAATATAAATACTGCATTTAATGAAATTCTAAAGTGTATGGTGCCAAATAAGTAATATTTTTCACGGTGCTGTTCTGATAGGTGATTTTTGGACTTTCTGTGAAACCTAATTTTTTTTTATATTCTTGTTAATTAGGTCATAACTAAAATTTTAAGAGCAAAATAAAAAAAGTTTGACGGTTTGAATTGTTTTAATTGGCTGTTTATTAAAAATATTATGCACTCTTTAAATTATCCAATTAAAACTAGCGATTTAATTTAAATATTTAATATTTGCATAACTAAAAAAAAGGTTTTTACAATTTTTTTTATATATTTTACTGTTTTGTTGCAATAAACGTTCAAACTTTTAATATAACCTTTGACGTATACATTTATGTTCCCTTAATTAATATATCCTTAAAAGTTGCCATGAAACTTAGATCTATTAAAAATTTATTTGACGTTTGAATTGTCATTTTCAGTATACGTATTCTATAATTTTTGTTTAGTTTTTTAAAGTGTTTTTTATAAACAAAAATGAAAAATTACGAAAGTTACGAAGAAATTCATGAAATTTAACTAAGGACCGGTTTATTCATCTTTAGTAAAGTTTATCGGGCCGATAACTTTCATGTCTTGGCAATATCTAGTATCCAAAGAAATTATTCGTCAAATAATGAATAAATCGGCCCTAAATAAAATGTGGCACCCTTAGAATTATTGTTTAATAAATGTATACTATACATTTAACCTTAAATTAAAACTTTAAACGTGTATTACAACAAAACAGTAAAAGATATAAAAAATTTATAGACCTTTTTTTGGAAATTAACTAATCTTTAATCTGATTTAAAAAGTTATGATAATATTTAAATAAAATCGCAAGTTTTAATTGGAGAATTGAAAGTGTGCATACATATTTTTAATAAACATCCAATTAAAACAAAATTAACCGTCAAATTTTTTTTATTTTGCTCTTAAAATTTTAGTTATGACCTAATTAACAAGAATATAAAAAAATTAGGTTTCACAGAAAGTCCAAAAATCACCTCTCAGAACAGCACCGTGTAGTGTTATTTATCAACCATTTTTTTATATTACTTCAGAGTCATTCAACTTTATATTCGGCCCCTTTGAGTCCCACCCTAGCCCCGGAATTATCCTTGTTAGATATGGAGGTGCATAGAAGTACCTCACCGGAACTTAACATGAACATGCCCATGAACATGAATATGAACATGAACATGAATATTGAACATGAACATGACTTCGTACGATTTAATCACGCATGGCGACGCAGATCAACTTTCACTGGAAATAGAGAAAGAAAGGTAAGTTTTGAAGTAGTATAAATTTTTTTTACAGCGTCTCTACCGAAATCGATGAGACCCGAATTTTTTATTTTTGCTTAAATTTGTTTTGTTCGCCCGTAGAAAATTGTTGAAAAATGGAGTGACATTTTTTCTTGAAAATGCGATAACCTGGGCAAAAATGTTTCGATCGTTACATTTTTTTTTAAGATTGTAGGTAAATGTTTACTACATACAAAAAATATATAAAAAATTAAATGAATTCACTGAATTTTTTTTAAATTGTTTTTTCTAAAAAAGACAAAATATTGAAGTCAAAATTTTGACATTGCCACATTTTTTTTTTCATAACTTTATTTACGTTTACTTAAAAATAAGAATATTTGAATTTTTTAATATTAGTTTTATAAAAACATGCAAAAAGGTATAGTAATTGGACATTTTATATTGTAATTGTAATTTTTTTTATAAACCCTAACAACTTAACATCAAATAACATAAATTGTAAAATATTTTTTAAAGATAAATTGCTGTTTTAGGTAATTTTTTTTCTTTCATTTTTGAAAATATCATATAATTCATATATTTCTTTCTCGGATTTCCTCATCCCTTTTCTGGATTCTGAATTTAATAACTACCAATTCCTTGGTCTGACTTCTGAAATAGTTTGTTGCAAATATCATTAAGTGTGGTATCTCTAGTTTGTGAAGCATTTATAATGTTTAGGCCGGAACAGGATAATATTTTTTCGGGTGGTATGTTAAAAGTATTTTCCGAATTTATTAATTTTGTTGCCATTAGTTTTTTATGTTCTCTATCAGGCACTGTATTTAAATCACTGTTATTCTGCAAGATGTCCTGTGAAGAAGAAATCACTATATTACTTACTCTCTAAAAATGAATTAGTCAAAAATGTCATAGCGAAAAAGCAGCCACTAATAATTCTCGTCAACAGCAATTTGTATCCAGGACATTTAGCAGTTAATTCGAATGAAATATTATTCGCTGAATCCGAATGTCGTCAAAAGTTATAAAAGTAGAACAGTTTTTGAAATATAATCAATTTTACATATAATATGGAATTGATTATATCTCAAAAACTGCTTAACTTTTATAGTTTTTGACGGTCTTTTTGGATTCAGGGAACAATTTTACATAAGAATTGGCTGGATACAAATAGAGTATGATATTGGACTTGGGTCCAATAATAAAAAATTATATTTTTTACCAACCAGTAATTGGACACTGGACCATTTTACTGTTTGTTTTCGGAATTAAAATTAAAACGCATTAAAGTGACAATGTTTAAACCATGAGGAACACATTTATACCACACACTGATCTGTACACTTTTTAGAATATTTTTTATTGTAATTTAAACACAGCCTTGCTCTTAACAAAAAAAACAAAAATCTTACCACCAAAGTAACGTGCGAACTTTTTTGTCCTATATTGGACCCAAAATAAAGTAGTTCTATATTATTACCGACTGAGATATTTATAATTGTATACAATGATTTGACTTTAAGGTAACTATTTATAGAACTCTTGTTTTTACTGTATTAATGTTAATTGTCCAATAACTATCTACTTTACCCTATAGTAAATTACCTACATTTACCTACAATTAAAAAAAATTGTAACGATCGAAACGTTTTTGGACAAGTTATCGCATTTTCAAGAAAAAATGTGACTCGTAAAAAGAGGAAAAATCGATGTTTCTGTCCATTTTTCAAAAATTTCCTACGGACGAACAAAACAAATTTAAGCAAAAAGAAAAAATAAGGGTCTCATCGATTTCGGTAGAGAAACTGTAAAAAAAATTCGTTAGAAAAGTGCCAAACCCCGCCCACTGTGCATGCCCTTGTATCTGGCTGCATGCCGCGCTGTTGCCATATGCTAGTATTGTTTCCTAAAAGGGTTGTTTTTCTTATTTTTTAATATTAAAAAGTAAGAAAATTAACTAAATCAAATTATTTTTGACATATTATTAATTTTTTTGTTATTTTAAAGTTTCAAACAAATAAAATTGAACTATTTATTAAATAATTATAATCGTTCTCTTCTGATTTAAAACAACCTGGCAACTATGGTTCGTAATTACGAATGGCTTGGCTTAAACCACGCCCAATTAAAGTTTGTTTCTTATTCTCTGATCAGAATATAATTTGTCATCCTTGTCTCCAGCCTTACTTACTTGATTCTATACAGTCTGTATATATAATAGGGTGATTCATTTCCGCAAAGTTTTTTGTTTTCTTCGGTGATCAAGCAAAATATTAATCTGCATATAGAAAAAAAAAATCTCAACAAGTTTGAGCTCTTAATATAAATTTTAAGTACTTACTATTTAAATTTAAAGTTTAACCGTTTAAAAATGCATGTAAAAAATATATATTTTTTTTTTCAAATTTCTAATGCTTACCCATCTTTGACAATATTGCAAATCGGTTTAATACACCTTATGGGGAATTTCACGCTCTTTAAAATTGCTTTTGAGTTTTTTTTTGTAACTCGCATTGGTTCACCAGTAGGAGTCGTCAAAGGACAGTTTTTGAAAAAAGCAGGGAGAAAAAAGGGCTGAATCATAAAAAAAGTTATCCAACCAATATTTAATGAATTTACAGCCATTTTTATAACTGAAAAACGTAAGAAATTGATAATTACCAACTCATAATGTTATTTAGATTGATTTTTTCTATTTATTATCATTATATTTCCCTACACTAAGAAGTTTTTTTAAAATTATTGATTTCTCACTTATAATGAATATGAAAATAACAGATAAATTCATAAAAAAACAATAAGAAAATTGTAACGTGGATTTTGCTATTTTTCAACATTTCTGTCATATAGCAAAAAAATATAAATGAAGATTATTTAATTTTTTGAAGCGAAATTTTAAATATGTTACATAATCTTCTGTATATTCCGATTAAAGTTTTGTTGTTTTTTTTTTATGAATTTATGTGTTGTTTTCATATTCATTATGAGTGAGAAATCATAATAATTTTAAAAAAGTTCTTAGTGTAGGGAAATATAATGATAATAAATAGAAAAAATCAATCTAAATAACATTATGGGTTGGTATTTATCAATTTCTTACGTTTTCAGTTATAAAAATGGCAGTAAATTCATTAAATATTGGTTGGATAACTTTTTTTTTATGAATCAGCCCTTTTTTCTCACTACTTTTGGCGATTTGCTCGAAAAAATAAAAATAAACGATTTTTTTCAAAAACTGTCCTTTGACGACTCCTACTGGTGAACCAATGCGAGTTACAAAAAAAACTCAAAAGCAATTTTAAAGAGCGTGAAATTCCCCATAAGGTGTATTAAACCGATTTGCAATATTGTCAAAGGTGGGTAAGCATTAGAAATTTGAAAAAAATATATATTTTTTACATGCATTTTAAACGGTAAAACAAATTTAAACAAAAACTTTGCGGAAATGAATCACCCTATATATATATTATATAACATTTGTGTATGTTGGTAATAATTTTTTAGGGTTGAATATTTGGAAAAGTCCAAGCACTTACAGCACCAGTTGAGGGAACTTCGATCGGAAATCGAAGTTCTAAAAGTGGGGGACAAACAGACAGATTTCGATCAGTTGCACGAGGAACAAGTTAAACTGGGAGAGAATAAGTATTCGACGCTAAAAAAAAGTAAATCTGGTTCTACCAAATCACGTGTTGCCTTTTTTGAGGAGTTATGATTTTAAAGAATTATTTAGTATATTATGTGAGGGATATTCCTGCAAAATGCAGATTATTGTTATTATTGACAATAACTGGATTTTGCAAGTCTGCTTCTCGTATACACAGTTATAATATGAGACGTTTATACTCATGACAAGAATGTTATTATTATTAATAAAAACTATTTTTAATTAAGTCAACGAGTTTTTTATTGGGACATTTTATATCTTGATAACTACCCTGATAGCACACTTTATTCTAAGAATGTTTTTTAAACCTTCCAGTGGGAATATTCTTAGGATCATGCTATATTTCTTCTAAAGAACATGCTTAAAAGACATATAGCATGATCCTAAGAATATTCTTACTGGCCTATAGGCAGGTTCTTAGAAGGTGCAAAGTTTTAGTGGTAAAAATTAGTCTACTCTGAACATATGCTAAGAATGCTAAGAAAGTAATTGCTATAGAAAGTTCATTTAGGAATATTCCTGTTAAGCATATTTAGTTCAGTTACCTATATAATAGTAAAATATACCATAAACCACGTATACTTAAGTACATAATTAGTAATTAGTATTAAATACTAAGTAAAAAACACAATCCAAAATATTTTTTTATAGTTATTTGTCAAATTAAAACAATATTCGACAATCCCAGATCCTGGGACTTTTTAAAATTTATTAAAATTTTCAACCATTTCTTTAAATTTTGAAATTTTCGAATTTGTATTAGGATAGCAGAAACTCGAGGAGGTATACTCCTGATACAATGCGATGTTGTCAGTTTTCTGAAAAATCCAAGATCCTGGTACTTTTTTAAAAATTTGAACCATTTCTTAAAATTTTGAAATTTTCCATTTTGTATTGGGATAGCAGAAACGCGAGGAGGTATACTCCTGATACATTGCGATATTGCCAGATTTCCGAAAAATCCCAGATTCTGGGTACTTTTTAAAAATTTCTTAAAAATTTAAACCATTTCTTTAAATTTTGAAATTTTTGAATTTATATTAGGATAGCAGAAACGCGAGGAGGTATACTCCTGATACAATGCGATGTTGTCAGTTTTCTAAAAAATCCAAGATCCTGGTACTTTTTTAAAATTTCTTAAAAATTTAAACCATTTCTTAAAATTTTGAAATTTTCGATTTTGTATTGGGATAGCAGAAACGCTACAATGCGATATTGCCAAATTTCCGAAAAATCCCTGATTCTGGGTACTTTTTAAAAATTTCTTAAAAATTTAAAACCGTTTCTTAAGATTTTGAAATTTTCGAATTTGTATTAGGATAGCAGAAACGCGAGGAGGTATGCTTCTGATACAATGCGATGTTGTCAGTTTTCTAAAAAATCCAAGATCCTGGTACTTTTTTAAAATTTCTTAAAAATTTGAACCATTTCTTAAAATTTTGAAATTTTCGATTTTGTATTGGGATAGCAGAAACGCGAGGAGGTATACTCCTGATACAATGCGATATTGCCAAATTTCCGAAAAATCCATGATTCTGGGTACTTTTTAAAAATTTCTTAAAAATTTAAAACCGTTTCTTAAGATTTTGAAATTTTCGAATTTGTATTAGGATAGCAGAAACGCGAGGAGGTATGCTCCTAAAACAATGCGATGTTGTCAGTTTTCTGAAAAATCCAAGATCCTGGTACTTTTTTAAAAATTTGAACCATTTCTTAAAATTTTGAAATTTTCCATTTTGTATTGGGATAGCAGAAACGCGAGGAGGTATACTCCTGATACAATGCGATGTTGTCAGTTTTCTGAAAAATCCAAGATCCTGGTACTTTTTTAAAAATTTGAACCGTTTCTTAAAATTTTGAAATTTTCGATTTTGGATTGGGATAGCAGAAACGCGAGGAGGTATACTCCTGATACAATGCGATGTTGTCAGTTTTCTGAAAAATCCAAGATCCTGGTACTTTTTTAAAATTTCTTAAAATGTTCTTAGGATGCTTTTTAAAAGTCCCTAAGTACATTCTTAGCAATAAGGGAATGTTCTAAGAAGATTCTTAAAATCAAATTATTAAGGATTATATTCCGAGAAGTAATTGTTTTTCCTCTTTGGAACTTCATCTGTGGACATACTGTATATAAACTTTTTAAGAAATTTAAATTTTTCGACCTGAAAAAACCCAAAACCAAATTATGTGCAAAGTTAACTTTCACACCCTGTATCTTGGTTATTATCTTTATAAATCTTTGTAGCTGGGGGTTAAGAAATAATGCCATATTTATTAGGAATTCCTGTTTATTTAATCACATAAATATACAAATTAAACTAGGTTTTTATTAATGGAGACTTAAATAAATAATACATTTATAAAATGTATTTTTACTAAATTAATTTAAAAAATACAAATTGGATTTTTGGAATATTAAAACCATGAACCAGAACAAACAATTAAAAAAATAATAAATGTTCTCATTCTTACATGCAAAATTTCAAACCATAAAAGATGTAATGCCAATTCTTATTTTAAATGACGATTTAACTATAATAATTCGACATTTCTTTATAGAATTCATATCCAAAAATCCTGGAAATGCCCCTGATTAAAAAAATCGTTTGGGCACAAGATTTTACTTTTATAAAACTCTTGGGCCAGCAAATCGTTAGATGCCTAAATATTCGCAAAATATCTTAAAGAAGTCTGCCTTTGCACTCCAAAGAGGCGCAATGACAGTACAGGACTCTGCCCGGTACGCTGCCGATGTCGTAGTTGTAATTCCAAGTTAATTCGGTGCCGGCCCTGATAAATTGGGAGCTGAAAAACGCCACCCACGGAAACCTCGGATCCTGCGTGTCAACGAACACGTTCTGCACGAAAACGTTGGGCGAGCAAGAATGCTAAAATAAGGGCAATGATTACAGGGTAGGGTCTTGGATTTTAAAAATAATTTAATTATCGTTAAAATACACATTTTTATATTTCATGACCATTTTTTTACCAAAAGATTATTTTCCTAAAATTATTAAGAACATACCCAGTAAATATTTTTAATATTTTGAAGAGCTATGTATTTAAAAGTAATAATGTAAATTGCATTAAAATTATAAAAGATTATTGGCATAGAAATATGTTTTTAAGAAAATTAAATGCTCAAAAAAGGTTAAACTGAAATTTTCCGTCAGATGAACCGTTTCCTTAAAATCATGCCTTAAAAATTGGTATAGTTTTACATTTTGATCTTTTAATTTTGGAATTTTGTAATTCATTTAAAAATCAGTACCCAGAAAAAAACCGATGAATATTCTTATGGGAAATCAAATGCTTTACAAAAAAAGCCTCTTAACATTTTTGGCTAAATTCACTCAATCAAAAGTTATTCAAGGTTAAAGTTGAAGTCAAAACAAAATTCTTGTTTTTTCCCCTGTAGATTTATTTTTGTATGGATGATAATTTGATTTTTTTCTCTATAAATGTGTATTATATAACTAATTAACAGTTTCCAATAAAAAAACAACATGATTGTTATTATTTAAACGATTAAATAGGTAACAGTAAAAATAATATTTTCTAAAGAAAATAGCTTCTTAAAGCGAAAAAATTGTAATGTGTTATTTTTTTTTAATTTTCAGTAATTTTATCAATAACATAAAGATTATCATCCATAAAAGAATTCAAGTTTTTAAGTGACCCAAAAAAATCTAGAGCGGAAAAAACGTTTTGACTTCAAATTTGATTTCCCATAAGAATATCTATCGGTTTTTTTCCGGGTACTGATTTTTACATGAATTACATAATTCCAAAGTTAAAAGATCAAATTGTAAAACTATACCAATTTTTAAGGCATGATTGTAAGAAAACGGTTAATCTGACGGAAAATTCCAATCAAACCTTTTTTGTAGAGCATTCAATTTTCTTCAAAACATATTCTTAAGTCAATTTTGTTAAACTCAATGGTTTTGGAGTTCTGAGACAAAAACTTGCTGAGGAAAAAAAATTTAAAATTGCTATGATAGAACTCTTAATATTAATATTATGTACAGTTGTATTCAATAAAAAAGCGTACAAGAATTAGAATGAGAGAAAACTGTCAAAATAATATTATTGCTTAAAACCGGCTTATCACTGACATAAGTCATTAAAATAATTACTATAGGTTATAAAGAGCATTGACGTCGTAGGTTAATTAAATAATATTACAAAAATTATTAATTTTTAATATAGATTTTTTATTTCTATTGTACCACGGTACGAATTGACCATTCTTCTTCGATTCTTGATACTATTTGAGCCTTTTCAACTGACGAGGCATTTTTATTTTCTACTGTCAGTTATAGTGACTTAAGTCAGTGGAAAGCCGGTTTTACGCAATAATGTTGACAGTTTTCTCTCATTCTAATTCTTGTACGCTTTTTTAATGAATACAACTGTATGGTGGTCAAAACTTAAATATAGGATGAACAAAAATGCCAACCAAAACTGATAGCATATTTTGATTATAGACCCTTTTGGTAACACTAACATGTATTTATCAAAATCCCAGCTGATCCTATTTTAAAGTTTTGCAAACTATTTTGGTTTTTTTATTTCTATATATTATTTTGCAATTATTGTACTAAAACTACCTGTACAATTTTAATAAAATTAAGCAAAATAATAAACTTTGTATCATTTAAATTACTTTACTCTCCAGTATTAATTTATTGAGTCACCCATTATTTTTTACCACTCAAAACAAAACAACAAAAAAACGAAGATTTATATCTTAAATATTTTTTATAACAAAAATTACTGTTTGTCTATGAAATAATTACGACTGCAAATTTTGTAAAACAATAATTAAGGTGGTTATGAAAAAAATTGCTATACGTTATAACGCAAGTGACATTTTGCTTTAGTTGTTTATTTAATGTATACTTTATAAAGTTAAAAATAGTATTTTAAAATGAAAATTAAACCGAAATTCAAGTTAAGCCATGAAGAAAATCGAAAGAAAGTATGTGCTGGCTGTGGCGACAAAATTGTTTATGGTAATCGAAAAATTCAGAGTTTAGGGTTTCTGAGAAAAAGTTAAAAATTACTGCAGACTTTTTCAAATGAACACTGTAACTTAAGTGATTCAAAATTACCTACTTCAATATGGTAAAAACGGTATTTTTCCATAGCTACAATTACCAAATTTTCAAAATTTAGAGATTGCTAGAGAATTTCGCGGCAGCCAAGAATGTATGTGCTTTATCTGCAAATTGGCAAGATATAAAGGGCATAAAAAATTATTAAGGGAAGAGGACGGACGAACGAACTAAAGTTTTGATGTGCTCTTCCTTTCTAGGGGATATCGCTAGATGTAAGAAGCATGTTTGTACAGAGACTGAAGAATTTAAAAATACTGTTTCCATGTTAAAAACAATTCCATGTAAAACCCAAGAAAAAGTTTTGCTGAAAATTTAAGGCAAGCAGTAGTCGATTTTGCTTCAAAGAATCTTTAGTTATTTATTAGTTTTGTATTAGATACTTTAAAACAATAAATTAGATATTGCAAACTGTATTTTACATTATTTTGTATTTATAATGTAATTTATCCATATTTCAGTCATGTATCTGCCAAATTTTTAAAAACATTTGATAATGGTACTAGAGTATTTTATCGAAATGGCATAAACAATTTTAAAATACTAAGAAATATGCAAAACTTTAATAAAGGATCAGCTGGGATTTTGATAAATACATTTTTGTGTTACCAAAAGAGTCTATAATCAGATTATGCTATCAGTTTTGGTTCGCATTTTTGTCCGTCCTATACTTTAGTCCATATGGACTCAAACTTTCACAATAATTGTTTTTTGTCACCCCAAACCATATTTTCGATATACTTAAAAAAAAATTGTTGATTATTTTGGCCCATTCTAATGTACTGCCAAACCTCCTTAAAACAAATGGACCTACATGTTTTTGGAATGCAATGTTTTATCATAATCAAGAAAAAAAGCTGGTGTATTTTGTTGAAATAGTGTTGGAAAAACTTACGTTCAGGAATCTTCCGATATTTCCGGCATTTTTGGCATCCATGATGTAGACTTCTTCGCTCGGACCGAAAAGATCTCGAACGGAGTTGTATTTGGATTTTTCGTCCAAATCGGTCCCGGATTTCGGGTTGAAACTGAGCACTTCCCTTCCCTCTGAAAAAAAAATATTATCATATATTATCATCATCATTATCATATATTATATCACGAGAACTATGAATTTAATCGGTTAAACTAGGCTCAGTAGTTTTTTGTTTGGTTTTTCTTGGAAAATGTTGAATGCAAAATAATTTAATAAAATCACGAGACCCCGTAGCGGTCGAGGGGTTTTATTTTTAATTATTTTGCATGAAACTATTTTCCAAAAAGAAAAATCAAATAAAAAACTTACTGAGCATAGTTTGACAGATTAAATTTATAGGTTGAGTGATATACGTCTAGATTATTTCTCGAATTAAAGGAAACTACATATTTGACAATTCATAAAATATGACTTATGTGTCAAAATTTATAAATATTTTTTTAAAGAAAATTCCATTAATTTAAGGTATGTAATAAGTAATAATTGATATTTCGTAAACTGGATAACTTATTTTTTATTGTTTTTTAAAAAATGTTTGTTAAAACTTGTAAATAACACCATAAAATCGTAAACAAAAATCCAATATGGAGGCTAAAATTTAATTGGTGTTAAATAGTTCTAGTGATTTAATCGCTTATTTAAACGAAATTTATTCGAAAATTTAAGGCTTTTGATTGGTTCATATTATAATAAGGGAAATAATCATATATTATATCACGAGAACTATGAATTTAATCGGTTAAACTAGGCTCAGTAGTTTTTTGTTTGGTTTTTATTGGAAAATGTTGAATGCAAAATAGTTTAATAAAATCACGAGACCGCGTAGCGGTCGAGGGGTTTTATTTTTAATTATTTTGCATAAAACTATTTTCCAAAAAGTAAAATCAAATAAAAAACTTACTGAGCATAGTTTGACAGATTAAATTTATAGGTTGAGTGATATACGTCTAGATTATTTCTCGAATTAAAGGAAACTATTTGACAATTCATAAAATCTGACGTATCTGTCAAAATTTATAAATATTTTTTTTAAAGAAAATTCCATTAATTTAAGGTATGTAATAAGTAATAATTGATATTTCGTAAACTGGATAACTTATTTTTTATTGTTTTTTAAAAAATGTTTGTTAAAACTTGTAAATAACACCATAAAATCGTAAACAAAAATCCAATATGGAGGCTAAAATTTAATTGGTGTTAAATAGTTCTAGTGATTTAATCGCTTATTTAAACGAAATTTATTCGAAAATTTAAGGCTTTTGATTGGTTCATATTATAATAAGGGAAATAATCATATATTATATCACGAGAACTATGAATTTAATCGGTTAAACTAGGCTCAGTAGTTTTTTGTTTGGTTTTTATTGGAAAATGTTGAATGCAAAATAGTTTAATAAAATCACGAGACCGCGTAGCGGTCGAGGGGTTTTATTTTTAATTATTTTGCATAAAACTATTTTCCAAAAAGAAAAATCAAATAAAAAACTTACTGAGCATAGTTTGACAGATTAAATTGATAGGTTGAGTGATATACGTCTAGATTATTTCTCGAATTTAAGGAAACTATTTGACAATTCATAAAATCTGACGTATGTGTCAAAATTTATAAATATTTTATTTTAAGAAAATCCCATTAATTTAAGGTATGTAATAAGTAATAATTGATATTTCGTAAACTAGATAACTTATTTTTTATTGTTTTTTAAAAAATGTTTGTTAAAACTTGTAAATAACACCATAAAATCGTAAACAAAAATCCAATATGGAGGCTAAAATTTAATCGCTGTTAAATAGTTCTAGTGATTTAATCGCTTATTTAAACGAAATTTATTCGAAAATTCAAGGCTTTTGATTGGTTCATATTGTAATGAGGGAAATAATCATAGAGATTTTTAAACGTTCACTGATAATACGAATTATTAAAAATAAACTTACCGTCCTCGTCGTCACTAATAGTGACGGTATCGATTTCCACACTTAGGGTTTCCACCGATTTGCTAATGAATTCTTGTTTTACTATGTCGATTTTCTTCGACTCCTTTGAATCCTTCGAATCCTTTAAATCCTTTTCATCGTCATCGTTGTTCCTTCTGCGAAGTCTCGACCTAAATTGCAGTTTATAAAATAATTCGAATGGTGATTTCAAGCCCAAGTTAAATTGACGTTTTTAAAATAATTTCTTAATAATGAGTCATTTACAAGAAGTAAAAAGATTTCCGCAGCAAAATTTTGAAATGAAAAATTGTACGGGGTGGCCCATCGAAAACAGTCCAGTAAGGTTTGCATGTGAAAATAAAAAAAATCTTCTTTTCAGGAGACATATTTCAGGGTTGGTTGAATTCGTCCAAGTGGACATACGAGGTGTGTTCAGAAAATAACGGGAATTGTTAAATTTCGCGGCTTCGGAGGGTCCGGTTGTCATAAAATTTTATTTATTATGTTGGTATACATGCCCCCGAAGTATGATAAAAACTTTAGCTGTTTTCATTGTTTACTTTGTCTGTGGCAGCCGCTAAGGTTGGACGTGTTTTATGAGCTCGGCGAATTTTCGTTCGTTAAAAGAAATGGATCAAAGAATTTGTATCCAATTTTGCTTAAAAAATGAAATAAATTCTGTGAAATGTTAACAAAGGCCTATAGTGAGTCTGCTATAAGTAAAACAAGAGGTTACAAGTGGTATAAGAGTTTCCAAGATGGCCGTGAAGACGTTGAAGATGACGAACGCCCCGAACGCACAAGCACATTAACAACCGATAAAAACATGGAAAAAATGGAAGAAATGGTTATAAACCATCAGAGAAGTCGATGATGATGTTGGTACATCGATTGGATCATCCCATGAAATTTTTTCTAATGTTTTGGGTATGAAACGCGTGGCAGCAAAATTTGTCCCAAAATTGTTAAATTTTGAACAAAATTTTTGGCCAAAAACAATACTGTAATGATGCCTCAGCCTCCATATTCGCCAGACATGCCTCTGCCTGACTTTTCCTATTCCCAAAATTAAAGAGAACCTTAAAGGGCCGTCGTTTTGCAAGCATAGATGACATTAAAAGCGCATCGCTGAGAGAACTAAAGGCTATCCCAAAGATCGAGTTTTAGAAGTGTTTCGAGTATTGGAAGAAGAGCTGGCACATGTGCATAATATCCAATGGGGACTATTTTGAAGGCGACAACATTAATGTAGACGAATAAATAAATATTTGTTTCAAAAAACGAAAATTCCCGATATTTTCTGAACAGACCTCGTATATTGTCCAGGACTATTAATAATAATAATAATATAAGTCTTTATTGAAACATTTTACATTTTCAAACGGCGAAGTTCAGCGTGTTTAAAAGAAAACATCTGTTCTTCCACTTAACCGTTCACAAAACGGTTGAACTTAACGGCAAATAATTTTTATTTTTTGTTTTTTATTTCCCCCTTATTTTTTAAAATTTCAAAAATTTTGATCTGCTTAGCTGAAAATAATGTGTGATTTAATATTTGTAAAACCAAAAACGAGTCAAAATAAAAAAAAATTAACTGTAGTAGTGATTATTATATCGATACTTGCGATTTGTAGAATAACAAAAAACAATAATAAACTGAAAAAGTTTGAACCTTGAAATAAGTTTATAGACACTTTTTAATTTTATCAAAACCCCATTAAAAAGTCTTTTAATAATTAATATTTCCGAACCCATCAGCCCAAAAGGCATAAATGTGAAATCACAATTTCATAATCTACACTCACAAGCAAAATAATCGATCCACACAAATTTTCAATCACTCACATTTTAAAAAATTACTAAAAAATAGACGTACGTTTATAATATACAGGTTTAAACAAAAATATGTTTTTTACAATAAGTTTAAGACACTCTGTAGAGTGGCAAAACCGTATATTGTTCTAAATTAAGTTTTATTTATCAAGTCACATCTATTCTTAACAGTTTTGTTTTTGGTTCACCTCGATATATTTATTTTTGTGGAAAATATGGATCTTTTAAAAAAACATTGCAATTTTCAATATTTTTCTGTATGAAGAACTAAGGTTGCTATGGTCCATCCATAGGCTATGGAGAATGACAGTGACAGTTTTGTTGAATCATCCCATACTTTGACATGTCATATACAGCTTTCAAAAGCTATCAAATTGTTTTTTTGCAAATTAATGTTTAAATTTTGAGGTGTCTTCTTACTTTAAAAAATGGATATGTCTCCGACTGATGTTGTCAGAGCCATTAATTTAATCCAGGATGGGCGGTCACAGTATTACGTGGCAAGGGTTTTAATCGTCACAAGAAGTAAAGTACAAAGGGTAACATCATTGGAGACATTTTTAAAAGTAAGAAGACACCTCAAAATTAACAGATTAATTTACAAAAAAACAATTTAATAGCTTTTGAAAGCCGTGTATGACATGTCCAAGTATGGGATGATTCAACAAAACTGTCACTGACATTCTTCATAGCCTATGGATGGACCATAGCAACCTTAGTTCTTTATACAGGAAAAATATTGGAAATTGCAATGTTTTTTTAAAAAAAAATCCATTTTTCCACAAAAATAAATATATCAAGGTGAACCAAAAACAAAACTGTTAAAAATAGATGTGACTTGATAATTAAAACTTAATTTAGAACAATATACGGTTTTGCCACTCTACAGAGTGTCTTAAACTTATGGTAAAAACATCTTTTTGTTTAAACCTGTATATTATAAACGTACGTGTATTTTTTAGTAATTTTTAAAATGTGAGCGATTCTCCATTAATGTATCTACAATATTCTTTAATATTTGTTTAAATCCGAAATCAAATAAAAAAGTTATTTGCGATTGAAATTCATCGAAAATTTGTGTGGATCGATTATTTTGCCTGTGAGTGTTTAAAACCTAATAAAAGAAGAATATTTTTAACCATTTTGATGCAAAACATTTTTTTTATAAAAATGGTGTTTTTATTTGTTATTGCACTTAAAACTGCAAAGTTTCTCACCTTATCCCGCTACTGTCGGCCGACAACTTGGCGCTGGTGACGAAATCGTTGTCGTCGCTGTAGCGACGGTTCCTGACCTGCGCTCGGGGGGCTTCGGGCGGCTCCTCGTACTCTTCCGGCGACGCTCGGCCACCCGACTTGTTGGTCGCCGGTTCGTCGTCCTCGTCGTCGGTCTCCATCGCCTCGGCTTCGTAGTCTTCCTTCACTTTTTCCACCGTCTCGATGTAGTCGAGCTCGGCGAAGTACTCGTCGCCGTACGCCATGCCGTCCTAAGCGCGAAAAAAAAACAATGCCGTTGGGAAATGCGATTTTCTATTGCATTTGTTCCCACCCAAAAATAAAGTCGTTTCGACGAAATTTCGCCAAATCATCGAGCTACTTTAATTTTGCTAAAGGGTGACGGCAGATATACAGGGTGAGTTTTAAGTTGACGCGTTCCTTTTAACAGCGTGTAGAAATCAGATAAACAAGTTATAGGCCTTCCAAGTTTAATTAAATTTTGAGCCGGTCCTGGCAATTGTTAACAAAAAACATAACCATAAAAATAAAAATAACAAAATAAACAATGCAAAATGTCATCTATGACAACAAACATAACCATTTAAATCAAAATCACATTTAGCAATGAAAAATGTCAGTTTTTTTGTGCCTCAATTATTGTTAAAAATGGCTCATAATTATAGCAATAATGAATTAGTGGAAATGTTACCAATTTATGGAGAGTGTCGTCAAAATGCAAATGCTGCAACTTAAGTAAATAATGACATTTTTTATTGCAAAATGTCAATTTGATTTAAATGGTTATGTTTGTTGTCAAATATGACATTTTGCATTGCTTATTTTGATATTTTTATGGTTATGTTTTTCGTTAACAATAGCCAGGACCGGCTTAAAATTTAATTAAACTTTGATGGGCTATAACTTTTTTATTTTTGAGTTTTGATAAAATATTTATTTGTCTAGCTGATTTCTACACACTGTTAAAAGGAACGCGTCAACTTAAAACTCACCCTGTACAGAGGTTTGGAAATTGTACGCTTACTTCATGTCAAAATTTAACATTAACGACATGATTTTTTTTTTGAATCGACAAATACATGGCTCCCACGATTAAAATACAAATTTTATTTAGGAATTTAGGTTTTTTATAAAATTTTAGGGGAAATAATGTATGTAATTGAATAAACACAACTTTACACTGTACCTACTTAGAAAATAAAAAAATAAAATAATAGTTTTTAACAAAAATATTAATAAATATGACTTCTTTTGTACAGGGTGATCCCCTATAATGTCGCCCCCTTTTAACTTTTTTATTTTAAGTGTCCCAAAAAATTTAAATGTGTGGTTATGTAGGTACTAAAAAATACTTTTATTCTACGTATAAAAAAAATTGAAAAATTGATCAGTATACAGGGAAAAACAAAAAGTTTTTTCTCAATTGATCACCCTATATGTATATAAATTTATTTTTCGGTTCCTTGTAAAATTTTAAGCATAAATCATATAACATACCATATACCTAAATTCAACCGTTTCTGAAATATTCGCATTTAAAACGTTATCATCAAATATTTTTACAAATCAAGAAGCCTCAGAATAACAAAATGTTTATTGAAAATAAATAACTATAGTTATATTATGTCAATATGTCTTGTTAAGTTAGTAAAAATGGCGTACTCATATTATGTGAATTATGCTTGGAATTTTACACGGAATCAAAAAATAAATTCACATATAGGGTGACCCATTGATAAAAAAAATAATTTTTTTGTTTTTCACTGTATACTGATCAATTTTCCAATTTTTTTATATGTAGAAAATGGGACACTTAAAATAAAAAAGTTTAAGGGGGTACAAATAATGAATAAAATTAAAAGTGAGGTAAAATTACTACTTTTGTATATATCTGAGGTGTATACAGACAAGTACAAGTTTCACCACACTTTTAATTTTATTTAAAAAAGCGCGTCGATCGATTTTCCTAAAAAAACTAGGCCAAAGTCAAATGATGTTATATTTATATTTTAAGAAGAAAAAATGTTAACCGTTTAGTTTAACTAACAATAATTGTAATGTGGATCTTGTTACTCAAAATTTTCATGATAGAAAAAATATGAGGTTTGCAATATACAGCAAAAAATTCCTTGGATTGTTTACTATTTTATCATTAAAAAGAAAATTAAAAATCCTTTTGTTTTTAGATTTTGTCGAAACAAACGAAATATGGCTAAAAATGACAATTTTGTTGTTGTTTACAAGCTATTACATGGATTTTGGTTTTTAGGTATATTTTGTTGTTTTTTTTTTAGAAAAATGTAGGTTGTGATATATCATTTTAAAAAGAATTTAATAAACTAGAAATATATTTTTTAAATTACTTTTTAAAAAAGGTTGGTCTATTTATTTTTAGGAATTTTAGGAGATTGATGGCAATTTTAGGAGTTTTAGGTAGTGTGTGAGCCCTGCAAATAACATTCCATAGGTTTTTTGGTTGGTGTCGACAAAAAAAAAAATAAGGTAAGAAAAATGAATTTTAATAGTGTATTAAGTTTTTTATACGTCTTGAAATTTATCCCTTAAAAATGGACCTACAACACAGCAAAAGTAAAGAGAATCAAAAGGTCAGTACAAACTTGCATATAAACTTTTCAAATAGGTATTGGCGTTGAGAAATATAATGGGCGTTTTAAAGGTGGAAGTGGAAACACATTATAGTTTAATTTTCTTACCTCGTTAGCCATCTGCTCAGTGTGAAGGGTACCAGCATAAATGCAGATAAAAGTACCTTGAGGAACATCATTCAAACACCTGATACCCCAACCTCTGTTGTGAGTGCGAAAAACTTGCAGTTTCAGCGACATGGGATTCTGAACGACGCGATTCAAACACGTCTGATTGCATTTACACCTAAAAATAATAAAATTAAATTTAGCAACGTAAAACAAAGCCCAATAAAATTGCGGCCCACCTAGGATTGCATTCGTAAATGCCTGTGATAACTTGCTCCACCAATCTCCTGTAAATATAACCGATACCCAAGGGATCCACATCTTTGCCCATGTACTTTGTTCCTTCCAGAGTGAGGCGCCAGCATGCGCATTTAGTCTTATCCTTAAAAAAAAATAATTTATTTTTTGCCCGATTTTATTGTTTTCGCTTACAATACAGTCGTCCTCGCAGTCGCAACCGCAGAGAAACTCGGTGTTTAAATTTATGTGGACACCTTCCATGGGTACGCGTTTCGTGGAGTAGTTGCAAAAATCAAGCATGTCATTGTTGACTCCATTGATCACTGGGATTGGAACTTGTTCCAAACCTACAGGGAAAAATGTTGGTATACCTAGCTGAGACTTTTTTACAGTCGACATTTTCGACGATGATTTTTTGATTAAAAATTTATCGACTATCATTTAAATGACTCCTTACAAATTTAAACCAAAACTTTTTATTTTAATCAATTTTAAATTAATACATTTTTAAGTCAAAATTTATAACATTTAAATGTAAGTCGATAATTTTTAATGTACAAAGTGTAAACGTAACTTTAGCAGTCGGCGTACGAGGTATCCAAAAATTACCACTTTAAAATTTAAAACTAACATTTAAATGTAATGTGAGAATGTTTGTATTAAAAATTAATTGACTTATTTTAATGATTTTGAGTTAAATTTTTTTTTAGTTTTTAAACTATTTTGGTAAAAAATGGTTTACACAGTGTGGCCCATTTGCGACTCACCCATTAAAATCTTTATTTATTGTGCGATTTTAACCGGATTTGTTTAAAAGTGCAGATCTTGATAAACTGTATTTTTGGAGCAAAAAACGCCATATTTTTACAAAATACAAAGCCTACTAGGTATGTCAGTTTTTAAGAGTAAATTTTTAAGAATTCATATTAGCAATTTTATTTATTTAATCTAAGCACGGCACTAGATTCACCTACCCTATACTAAATTTTATTTAAAAATTTTAGGTGGAAAAATGCACAATAATAAATAAATAAAAACTACAAAAATTTATTCTGTCAAGTTATCCATGAAAAAAAACATTGAAATAAAATTAAACTTATAGTAATAGTACCATGTTAATATAAGTTTAATTTTATTCCAATGTTTTTTTTCATGGATAACTTGACAGAATAAATTTTTGTAGTTATTATCTGGAGTCTACCAACTACAATGTCCAGATTGTCCAAAAACTTACATAGGACCTTAGCATAGGACAAACAGGCCGCAAGTTTAAAACTAGAATTAATGAACATCGAAAATCTTTTATTAATCAAAAAACAGATTCAACGTTTGCTAACCATTTAATTCAAGAAAACCATTCATTTGATAATAATTTCAAAATTTTGCATGTTGAAAATAAGGGTGCGAAGTTAAATTTGCTGGAATCTTTGGAAATTAATAAATTTAAAAAATCTGATATTATTCTAAATTATCAAATAGAAACTAATAATTCCCCCTTGTTAAATTTATTCTAATATTATATAAGAATCTTAAGATAGAAAATCCCCAAAATTATTTTATTACAACTTTTGTTAAACTTCGCCAGGTAAAATAATTATACAGTACTAATATTTTATAAAAAAACCCATTACCTGCAATATTGTGTTATATAAGTTCGTTATTAGATAAGTTTGAAATCATTTCTGAAGAAGCTACTGTGTTAGCGAAACAATTGTCATAAAATTTAAATAAATTCGTGAAACTCAAAAACAGTGTTTGTTTTTTATCCAGTTATATATTAGTGACATGGAGTTTCATCAAGTAAAGGTCGAAACAATAAAATATCTAACATACTTTTGAGTAACTAAGATACTTTTAAGTAACTAAGATACTTTTAAGTAACTAAGATACTTTTGAGTAACTAAGTTACTATTAAGTATGAATAAAAAGTATAAAATTATGAAAATTCAACAAGTTGTAGGTGTGTTGTGAATCATTCTGGAATTCCCCTAATTTTCTCTAAGTTACACTGAAAAGTATCTTAGTTACTAAGTACCTTAGTTAATTTAATGTATCTAAGTTACCCGGACAACAATCGTGATATTCATACGAACATCACGTCGTGATTTTCACAAATTTTATTCATACTGATATCATATGGAAGTCACCGCGTGATAAATGAAAATCATACGAACGTCACGTTGTGATTTTCACAAATTTTATTCATACGGACATCATCCGGATGTCACTGCGTGAGAAATGAAAATCACGTCGTGATTTTTTATGCCATCGCTGTTTGCGATTGACCGATGGCCTATTGATTTTTTATGGCAACGGTGTTTGGATAATCATTTTTGCTAAGAGAAAAATTAGGTTGAATCAACAGTTTTTGCGGTTAAATACATTTAACCACAAAAACTGTTGATTCAATATATATGCGGGTATATTTTTTTTCTGCGAATGTGGCGCAAAAATAAATATCCAAACACCGATGGCATAAAAATCACGACATGATTTTTTATGCTATCGGTGTTTGGGCATAATAAATCACAACATGATTTTTTATGCCATCGGTGCACCGACATGTTTGGATATTTATTTTTGCGCCACATTCGTACATTGAAAGAAAAAGTATGTTAACAATTGAATTAACAGTTTTTTCGGTTAAATACATTTAATATTTTCTTGGATGTAAATAAACTATTAATTTAAATCCAAAAAAATATTGAATGTATTTAACCACAAAAACTGTTGATTCAATATCCATATATGTAGGTATACTTTTTCTCTCAATGTACGAATGTGGCGCAAAAATAAATATCCAAACATGACATAAAAATCACGACATGATTTTTTATGCCATCGGTGTTTGAATATTCATTTGTACATTGAAAGAAAAAGTATGTTAAAAATTCAATCAACAGTTTAACTAACTACTATTAACTATATATAGTTAATTTAAATCCATGAAAATATTCGCAAATATCACACCGTGATAAAAAAAATCACGTTGTGATATCATCATGACTTCACCAGGAAATCCCGATTATTGTCCGGGTACTTTACCGAGTAACTTAGATACTTTTTTAGATACAAGTTACAAGATACCTTTACAAAGTAACTTAGTTAAAGATACTTTCTGTCCAATTTAAAAAGTATCTAAGATACTTAAAGTAGATACTTAAAGTATCTAAGATACTTTCAAGTATCTTTCTTTTTCAAGATACTCCCAGCTCTGTCCACGAATACAGATTTTACGGGGCAGATTCGCAAACAAATGGGTGCACTGTTTTTGAAAGGAAACTCACCTTTGGAGAGGTCGACGGGGTCGGGCTTGCACTCGACGCTGAACTCCGCCAGGCACCTGACCATGTGGTTGAAGTCGAACAGGTCGACCGTCATCTCGGAGCGCGTGACGCGCAGGTAGTAGTGCACCTCGGCGATGTTGCGCAGCGAGCGGCCGCACGGCGCCTTGTACACGATGTCCTTGCGCCCGCGCGCGCGCGACGTGAGCCGCGCCCAGCCGCACAGCAGCGGCTTCGAGAGCGGGTTGTGCCCTCGAAGCTTGTTGATGTTGTGCGTGAGGAAGTCGCGGCAGCGCGGGCCGCAGGTGTGCGGCTTGTACACGCGCTTGGTGATCACTTGGTCGCGCGGCGTGAAGTACTGCAAGAAAGTTTCGTTCTTTTCACTTTATTAACGGGGTTTGCGGGAGGGAAAATTATTCAAACGTTCGATGTTCTGAAATATGTTGCTTTAACATTTATAATAAAAAAACACATTTTTAAATGTGTTTTTGTTAGTGATGGAAACCGAAAAAAACCTTTTTTAAACTTAAAAAAACACCAAAGCACGCAGTATTCAGGGTGTTATGTAATTAATGTAATATATTAAAATGGTTAGCTCCTTAGATTCCATAAAGAAGCACCTGATTTTTTTTTTATAAATTCTAAAGACTAAAAATAATTTATAATAACCCGAGGGGTCAACCACTAGCCAGATATTTGTACACATATTGCCGAACTGACTATACTGCCAATTACTGCCTACTTACTGCTTATACTGCCTACTTATTGCTCTTACTGCCTATACTGCCTACTTACTGCCTAGTTACTTTCAACATTGCCTTTACTGCCCACACACGGTCCATAGTTTTACATATATGTATATTATGTCTTTACTTGTGAATTTTGAATGTTTGTTTATAAAAAAACATCCGAATTTTAGGAATTTAATTTATTGTTCCTTTTTTTTACACTTTAAAACCTTAAAATATTTAAAGTTATTATATATTCTAATTGTTTACAATACTTACCAAACAACCACACACAGTTAAACTAATAAGCACAAACACACAAATAAGTTTGCAAAATTAAAACTGACATACCTCGGAACGAGCATCGGAAGATACCAGAACGTACTTTCTTAAAATTAGCCAAAATTCTACTATTTGAATTAGTACCAGCATTTTTTACTAATAAAATAGTCGTTTTCACTTTTAAACAGTTATTTTTTACTACGTAAAAAGTTTGACTAATTTAAGGTTAGTCACCATCTTTGACTTTTTTTGAGAGTTAAAAGTAACTAATTTCTTTAATCGTTTGCGGCCAACAAAGTATTATTTGAATTAAATGCATGCCTATAGGCTCCAGGGTTAAATGTCCCATAAAAAACAAACAATGATGCAAAAAGTTTAGCTCAAAACAGCAACACAAATAATATATTTAACTTTAAAATATTATGAACAATAACTATTTATTAACAAATAAAATTATTTTTTATAAGAGCGGCTGATATATCGGCTGATATGTGGCTATAGCCAAAGATAATGTATTATCTTTGGCTATAGCCACATTGGTTATGATAACAACTTGACAAGCTTGACAAGTGACAGACCTGAGTTCAATACCCGACTGGGTCAAAACTTTTTTGAATTTAAATCTACTAATTTGACTATTTTATTCAGTAGAATTTGACTAATTATTAGTGACTGCTTTTTCGCTATGACAATTTGTCAAATATAACTTATAATTATAATTATTTATTTATAATTATAATTAGTTATTTTTGACTGATTCATTTTCAGAGAGTACGTTAGGTCAGACTTAAATGCTAAATATTACCGAATTACTGCCGATACTGCCCATGTACTGCCGAAGTACTGCATGTACTGCCGAAGTACTGCTCCCGTATACTGCCTATATTGCCTATTTACAGCTGCATACTGCCGATACTGTCGAAGTATTGCCGTCACTGCCTTTGTACTGCATAAAATTTGTGCACGTATTGCCGACAGTGGTTGACCCCTCGTAATAACCTTTATCCTACCAAAAAGTACGCCACTGATCGACTAGGAACTTTAGGTTAATCTGGTTGCCTAATTTAATTTATTATGTTATGGTTGGTAACAGCGTTTGTCAAAAAAAGTTGCCAAGCATTGTTTAAATTTAGCTTAATTACAAAAATGACAAAATCAACAATGCAAATTGTCAATTTGGCGTTTTTATTAATTGTTGGTTATGTCATTTTTGCACTAAAGGTAAATTCAAACAAAATCTGTTAACTTTTATGACAGTTACCATTAATTAGTGCATTTCTTTAAAATTTTAGGTTATGTGCTCAAAAGTATCTTAACTGCTTTTGGGCTTTTGGATTTATTTACACAAATTGAATGTTTAACGATTAACCTGTGAACTTGTCCTAATTTAATCTAAGTAAACAGAAAGAAAAAAATTAATTTTATGGAGTTTTTAAATAGGTACTAATTTTTTTTTATCATTGCTTAAGTTAATAGCTGGATGGTATTAGAGCTTTTGTATTTATTGCGCAGCTACTTTGTTAGTTAGTATCTATGTACTCACAGAACACAAGTGTGTAACCACAAAAAAATATAAAAAACTTCTTATGCATATTTTTTCTTTATCTTTGGGAAAATATCTTTTAAAATATTTTTCCATTACACCTTATGTCAAAAGGTATTCAGTATTTTAATATATAACATTAATTACATAACACCCTGTATACATATACAGTGTTGGCCATATTTTTCGCAACCACTGTAAAAAATCCTAACTCTAAAACGCCTTTATTATTCTTTATGAAATTTTGGATTAAAATACTTCAACTTATATAAAAAATATGCTGCTAAAGAACGTATTTTAGTTAGTATACCCTGAAAATTTTGTACAAATTAAACGAACAGTAACGAAGCCCCTTTTTGATTATTTTGCTGAAAAGTGGTCATTTTTGTAATTGAAATGTATCAAAATTATCGTGTAAACAAATAAAAACCAGATTGTCAAAAATATATTCTGTCGTTATAAACGTCAAAAAATTTCCAGTATAATTCGCTGTTGGGTACCCAGAGGAAAAAATTTCCACTACAAATTAGAAAATTTTCAGAAAAATTGACTTGCAGTTTTTTTATTTTATTTAAAGAATAATACGAAAAAAAATATGAAGTAATTGTTTTTTTTAAATATCTGTAACTGATTATAATAATAATAATAAAAACCTTCTACCGGGTCGGAAAAAAACAAATTCGGTGCTGTATTAATATAACTATCATTTTATTTGTTACATCGATTTATAAAATTATCATTTTGTAATTTAACTTTATAAATCATTTTGACAGTTAAATTTATTAAATGCTCTATATCTTTTAAATTATGCATTTTATTTTATTAATGCATAAAATATTTTTTGTGGGAAATTAAATTTTCTATAATTTTTGTTTTGTTTTTACCTGTAACTTTAACCGTTTTGCCGTAGATGGTATTTTTGTATATAAAGTTACAAGCCTATTAAATGAAATTTATAAATTTGAAAAGACAGCGCTTTTTGAAAAAAACTAAAAACCTGTCAAAATCAAAAATGTTTATAACTTCGAATTTTGAAAAAAAGTTATAACGATTTTTGGTTTTGACAGGTTTGAAGTTTTTTTTCAAATTATTTTAGAACCGCAAATTTTTTCTATACATAGTTTTTAAAATGTAATTATATTATTACATTTTAAAATTTTTAAATATTTTAGATAACTAAAAACACCAGTATTAATAATTTGGAAACATGTTCACTTACCATTATCTTTGATGTGGGCCCGGCCACGTTGTTGGAAGTCTTGTTCATGCTGGGCAAAAACGGCACGATGTTGTTTTGCGGCATCGTGATTTGGGGTCTCGTGGTACTTTTTCTCGCCACCGCTCGAACGTTCTCCTTGTTTTCCTTATTTTCTGCGCCCTTCTCGGGAGAAGTCGCGTTAAAGTCGTTCGGTCTCGTGTACTGAACCACGGTGGCCGACTCATTCTGAAATAAATAAATAAACAGAAGATCTTGTGTTTGAAGAGTTAGTCAAAAACAAAATCGTTCTTTCACTAACCGGTCCAGCTTTTCTGGAAGTCCTAAGTCCTCCCAACCGGTTCGTAGCCGCCTGCTCCTCCCTAAACATGGGACTCAATCTTGTCGAACCTCTGTAAATCCACTCCATTCTATTGAGTTGTTCAAAGTAAACCCGCACCAACGAACAATCTACGTTTATTACTGTGCAAAGCCACCACTTTCCTAAAGAGTAAAAGAACGTAAGAAAAAATGTCAGATTTTAACATTTTTAAATAAACTTTAAGCAAGTCTTCTTAAAAGATATTCCATGACAAACGATCAAAGCTGGGTGTAAGATACTTAAAAGTAACTTAGATACTTAAAGTATCTAAGATACTTTATCTTAGATTTTTTTCAGTGTAACTTAGATACTTTCTTAGAGAAAATTGGGGGAATTCCAGAATGCTTCAAAGTAATTACCTAACCTACAACTTGTTGAATTTTCATAATTTTTTGGTTTCGCTGGTTTGGTGCAAGACTATCCTATGTCCATGTTCAAAGAATTGGAGAAAAACAATATTAAACATTTCTATTGTAACTAAATTGTTTTTTTGCGTCATTCTTTAAAAAATTGTAAGGTTTTACATCCAAAGATTAATAAATAAATACAAATTATGCAAAAAACAATTTAGTTACAATAAATAGAAATGTTTAATAGTGGTTTTCTTCAATTCTTTGAAAATGGACTTAGGATAGTCTTGCACCAAACCAGCGGTTTTTATTCATCCTTAAAAGTAACTTAGTTACTCAAAAGTATCTTAGTTACTCAAAAGTATCCTAGATACTTTCAGATAGTATCCTAGATACTTTCGGATAGTATCATAGATACTTTTTAAAGTATCTTGTAACTAAAGATACTTTTAACTCAAAGTATCTGGTTAGCAGAGGTAACTAAGTTATTTTGTTTAAAGTATCTTAGAAAAGTAACGTTTCGGGTGTTACAACTTTTATTGCTTGAAGAAACCAATAAGTTTTATTTTTAAGGCTCACTAGCCATCGGAAAAGCAGTCACACCTCCTTTAAACCTACCAAAATACCGAATACCAAGATTTTCGTCAATAATTGGGTGAATCTCACGAAATGTCCCCCGATTTTTGTACGCATAAAAAGACGCCTAACCCTAAATTTTGAGCCCTTAATTTTCAAAAACCCCGAAGATATGGATTTTTGAAAATCGCAAAAAATAACGATACGGTAATTTTCAGAAATTCATAACTCCTGCTTAAATTATCGTAACCTCGTTTGACCGGGGGCTATTTTTTTCGTTTTGAAATGTAGTTTTTGAAAAAAATATATAAAAACCAAAACTTTTAACTAAATTTTTTTATTTTCTTAAAAAAAATATATGTTATATGTAGGTACTAGACTCTAAAACAAATTTTTTGGGCCCATAATGAAAGTGGGATTCAAATATCTTCGATTTTTAAGCCACTTTTTAGTATTTTTTTAACCATAAATTCAAGTTTTTTGAAAATTTTCTAATTTTTTATGAGTTTCATTAAAGTTTTTTATCAAAATATAAATTCACGTTTAATATTGTAAAAAATAATTTTGCATTGCTTGATAAATAATTCTGCGCTTATTCTTTTAATTTTCATAAATTTTTTTTGTTATATATTTTTGTATTATTTTTAGTTTTTGTATTTCTTCTGTGAAATACCGCACATTAAAACAATTAAAAAAATCTTTTACGGTCAAAAAATAGAAAAACTTTCTCTTTCTCCATCAATAATTGATATTTCACAGTATGCTAGTCCGTAAAAATCATAAAAATAACTTCGAAAGAATAAAATACACTGCTCGTCAAAATTAACGCATAATAAGAAAAAAAATAGTAACTCTAAAACGCCTTTACCAATCTTTATGAAATTTTGTATAAAAATACTTCAACTTAAATCACAGTTTACGTGTTTGAGGGTTTTTCGAGAAAATATTTTTAAAGCTCTTTTATTTAATAATAAAAAAAAAAACAATCGAAAAATAACTTTAAGGGAATTTTTTTTAAGTAAATAAAAAATATGCTGTGAAAGACCGTATTTTTGTTAGTATACCCTAAAAATTTTATACAAATTATATTTTATTAAGATTGGTAAAGGCGTTTTAAAGTTGGATTTTTTTTACTTGCTATGCGTTAATTTTGACGCGCAGTGTAAATGAAAAAAAATATACCAAAAAAGGTAATCAATTACATAGCTGGCACAGTGGGAAAATATTAGTTGTTCATATTTAGATTGAAATTTTGGAAAAAATAGAAAATTTTCAAAAAACTCGACTTTATTGTTAAAAAAATTACTAAAAAGTGGCTTGAAAAAATCGAAGATATTTGAATCCCACTTTCATTATGGGCCTAAAAAAATTGCTCGACTTGACTTTATTGTTAAAAAAAAAATACTAAAAAGTGGCTTAAAAAAATTAGATATTTGAATCCCACTTTCATTATAGGCCTAAAAAAATTGCTTTACAGTCAAGGATAACATATAGTTTTTTCAAAAAAATCAAAAATGTTGCTCTTCAAAAAGTAAAATTTTGGTTTTAATATATTTTTTTTTCAAAAACTACATTTCAAAACGAAATGAGGTTTCGATAATTTAAGCAGGAGGCATGAATTTCTGAAAATTACCGTATCGTTTTTTTTGCGATTTTTAAAAATTCATATCTTCGGGGCTTTTGAAAATTAAGGGTACAAAAACATATCAAAAATTTAACTGAATCAAAAAATACAATTTTTAAAATTTGGTGATTTGATGTGGAATGACCCATATTAAATAATTCGCTATTTTTTTTATTTATGCTTGATATAATTTTATTCATTTATTAATATGTCAGACATAATTAATATTACAAAAAATTATTTATTCCACAATTTAAAAAAAACAACTTCAATTTACAAAAAAACATTTTCTTTTACATTTAAAACATTTAAAGTGTAAAAAGTAATGGAGACATAAAATATGCGATAATTGTATATTTACCCATGTACCCATATATAAAAATTATGTTCTTGACATTAAAAAATTCCAATCTACTTTAAGGCGTCGTTAATTTAGATAATCTTTTGACGCAAAAATAAAGCGACGAAAAAATCTTACCGTTGTACTCGGTGCGGACCGTCTGATCCTTGGCCAACTTGACCATCGGCCTGTCCTGACTCTCCAGATATTTCTTGATGAAGGGCCGCGAATCGGGGTTCATGTCGTCCCACACGTTCTTGCTGACCTCGACTATCAGGTGCACGTCCTGGAAGTCGACGTACTGCGCGTAGCCGATGTCGAAGAAGATCAGGTAGCGGTACTTGTTGCCGTCGTACGGGGCCTCGCCCACCACGCCCGGGTAGTACGGGTAGGTGCGCGTCTTTTTCGTGTCCTCCTTGAAGACGGAGAGGACGCGCGTGCCGATGCTGAGGCGCACCGCGCACGGGGTCATGTAGGCGATCTGCTTGCCGCTCACGAGGCGGTCTTTTTGCTGCTTCAGTTCGGTTAGCCGGTACATTTGCTCGGCGTAGATCGTTCCTTCGTGTTCCGTGCCTGCGTTGCGGAGATTAAAAAAAAATGTTTTCTCATATTTTAACGCGACTCTCCCTCATATTTTATAATTATAATTCAGAGATAGAATATTTTGGGTTTGAGTTTCAGAATCTTTGTCGATTTATGTAATTTAAGAAAAATTGAGCCAACTAAAAAAAATCGTTGAGAGTGAAAATGAATTGACAGATATGGGTCATTTTAAAAAAAACACCCGCCTTCCGCTGTCCGTAAGTTTGAATTCCAATAACTTTGTTAAAAATTATCGCATCTTATTGATTTAAAAACCAAGTGAAAGCCTAACAAGCCCTTAGTAAACTCTTTCAGAAAATGTTTGTTTAGTTATTTCAGAATAATTTTTTTTTAATTTTGAAGCTTGTGAAACACACATTTTCGCATGTCCCATTAGCGTTTTATAAAACTTACATACATGTTTTTTTTTAATATTGAATAACCACAGCTTTGTGCTGCTTTATAGCAATCAATAACATTCTTAGTTAATACAGTTAACAATTTATATATAAAATAATTAATTATAATCTACTTTTTTTATTTGACTCACGTCCCAAACATTTTTTCCGTTGCGTTAAACAAAACATATATATGGCAACTTTTTTGGCACTCACGTGATAAACAAATGATGTTCGGACGTACATATTACCCAGCTGAATTTATTTATTCAATCAGGAAGAAGATATCGTTTGAAACAGGTGCGGGTAACGCGAATGTAATAATTGTTTGTCCGCCAAGTTACTCAAAAAATTAATATAAATAATGTAAGAAAAAATATAGTTATAGTTTATGATTAACCAATTTAAAATTATTTGTGATTACAACTCATGATATAGATTACATCCAAGGGAAAATTCCACGCAATATACGTACTAAAAGTACTAAGTACTAAAAGACACCAGCTTATAGTCAAAGAAAAAGGGTGTCTATAATTTAGAAATCTAAGTTGTTATTGTGCAAGTGAGCACCCCCTGATAGCACAGTTTATTCTAAGAATGTTTTTTAAACCTTCCAGTGAGAATATTCTTAGGATCATGCTATATTACTTCTAGTCATGTTCTAAGAATGTTTTTTAAACCTTCCAGTGAGAATATTCTTAGGATCATGCTATATATCTTCTAGGCATGTTCTAAGAATGTTTTTTAAACCTTCCAGTGAGAATATTCTTAGGATCATCCTATATTTCTTCTAAAGAACATGCTTAAAAGAAATATAGCATAATCCTAAGAATATTCTCACTGGCCTCTAGGCAGGTTCTTAGAAGGTGCAAAGTTTAGTGGTAAAAATTAATCCTCTAAACATATGCTTAGAATGTTGAGAAAGTAATTAGTATTAAATACTAAGTAAAAAACAACCCAAAATATTTTTTATAGTTATTTATCAAATTAAAAAAATATTAGATAACAAAAATACTTTTACTATAGGTATTTTATTTTATGTTAAAAATAAATATTTATTAATTTGTATACCGATTTTTTATTTCTGAATTAACATTTTTATGTATAATAATCCTACTATCTTCAACTTCAATCTAATCTGACTTATCCCACAAAATTTTCCAATTTTACTTTTTATGAAATAATGTCATACAACTTATGGTTCAGAGGTCAAATTGTTTATTTAATATTTTTAAATAAATATATATTAATATGTCGCAAATTTTTTTAAGGGGACGACAAATACATTTCACTTTCATATTATGACAGTGAGGCGTATTTGTCGCCTCCTGAAGAATTTTACGAATGTAGAATCCAACATATTAGAATGTGGGTATCTGACATATTTGGAAATATTCTCAAAAGCTTCCTAGAAGCTCCATAAGAAACCTTCTGAGAACATTCCAAAAACGTATTCTTAAAATGTTCTTAGATTGCTTTTTAGGAAGGTTTTAAGAAGCTTCTAAGAATCTACTTGCATCATTAAAAGGGTATCTATTGAATGTTTTAAAAGTCCCTTAGAACATTCTTAGCAATAAGGGAAGGTTCTAAGAATATTCAATCATTCCGAGTCGTATCTTCTTAGAAGATTCTTAGAATCAAATTTTGCTATCAGGGCCACTACAATGAATTTTGTTTATGTATTACTCTAAAATCGTACTACCCTATATAATTTCTTTTTTACGTTATCCTTTGAGTACCCCTGTCCGTTGTGATACCAATGTCTATTTCAACTTTTTTTAGTTTTTGTTAAAAAAAAAATCCTTAAAATGATTTTAATATCACTTGGTAATACCTGTATAAATTAGAGTTTAACTCCCTAATACAGTGACTAAAAGAAAATATTAATGGTATTGTTTTTTAACAAAGAATCGGAATGGTTTCTTTTAAAAAGTAACTTAACTAACATAAATATTTTAAAAAATTTTAATAAAAAATAAAATTGGAGTCAAAAGTATGTGAACTAATTACATTTTATTTCAAATTATTTTTATAACAACTTTTTTGATTGAATTAAATTTTGGATTTCAAATTGGTAACACAGTGGAGACATATAAAGCTAGCTAAACACATTTTTCTGAAAAAAACGTAAAAAAAATTAAAAAGTGCACTGCCTGTCTTAAATGTAAGTAAACAAAACTCTAAACATTTATAAAAATCCAACCAAAAGTCAATTTAAGCAAAAAAAAATGTTGATCTTCATTTTCCTGAAAGCGGGTGTTTCTTGAAAATGACCCTCATACTTAAAAGTAACTTAGTTACTCAAAAGTATCTCAGATACTTTTGGATAGTATCTTAGATAATTTCTAAAGTATCTTGTAACTAAAGATACTTTAAACTAAAAGTATCTAGTTACCGGAGGTAACTAAGTTATTTTGTTTAAAGTATCTTAGAAAAGTAACTAGATACTTTTCAGAAGTAACTTTCCCAGCTCTAATAACTTATTAGTGTTGATGATGATGATATTTTATAAACTGGTAAATAATTTTGCATTAAAAACAGTACGCAGAAAATAATTACTCACATGGCGGTATGATGCCCATGAGGCGGGCCCTGATCCACGACCCGGCCGGGTTCACCTGCCGGTAGATGTACAAGATCATGCCCACCTTGGGCGGCGGCTTCTCGACCGCGCCGAACGCCGGCAGATCCTTGGGCGGGTCCATCTTGGGCGGCGGCGCCTCGTCGGCGGCCGCGCCGCCTGCCACCACGGGGCTGTTCGAGTTGCCCGGGTCGTCCATCTCGGCGTACGAGACGGGCTTGTGCGCGCGCGCGCTCTTGCGCTGCGCCGCCTGCGACGACGGCGAGGGGGCGGCGACGCCCGGCGCTTTTTGGGCGGGCGCTTGCTGCTGCTGAGTCGCGGCCGGTTGTTGTTGCGGCTGTTGTTGTTTTTGTTGCGGCTGGATGTGGTTTTGCGGTTGGCGCATCGGTGTTCCGTGTTCTACGAATAATAGTTATTTATGTCATTAGGTTAAGAAGTAAGGCAAGCACAAAAAAGCACTTCTTGGCCGAATGGCCAGGGCCGGATTTAGCATGGGGCCACGGCCCCAGGGCCCCCCAATGCAATAAGTAGCTTTTTAATAAATTATCACACTCAAAGTTTTGGCGCGCGAAGACGTTTTTATAGTCATAACTTATGACTCATAACAATTTTAAGCAGTTGCTTCTTTAGTGCTTAGTGCCCAGATTTTTATTGGTACATTGGAGTGTTGTGGAATATTTAAAATTAAAAGTGAGATAAAATTACTACTTTTGTATATATCTGAGGAACATATATATACAAGTATAAATTTCACCAAACTTTTAATTTTATTTAAAAAAATGCGTCGATAGATTTAGTTAAAAAACTATGCCAAAATCAAAAGATGTTATATTTATATTTTAAGAAATAATATGTTAACCGTATAGTTAATAACTAACAGTAATTAAGACGGTAAGATTAAGAATAGTACAAGTCCAAAAGTAAAATATTTCAAAAAATCAGTTTTATAGTTCTAAATGCATTTTTGTTAGAATATTTTAACTATTTTATGAAATATAATATTCATATTCTATAAAATAATTTATATCTTCTCTCAAAAATGTATTTTAAACTTTAAAATGGATTTTAGAAAATAAATTTTCAAAATTAAATTTTTGGACTTGTACTGTTCTTATTCTCACCGATTCAATTGTAATGTGGATCTTAATACTTAAAAATATATAAGTTTGCAAAATACAGCAAAACATTCTTTAGATTGTTTACTATTTTAGCTGTCATTTACAAGAAAATTAAAAATCCTTTTGTTTGATATATAACACGGTATATTTTTGTCTAAAATAAACGAAATATGGCTAAAAATGACATTTTTGTAGAAGTTTTTTTTTGTTGTTTTTTAAGAAAAATTTTGGTTGTGATATTATATCATTTTAAAAAGAATTTAATAAAATAAAATAGAACCTAAAAATATATATTTTTAAATTACCTACTTTTTAAAAAAGAATTTTTTTAGCACTACCTTAATTAAACGCAGTTAGGTTGGCCTATTTAAATTTAGGAGTTTTAGGAGATTGAATGCAATTTTAGGAGAATTTTAGGAGTTTTTAAGATTTAAGCAAAATTTTAGGAATGTTATGAGTTTTAGGAGGTGTGGGAGCCCTGTATTACCCTAGATCATAGTTCTTGTGCAGTAGAGGTGACAAAAATCTAATTGTGGAGAGTTTTTTCATGGATAACTTGACAGAAAAAATAAATAAACGCAGTCAGGTTGGCCTATTTAAATTTAGGAGTTTTAGGAGATTGAATGCAATTTTAGGAGAATTTTAGGAGTTTTTAAGATTTAAGCAAAATTTTAGGAATTTTATGAGTTTTAGGAGGTGTGGGAGCCCTGTATTACCCTAGATCATAGTTCTTGTGCAGTAGAGGTGACAAAAATCTAATTGTGGAGAGTTTTTTCATGGATAACTTGACAGAAAAAATAAATAAACGCAGTCAGGTTGGCCTATTTAAATTTAGGAGTTTTAGGAGATTGAATGCAATTTTAGGAGAATTTTAGGAGTTTTTAAGATTTAAGCAAAATTTTAGGAATTTTATGAGTTTTAGGAGGTGTGGGAGCCCTGTATTACCCTAGATCATAGTTCTTGTGCAGTAGAGGTGACAAAAATCTAATTGTGGAGAGTTTTTTTCATGGATAACTTGACAGAATAAATTTTTGTAAATAGCAAGAATACTCAAATTATTTGTATACTCAAATATTTGAATGTTTAAATATTTGGATATTTGAAAAATAAAATACTTCAAATAATAAAATTATTATTAGAATATAACTTTTAAAAAATGAATAAACTCCTATAATAACTTTTTATAATTGTATCTGTTTTTACTAATAGCACAATCCACACAACAAGGTCTGTTCTATCTCATGCTAAAAATACTAAAAATCACTGCAACACTGCACAGAGTTTAACGGCGGCCATTTTTGTTGTTTACAATTCTTGTGCTTTGGGTTTGTGCTGTTTAATAATTGTTTTAAACGTTGTGCTAAGGATAACCATTTTACTCCTCTTTTATAATAAATATACTTTATTCTATCAGGGCTGTCAAATGACAATTTGAAGGTTAATTTGTGGGTTATAATTTAACCTTAAAATTGACATTTGACAGTTTTATGACAGCCCTGATAGAATAAAGTTTATTTTTTACAATAGAGGAGTTCTTAGCACTTTAAGGACTCTTTTAAGGCTTACTATGAGAAACACAACGTTTAAAACGATTATTAATCTGTATAAACAGAGCACAAACCCAAAGAACAAAAATTGTAAACAACAAAAATGGCCGCCGTTAAACTGTGCAGTGTTGCAGTGATTTTTTGTATTTTTAGTACGAGATAGAACAGACCTTGTTGTGTGGATTGTGGTATTAGGTAATTTTGTTTTGAACCAAAAACGATTTTTCCAAAAACACATTGGGCAAAAATTATATTCACAAATAACTTACCAACTCTAACTATAGTCCCAACGCTGCTACTCGAATCATCGATAATCGATAACGCTTTCAATTCCCTCAAATCCGGCCTGAACTGGTTATACAGATCCAATTGAATTTTATCCAACTGCGCCCTCACATCTTTCACCGTTGTCGACAGCTCCGATATGTCTTCTGCAGAAAAATCACGCAAATTAAGTCGAAAACTACGCGGCAGCAGAATCCAAAAACAAATTATTTAAAAATTAAGATGGCTGCCAGCTCAGGATGACTTTGCAAAATTCAAAATTGACACAACTCAGTTGAACTTACGGCGCCATCTATGAACAAACTGTCTAATTTTGACATTTCAATATTTTTCCCCCTAAAAATGACGGTTTCGCCAATGCAAATGTTACTAAACCTAAAATTGGTTAACACAAATTATTTATTATGTAGATATAAAAACAAATATGTTTTGAAAGTTTCACGTGTTTTATTTACTTTTGACAATTGTTTCGTCACACAGTGACTTCTTCTATACATTCTGAAGAAGTCACTGTGTGACGAAACAATTGTCAAAAGTAAATAAAACACGTGAAACTTTCAAAACATATTTGTTTTTATATCTACATAATAATAATATGGAGTTTCATCAAGTAAAGGTCGAAACAATCAAATATACAAATTATTTATTTATATTATTGCTTATTTTCTAACATAATTTTAGACCGTTTTAATTTAAATTGCAAACTGTCAGTTATTATAGCGCCATCTATGAATGATCACTCAAACTCATACTTTTTTTAATTTTCCCTAAAAATGAGGCAAAAAACAACAAAAAACTCACCATCCGTTTTTTGAGATGCTTCCTCCAACTTTTTCTGACCTCTTGTCATATGATTCTCGGCCTCGTATTTTTTGAGAGTTTCGGCGATTATATCGTCGATGTTATTTTTGATGAAGTCGAAATTTTCTTCATCCAAATATTCGAGTTTGTCGTCTTCTTCGCCTTCATCCTCATCGGAATCTTCAATTTGCAACGTTTCGTTTATTATTGGCAAATCAACGTTTAGTATTAGCTCGCCATTCTGCAAGTTGTTTGCTAGTTTGTCATAAGCAAGGATCTAAAAAGAATGTATAATAATTAGTGTTTTTTACACTTATTTTAAATTTTTAATAAATCTAAGACAGTTTTCCAGATTTTTTTTGTAGTACTTACTGATTGGTCATAACAATCCTTACAAATCTCTTCTTTGTGACTTTTACTCTGCTTAACCCTAAAATACGACAAACAGAAGTTTGGGGCTCTAACATACTCTCCGCAAGTGCTTTCGCAAACTGTGTTCAAACATCTGCTGCTGTGGGGAATCAAATCTATCGTTTGCACCTCTCCAACAATTATTTCGTTTGTGTTATCATCGATTTTGTTTGTGTCTGCTTCGCTTTCAGCTTTTTCTGTTTCCGCTTCATCATCATCATCCAATAAAACAACTACATCTTCATCTTTGTTTAAACTTTCTGTTACTACAGCAACATCAGATACATTGCTACTTAATGGTTCCTCTGGTTGATTCTCGTTTGTTTCGGGCTCTTTTATTGGTGATATTTCGCAAAAATCATCCTTACTACGTTCTATTATTGGAGCTGCCACTGTATCTTCTATTTCCATAGGATCATCAACAATCTCATCGTCCACATCCATGATTATGGAGTGTTTTTTAGGGTAAACTGCTAATAATCAACACTAAAACACTGTTTTTACTTGGTACTACAACGTACTTTTAAAAATAAAATAAACCGCTTGTACACAAAACTGACGCTTTGTGTGATTTGAGGTTAGGTAATTTTGATACCATAGACTTCGTGCAGGGAAGTAACAATAGATGTCGGATCTAATACCATAGACATAAAGATGTGGAATTACGTTTAATAGCATTATTCAGTAAATATTTACAGACATTACACGGTGCTGTTCTGAGAGGTGATTTTTGGACTTTCTGTGAAACCTAATTTTTTTTTATATTCTTGTTAATTAGGTCATAACTAAAATTTTAAGAGCAAAATAAAAAAAATTTGACGGTTGGAATTGTTTTAATTGGCTGTTTATTAAAAATATTATGCACTCTTTCAATTATCCAATTAAAACTAGCGATTTAATTTAAATATTTAATATTTGCATAACTAAAAAAAAAGGCTTTTACAATATTTTTTATATATTTTACTGTTTTGTTAACAAACATGTTGCAATAAACGTTCAAACTTTTAATCTAACCTTTGACGTATACATGTATATAAATGCATTTATGTTCCCTTAATTAATATATCCTTAAAGGTTGCCATGAAACTTAGATCTATTAAAAATTTATTTGACGTTTGAATTGTCATTTTCAGTATACGTATTCCATAATTTTTGTTTAGTTTTGTAAAGTGTTTTTTATAAACAAAAATGAAAAATTGTAGTAAAAGTTAAAAAAAATTCAAGTCTAATATTAATCCCAGCGACGCTTTATTCGATTTTAAAGGAAGAAATTATTGACTTTAACCCAAATGATAAAAAATTTCCAAAATCACTTTGTTCCAAGTGTAAAAATACTGTTTCAATTTACCAATTATTGAAAATAAGAAAAATGTTATAGTCGTGCCTCCCGAACTGCATCTTTTAATAGGTGCAGTCACAACAATTTTTAACTCTTTTCAAAAAAAAATTCCCATCATCGTAGATACATGGCTTAAAAAATGCAATCTCCAAAAAAAATTTACTAAAGGCTCTGGATAGTGTTTTAATGGCAATGAGAGTCTAAAATTGTTAAAAAGAATTGACTACCTGAGAAACATTTCTACTCTGTAATCTTTAAAATTCATTCAATGTTTTGCAAGTTTGGAAAGGGTTGTGGACATGTGTTTTGGTAAAAAAATAAATAAAAGTTATTTAGACCAAATAAACAAATTTATAAAAGATTTTGAAGACCTACAAATCGGAGTAACTCCCAAGATACATGCGATTATTTATCATGTGCCTGAATTTGTACAAAGGTATGAAGAAGGTTTGGGAATTTATTCCGAACAGGCATTTGAAGCTGCCCATGCAGATTGGAAAACTTTTTGGGCACGTTACAAGTTGGGTAAAGATCACCCAGAATACCCAAAACGTTTAGTTAATGCAATTATGCAATACAATACATTGCATTTGTAATTTAATATGTTTGATTATTAAAAGTTTGTTTTTAAGGGTAGTTTTAATTTAAATATTTATGGGTAAAATTAAAAATATTAAAAATAAAACAATTATTTAAGCAAAATAATTTAACTAAGGACTAATACTAAAAATAAAACAATTATTTTAGCAAAATAATTTAACTAAGGACCGGTTTATTCATCTTTAGTAAAGTTTATCGGGCCGATAACTTTCATGTCTTGCCAATATCTAGTATTCAAAGAAATTATTCGTCAAATAAATCAAAAATGAATAAATCGGCCCTAAATAAAATGTAGCACCCTTAGAATTATTGTTTAATAAATGTATACTATACATTTAACCTTAAATTAAAACTTTAAACGTGTATTACAACAAAACAGTAAAAGATATAAAAAAATGTGTAGACCTTTTTTTTAGGAAATTAACTAATCTTTAATCTGGTTTAAAAAGTTATGATAATATTTAAATAAAATCGCAAGTTTTAATTGGAGAATTGAAAGAGTGCATAATATTTTTAATAAACAGCCAATTAAAACAATTCCAACCGTCAATTTTTTTTTATTTTGCTCTTAAAATTTTAGTTATGACCTAATTAACAAGAATATAAAAAAAAATTTGGTTTCACAGAAAGTCCAAAAATCACCTCTCAGAACAGCACCGTGATTATTATTTTGTAACAAATGAATGGATAGAATAATTCTTGGAATTAAAATGATTAATTGCAAGCAATTAATAACTTGCATAAATAAGAAATAATTTTTACTAAATAAGGATATTTATAATAATTATTTATTATTATTAAGTGACAACAAATTTTTAATGTGTTTATGTTTCGAGGTTTTTAACTTTTATATTTCATGCGAAATCTATTTTACTTAAACGAAAAATAGTAGGTACCGTAAATACGGGTGACTTTGCACCCCGCGGGTGACTAACCCATTTATGAAAAATCTTTTCTCGCTCGATAAAATTAACATTCATAATTTGTTGGTCTAAACCAAAGATAATAATTATCTTTGGTCTAAACCTGTCAATTGAGCGATTCTATTGAGTTTATATTACAGGAAAATCAGTGTTTTAAAGAAAGAAATTGGATTTATTACACTTTAAAATTGTATACTTATATCGTATCAGTGCAAAACTCTTAGAAATACACGCGTTACAATTTCTATATTATGCGCAATCCATTGGAATGATGATCCTTGGTTAACTACAGGTCGATTTTTTATTTTTTTTATTGGTAATCCCTTGCAATAGATATATGTCGCTCAGTGGCGTAGCTAGCCTCGAGGGGGCCCCGTATCAAAAATCTGGTAGGGGCCCTTATATGTGGAAAAGCTGCTGGCAAAAAAATTTTTGGGTGTCACGAGTCCATTTTGGGCAAACAAAACAATTTTTTAGGGAATAATTTTTTTGCATTTAGGTACCAATTTTTTATAATTTAATAAATATATTAGGGTGCTCCATTTTAGAGTGACTCATATTCTCAAATTCTTAAAAATTCAGTTTCTGACGACTGTAATAACTATACTATTAGAATTACGTGAAAGAGTGGCTGTACAAGCTAAACTATAAGTAATACAGAAAAATATTTCTTATTAAATTTGTACGGCACAAAATTCCCTACAAAATTTTTATTTACGTTTTTTATCTACAATCAATAGATCAAGATTTTCGAGTAGAACGACAATTTGTGAAGAACATATTCAACTTACAGACTTGCTTAAATGGACATTTTTGAAGATAATTTCATCCTGTATAAAGATTTTAGAAACGAAATTCGAAAAAAATATTCTTACTGTACGAACGGAAGGAGAAAAGAATAAAAATTGTTTTTTAATGGTTGTTAAAGGGAAATATTTAAAAATTAAATAGCAACGGCTTAAAATAAAGATTAAGAGCATTGTAATAGCTCAACATTTTTGTTTTCTGACAGGTTACAAAATTTTTAGGTGGGACTTGGAAAAAAAATGTCGGTTTAAAATGAAGCATCCGAATACACAACTTTTAAAAGGTTTCTATTTTAAAATAAAGGCAAGTCATTTAAAATTATTGTAACGTTAATAATTATTTCTAATTTGCACAGAACAATATGCACAGACTGCGCCGCGGACAACGCATAGCGGAAATGTGCCGGCACAAACAATTCGTATGAGTTCACTGCCTCGTTGAAACAGGACCCTCGAGGGTATTCAGGAAAATTTTAATTTAATAAATCGAAGTATAAACAATTAAATAATAAAATTATTTATTTATTTATTTAATTTCATGTCTCAATTTTTTTAACATGTGGGCAATATGTTTTTTCTAACGCATGTCGAGCCAATCGGGGCCCCCCCTAGCCGGGGGGCCCCGTATCATTGATACGGCTGATACAGCGGTAGCTACGCCCCTGATGTCGCTGCTAACAAGTGTCAAATAAAAATAAAATATAATATTACATTCATTTTATACTGAAAAAACACTGTGAGGCAAAGTAACCCGCAACCAGGGGGTAACTTTGCACACCCAGTTTATTTTTGAAACTCAGCCCTATGTAATATTATAACTTAGTTATTATGAAAGAGCAACTCAATACTCAAATTTTGGTATACAAAATTTAATGTTTATGATTGTTAAAACCACAAAAATTTTAAGCTGAAGTTTGAAAGTGAGCCAAAGCCACCCGTGTTTACGGTACATTATCTATAGTTCAATTTTTAGGATTTTTTGTAGCAATTATATTTACAGGTTTTTCTAAAAGGGTGCACATGATTTGGCATCGAAAATCATGTGGATCCTTCTAGGAAATCATGTTAATAAAATTTGATAACAGAATTTTATAAAATTCTGTTATATATATAGACTTAATTAATTATTAAGTAATTATTTTGGCAATAAATGTGTTATTTTCAACACTTAGTTGCCATGTACTTGTACTATAAAATTTAATGTACATATAATTAAATTACTTTTATAATATTTATAATAATATTATAATATTCTGATCAAGGAGTGATTTTGCATCTAATTACTAATAATTATTATGTTTTCCAGACACTCATATCACTTTAATGGTGTTAAATGTCATTAAATTTTGTTATTTTTTCTTTGCAAATTTTTAAGTAACTGACCTTTCTTGATATTGTATTTTACATTTCAAAATAGGTCAAAAATAATACCCTTAAATAAGGTTTTATATTATTTTTAGTAAAATAACTTGTAATCAACAAGATATAATATTTTTGTATTGATTTTTTAAGAAATTAATTTTATTATATTGTTAAAGATGATAATTTTGATTTTATGCACAAAGGATAGTTAAGATTTGTTGGCAATTAAATACACTACATATTTATTTTGTGTAAAACCAAGGGGTTAAGGGGTAAAAAATATCGTCAAATTTAAATTTATTTTGCATCTAAACATCTAAATGCTGTTCTTTATTAAATTGCATGTTGGGACACACCGTTAGTAAGGCGCATATTTTTAATAGTATGATTTTTTCTTTGGCTATTAGAAATGCCCACTATGACAGAGTCCATAATTTATATAAAACATGGAGCGATCCAGATTAAAACTGATTTTGAAACCCTAAATAAATCAAAGTATCTTACAATTGTGGGTTAAAACAGAAAACAGTTGAAAGT